AGAAAATCCATGTCGCTTCACTTCGGAGCATGTCAAGATCTACTTCGTAGTTTACGTACTTGCCAAACCCCTCTTACGAAGTACACTACGAGGCAGCTTCGGCCCAAGATGGGGGGTGTGGTCGTCATCGAGATACATTACTGGACTCTGATACTCGGTACATGGCAGATCAGTTCACACCTCTCTACCATCCACCGCCTTGTCTTCTGACAGAAAGGAGGGAAACAGTCAACGGAAAGGGAGGGGGTTTGACCGGCCCTATCAAGCAGAGTGAAAAGGTAATCTCCAGATCAGTCAGATCTCACGCAGTCGTCTCAAACCTTCGCATCAATGTTAATGCTTAACCGAACCACACGTCAGGGTGCAGGTTACGAACAGAAAAGAGGAAGATGAACAATTTGCGAAATGTCTTCGTACACAGACCGGATGACGCTAGCGTCAAGAATCATGTACCGAACAGGACACCTGCATCGGTAGTGTAGCGCGGTAGGGTATTGGGGGCGCGTTAGCCAGGGAGAACGAGTCTAGCGACCCATGTACGAAGGAGGGTGGGTAGAGGCGTGGAAGCCCTCGAGAGAAGATGGGATGGGATCCATTTCATTCCATCAGCAACACAGGGCACACGCTAGTGGATAGAGTGGTGTCGAGATGAGGTTACTAAAAGGTGGAGAGGAGAAAAAGAGAGGAGACAATGAGGAGAAGGAGAAGAGGAGAGAAGGAGGGGGCGTGGAAGCATCCTCGATCTCTTTCGTAAAACTTGAATCTCGCGCCCGCCGAGGAGGTCTTGACATGCGCAACAAGCCAGGCGTCCATGTTTTCCTCTCGAACGCCCCTTTCAGCTTGGTCGAGGCGTCTTGCTTTTTCTGTGACCTACCCTACAAAGTAAAGCCGCTCGCGTATGTATGTGTCAAGATCCCGAGATCCCAGTGCCCTCTTTCCTACTTCGTGCCTGGAAATGCCCTGTGAAATGGGCCCATAATTGATATTGAATTGATGTATTTTGACATGTGTTTTGCAGCAATTTCAGCAGCAGAGAGCGCAGGACTGTTTGGTACCTTGAAGCTGTTCTCGGGACGGCGGATGAGAAAGAGCCGTTGCAGGGTTCACACACTCTTCTCCTGTCCATTAGCTCTCCGCTGGGTATGGGCTAGCCCACTGGGGATGTGTGAGTACAGTGGTGCTCGTGAGCTTGACTGCTGCAATTGAACACTAGAGGCTGGAAAGACGCTCATGAATCGATCAATTGCATCTACGCATTTTCCGCCGCACAGCAGGAGAGCTCAATTGGGGTGCAGAGTGCTCTTCCGAGTGATGCTGACTGCATTAAGCACGACTGCTTCGGAGAACAAACAGGACTCTCAGGCTCTTGCGACACGCAACTAACTGCAGACAAACAATTCAGGTGCATATCCTTGACATCATCTAACGCCGACGAGTTGCCCGGTTATTGGCATCGAGACTTGTCCATGCCGCGCATTAAAGGCACGAGCTCAGCGTCGTACGGACTCATCATCAAACATGCAAGACAGCCCTACTTTTTCTTCTTCTCTTCTTTCCTTTTTCTTCCATATTACCTGCCAATATCACCCAGGCTGTCCAGGCTTGCCAGCCGAAATAATGCACGGACGAAATATTGATGCAGGAAGAGGACAGGGATTTCTCTTTCCCCTTTCGTTTTCCTTTCTTTTTTTTTGTCTTCTTTTCTTTTTTTCTCCTTCTTTTCCCCGATAAAAGAAGGAAGGTGCTCGCAATCGGTTCTGGCAAAGCCTGGCAAAGCCTGGCGAAGCCAAGGAAGCCACTCATGTAGGTGCGGAGCCGCACTTGCAGGTCCAAGAAAGAGCCCAACAGGCGACCGTCATCCTTCCTTCCTTGCCGCACCGGCGCACATGCATCCCCAATAAATGCTGCCTTCTGCTTTTGAAAATTGCCATCATCGTCAAAAACCGCCAGGCGCAAAAACAAGTCCTGGGTCACTTTGCCGACATTTTTCTGGCCAATCCGACGCAGCGCAATGACTTTCTTTCAGCTGGGTCAGGTCTTACGGAAGCAACACCACTCGCTCCTTCCGCCTCTCTTGCGAAGATCGACGCTGAAGCGGTTTACGAGCCTGCCCACGGCCCTTTTTACCCTCTTTTAGATTTTACCCTCTTTTCTTTCTCAGCTTCGGAAGTTACTTCCGGTCGTGATCCTGCTACTCTGCCGGAGCCGACTTTTATCCGGGCAGTCCGCGGAACGCACGGCGAGATCTTCTTCGGAGAGAGCGAACCTAAAACGACTACTGCGTAGCCTGTGCCGTGCATGTACTTCGTGCGAATTCAAGACCGAGTGGGCGTGGGTGTGGATGAGAGTCCAGTCCAGTCCATCACAAGGCAGGATGCAACTCGGATGCGTGGGTGTGAGGATCTGCAGAAAAGTAGGTGCATTAATACAACCCGCCGCATCGAGATGTGCACCTGCATGTCTTCTTTTACAGCCATGAGATGATGTATCCTATTCAGAGTTTTTTTTTCCTTTAACCTCCATCAGGCGATGCCGGCCAAGAATGATTCAACAAGCTGCTCTTCAGATGAAAAGTAAAAGCCAATAAACTCTATTTAGGTGGGAAATCAATAGACGAGAGGGAAGAAAAAGCAAGTCGGAAATTGTTGAGCTGCCTGCCGCGCTCTCCCCCCACCAAACCAAATCATGAGATCAAATCGATACCCACTCCAGCTCATATCTAGACGGCAGCGGGAGATTAAGAGGCTGTGAGTAGATGTGAAGAGAGAGTTGGGAGAGTGTGTGGGCCGGGGGGGGCCGGAGAAGAGAGGCGGCGGAGGAGAGACGACACAGCGCCTTCATCTCATTCTCGTCGAGTTCGGAGCTTCACTCGGCCGTGTGCTCTACCGTGGACTAATGCGAGATATCTCCCGTCATCTCGCAGTCAGTAAGTCAACCTCAGTCTAGCGTAGTTGACCGACGTAGAATTCAGCTTCTGCGCAAGAGAATCAACGGCCGGATCCTCAACCGCCTTCCGCCGTCCCATCATCCCCCCCCGCTTTTCCCTCTTAGCTTCTTGCTTCCCCAGCTGAAAACAGGGAAACTGTTTGATGCCCCAGAGTCTCTTCGGCGGAACCTGGTCTCTCGGTCCTCTCCGCCCACAGTTTGCCCGGAGATACAAGGCCTCAGAGGCTCAGAACTAGAGACAGAAGCAAAGGGAGCGGGAGACGTTGGGCTACGGCCACCTGGCCGGGATTCACGATTGAACCCGGCAAATCAAAAAACGAAACATAAGACTGATTGACCGGTTACAGGCACCTGTAATCAAAAAAATAAAATAAAATTCTCTACGCGAGCCTACGGCCATTTTACTGTACTCACTCATGCCGTGTCCAAAGAAAAAAAAACCCACGATGTTTGAACCAAGACCCCATGGGCTTCGCCCCCATCTCCCATGTCCCCCGGCAGGCTAAAAAGCATGTGAGACCTCAAAATGATCTCAGACAACAAATCGACAAAAGAAACAACTTACTCACGTCCTCGCTTCTAGCTCGTCATGTCGATTTTGCCGTCTAATATGTCTCAGCCTCACCCGAAAGTGGCCAGTTCGGAGCACCGAGGTCTTGGTTTTGGGCCCGGCGGGGGAGACAAAACCTGCTCATTTGAGCGTGAGAGACTTCCACGGACGGTCCTATCGATTACGACTAGATTCGATCTGTCTGTCTGTCTGTCTGTCTGTATTGTGTGGGCTTTTCTTTGTATGAGGTGGCCGCTTTCCATTCTGTGCTACCGAACGAAAGAAATGGAGTCATCAGTTGTTCCAGAGCAATGAGACAATGGGAATACTGTCCCAGGAGGAGGGAGAATCTATGATTCGGCAAATGAAAAGCTGCCGGAAGTCATTCTCCTCTTTGGTTCTACCTGAGTCGATGGATGATTGCCGGGGCAGGCAAGTTCAGAGACCCGGTCATTCTTGATATGCAGCCGCACAACTCACTTGATCTCCGAGACCTTCCCGCCCCTACGTCTTCCCAGAGCTGTATGGAGCGTTATTGCTCCCCCGTTGTCAAACCTGAGGCCCATCTTGTCTCTGTTTCTCGATGAGATCTTGAGATCCTGTTTCTGTTTCTCGATGAGACGCGCCATCGGCAGAGTACCATGAATTAGATCTAGCGAGACAGACTCTTCAAGTCACGGCAGATAATGATCGAGGAATGATTTTTACTCTCTCAAGGATGGGATGCAATGTTGTAATTTGTCTCAATTTCTCCGAGTTTTTGTGTCTGGCTGAAATACAATATGAGGAGGAAAGTCCGCCATTCGGATGATATTCTCCTGTGGAATTACCGAGATGATGAACACGTTGGCCTTCTCTTTTTTGAATTCTAATGCATACTCAGCTAGGGAATCCCCTCATAGCTCTCATTCTTTTTGTTTTTACCCCTGCCCTATTATTCTCCTCTCTCTCTCTCCTTTGCTATGCACAGGTCCCTGACTTCCGAGAGCCATTCATCCGCTATCCGTTTCCTAACCATCCCCCCCGAATAACAAAACCGAATTACGACATAACGGGTAACCTTCTAAAATGAAATACAAAGGAGACAAATGAAATTCGACCGTGACGGTCGACTGATGCGTGGGAAGAAGTCAATCTTGGCAAGAGAACATGGCCGAGGTCATGTCCCGTGCGGAAGAGACTAAAAAAAATGAAGAAACCAAGCATGCCACAAGGACCAAGCAAGCCGCTTAATGCTAAGGGTGCTTTGGGAGGGTGAATGGGCATGAAACCATACGACTGATGCATGATAAAAGATAACTTCTAGACAAAGTCACAAAACCTGACCTTTCTACTCGAACGCCGGTGGAATCAAAGTCTCTACCTCGGTAGGTAGTGTGTGGGGTGTGAGCGCAGGTCATGTAGTACGCCCATGGAGACCGTCTCGTATGCGTATGTACGCCTGCTTACTGGCTGGGCACACTGGATCTGTTATTGCAACGCTTTTACATTGTTGCTTGCATATTTACCAGCGCCGCTTGGCAAGAGGCATGTTGTTGGCGTTGGCTGTAATTCAGCGCGTTAGAATCAAACTATCCTCAGTAAAACCGGTTGCGATGATACGTACTGCGACCACCGCCGCGGCCACGGTAGCCACCACCGTAGCGTCCGTGGCCACCACCGCTGCTGTAGCGGGCCATCTCGGCAAGGCGCGGGTCAATCTGTTGCTTGGCCTCGGTGAGGACGTTGACTAGATCGCGAGCTTGCTTGGAGTCTGAAAAAGTGGAATCCGTTAGTGATACTGTAAAAATCGGAGGCATAGAGGAAAGGAACTTACTGTCAGTGGTAAAAAAGGTAATGGCCGTGCCGCGAGCACCAGCACGACCAGTACGACCAATCCTGTGGATGTAATCCTCAGAGTTGTTGGGATAGTCGTAGTTCAATACATGTGTAATGTTGCGAACATCTTTCGTTAGAAGAAACATAAGGGTTAGCAAGTCGTAAGAGCAAGAGGTGTAGCAACTATCCAGCAGCAGCGAAGGCGGCGCGGCGCTTTGTTTTAAAAGCTTCCATATGTTTGCCTTTTCTGTACTTCACTTCAGAGGCAAAGAATAGGGCTGTCCATTGTGCATCAAATGCCATCCTGGAGTATTCAATGTGCACCAAGGCGTTGGCCTCGGGGATCTTGGAATGTGTTTGTTTACAATGGTCCATCATTTGTAGCAAAAGAGAACGACCATCTGGCTCACGCTTGTACCACTTCATAGATTCATCACCAATAGGTCGGTACAAGGGAGAGTCAACGAGCGTGGCCTCGAGGTTCCGGCCACGCTGCAAACCAAGACTCCACGCAGGGAATATGAACCAAGGGAACACGAAGAGTTCAGGCAAGTTTTGCGCAGGAAGAAAGCCCCTAGACATGAGAGTAAAGTACAGCAATGACTTGCTGGAGGTTGCTAATGGTTGTTGAGGGGGGAAGAGGGAGGGGGAGGGGAGTGTGAACTTACCGATACCACGCGACGCAACATCCGTAGCCACCATGATGGGGCTCTTTCCGGTCTTGAACTGGTCGAGGACCCAGTCACGCTCGTTCTGCTGCTTATCACCGTGGATGGAGAGGGCCGGCCAGCCGTCCTGGCGGAGGAAACGAGTTATGTCGTCCGCCACACGCTTGGTGCCGACAAAGATGAGAATCTTGTTCTCCTTATTATCCATAATCTTCTCGAGATGCTTGATCATGCGATCCCTCTTCTCCGGGTCAGAGACGACCTCGACGATCTGGGTAATCCTGTGGTTGGCGGCAAGATCCATAGAGCCAATGTTGACCTGGATGAAGTCGCTGAGGAAGTCGGAAGCGAGGGCTCGGACTTCCTTGGGCCACGTGGCCGACCACATCAAAGTTTGACGGTCGGGGCGAATCTGGCCGATAATCTTGCGAATCTGGGGCTCGAAACCCATGTCAAGCATTCGGTCGGCCTCGTCGAGAACGAGGTAGGTAACACGACGAAGGTTAGTCTTGCCGGCCTCCAACATGTCGATGAGACGACCGGGGGTGGCGATACAGACTTCGACACCTCGGCTGAGGTCACGGATCTGGGGGCCCTTGGGGACACCTCCGTAGACGCAAGTGTTTCGGATGCGAGAAGAGCGACCGAATTTTGTGATTTCTTGTTGAATCTGGACAGCAAGCTCACGGGTCGGAGCAAGCACGAGGACAATAGGACCGTCTCCAGGAGCGAGAAGGGGTTGGGCATTGATGTGGACGATGGCGGGAAGACAATACGTAAGAGTCTTTCCGGATCCGGTCTCGGCAATACCGACGACATCTCGTCCAGAAAGAGCCATGGGCCAGCCCTGGGACTGAATGGCAGTTGGGGCGGGGAAGCCCTGGGCCTTTACCTCGTCCATCACGTATCGGGGGAAGCCGGCTTCGTCGAAGGTCTCGACGGGCTTAGGTACATCCTTGCCGGCAATCGTAATGGCATGCTTTTGCCTGAAGGCATCGACTTCAGCGGGGCTGCGCTGAGCAACTTCGGCGTTCTCCTTGTAGAAGTGCTTCTCGAACTTGGGTAGGGCAGAGATATCTAGAGCAAGATTTCGTTAGCTATTGTGTCAAGTCTCTCGTTGGACACAGGGAATAGATGTTTTTACTTACCCCAACTCTGAGTCTTTAGGCTGGATCCAAGGTTGGACATCCTGTCACCTCCACCTCCACCGTAGCCGCCGCCGCCATAGCCACCACCACCATAGCCTCCTCCACCGCTGTAACCGCCGCCGCCACCGCCGTAGCCACCACTACTGAATAAACGTGTTAGTATAGAAGTTCAAGGGACGTTCATGACATTCGAAGAGATGAAAACGATGATTCAAAACTTGAGGGTAGTGGTTGTAATGGGGGTGGGCGCTGGGCCCCAAAAATGGAAGATAAAACGTACCCATTCTGGCCATCACCATAGCCGTTTCGATCGCGACCACCTCGCTCGTGTCGGTCGTAACCATTTGAGTAGCCGCCGCCTCCACGGCCGCCACCGTATCCGCCGCCGTAACTCATTTCGTTCGAAGATGGTTGATGTGTCGTGGGGTGGTTGCCTAACGTTATCAGGGATGAAATCAGGGAAATTGTTCGAGAGACCGCTCAGTTGCTAGTCGCTAGAACAATAAAACAAGGTTAAGAAGAGTCGCCTTTCTGGAGGACGATGTTAAAGAAGGAATGAAGGCGTAGAAACGCGAAGTTGGATGAGGATGGGGGAGGGGGAAGTTTGTGATGCGTTTGTTGTTGGGGGAAGGAATGGAAGTTTTTATTTTATTTTATTTTATTTTTTTTTTTTATGGCGCAGCGCCTAACTACACTAGTTTTTTTTCCTTCGCTCTTTCGCCTCCCTGGATTCCAGATCCAGTGGGGTACGTACCTTTGGCCCAAATATCCTTTGACAGCATTAGTCAGATACCCACCACTGACAATTTGGATCACGTGCTCAGTCACATGATAAGACACTCGACAGTATTTTGGAGGTGGCTTCTTCGAAGCTCTATTTTATGTGTGGCTAATTATGTGAAGTGTGAATGACACCTTAAGGCTTTCGAATTATCTCCACGAAGACTTTTCCAGGGCAAGTCCTGTTTTGCGGATATTACCTACCAATACATCAGACCGAGGGCCGCTATTGACTAGGGAACATCTCCCAGAATCCAATCTCAAGCTGCTCAGGTGGCGATGTTAGCCAGCGTATCACCAAAGCGGTCCATGTTATGCGACTTACTTGCGTCCCATGAATGAAGATCTTGACCAACTCTTCTATCCTCTCCGGGGTCTGGCGGCCTATCTCGTCCTCGAGTTGTTCTGCCCATATATTATCAGCCGGCCGCAAGAGGGTGATCATGAATGCTAAGTGGAACTCGGCTCACCAGACGCTAGCCTCACAGCCTCGACGTAGTCGTCCGCTACGTAGTTCTCTATCCAAGCCCAGTATATATTATCTTGGTCGGCCTTTTTAGTGTCTGGGTGACTGTATAGCATCTTGGCCACCGCTCCGTACCCCAAAGTGCAAGGAGCCAAAGCGACTTGGAGTGCAAGGAGGTCCTGGCTGTGGCCGATATCGAGCAGAAACCTGGGCGGTGGTCAGTCTCTCTGTGCGGTCGACGATATATACAGACTAGAGTTTTATTACCTCGTATATGCCGTGCAAGCTTAAACTTGTCAGCCTCGTCTTCGGTACCAAGTTTCAGGGTGGTGGTTTCCTTACCTTGCTTCTCTGGAGTGCTCTCAATTTCGTCAGTCGAGATGTCAAACGTCCTGCAGTATTCGATGTGAAGCTTGATCTCATGGAAGATGTGCCCGACAATCTCGTTAGACTAGAGACAGGCAAGTGAAACGTTAGTCCACGCTATTCCGGCAATAAACTGTAAGGACCTCCGGGATGGGAGCCTCACCCTAGATATGGTTTTGATGTTGGTCGCTTTATACGCGGCCAAGGCATGAGCCCGAGCGAAGTGGATCTAACAAGTCAGCGCCAGCATCTTTCGTAACCTCGCGGATGAGGAGCTTACCAGGTAGAGGTAGTCTTGAATAATATACCCCTTGAACGATTCAAGAGGTAGGGTTCCGTTACCCAGAGCCATGACGAAGGGGTGGTGGACGAAGGCATCCCAGACGGGCTTCACATCTTCCCGTGAAAGCAGGTACTCGATGAAATAGCCACTCCGAAAATGTCAGCACCGACTCAAAGCCTATGATAAATGGCTCGCCTTACCGGGAGAAAGGAAGCTGGAACATGCTATGGAAATGGTTCAAAGGTCCGTGGCCCTTGCCATATCCCGGCGCTGTGGCAATAGCGGGTTGGACGTATCGGCAAGCCGCGTGAACGGCCTTGGGGACATCCATCTGCGTCGATAGATTGGATGCGATGGCCGCTATAATTGTTTCGAGAGCTGGTTAGCAAGACTCTTGGCCGATGTACTCCTCGCACTGGAATGGCATGTTCCTTACAGGCAAGAGTACACCCAGTCCCATGGGTATTCTGAGACTCCTGGTAATCACTCTGGATACGAATGATCTGGCCCTCGCCGCAAAGAACATCAATGACGTATCGAGGCTCTTTGCCTTCCACACCTGGTTGTGCTATCGTAAGGTCCTTAGTCAATGGAAGGTGGCCACCCTTGAGCAACACCCACTTAGGCCCAAGAGAACGTATCTTCTCGGCCATCTTCTCGATGTCTTCGACACTCTCGATGTCTCCGGGCGCTGCATCATCCTGAATTACTTGGGCAAGCAGCTTGGCCTCCGGGATGTTGGGAGTGAGGACAGTCGCCTGGGGCAGGAGAGTGTCTGCGAGGGTCTTGACGGCTTGATCCGGCAACAGTTGGCTACCGCTGGTGGAGATCATGACCTAAAAAAATACGAATAAGACAACCGCTCAGGCAATACGGGGAATTTGAAAAGATCCGGAACTTCCTATGGACAGGAGAGTGTCGTACAGGGTCTAAGACAATGTTCTTGACGTCGTGTGACTTTAACGTTTCGGCAACGGCTTTCGTGGTCTTTTCCGAGGCGAGCATACCGATCTTTACAGCATCGGTCCCGATGTCCTTGAGGCAGATTTCAATCTGCTTGGCAACAAACTCTGACGGAACATGATGGATATCATAAACGGCCGTGGTATCCTGGGCAGTCAGAGCCGTGGTCGCTACCATTGCGTAGCATCCATGTGCAGCAATGGTTTTTTGGTCCGCCTCCAAGCCACTAGATATCAACCAAGAAACGTGACTAGGTTAGCTGATCCATCCACGATGTCTTACAAGACAGACCATCCTTTTCTTCATGAAATGGGAAGAGACACGGGATGGGGTGAGTGTAAGAAGAGGAAGACGAACGCTCCGCCGGAGCAGTCAGAGCCGGCAATGACGAGGACCCTTCCACTTTTCGCTACCATCTTCGAGGCGATTTCTAGTGAAAAACACGGGCCGTAAGAGGCTAATTATTCTGACTTTTGACGTAGAGAAACTTCTGGGAGAAGAGACCGACTGAGATGGCCTGAGGAATTGTGCTTGAGTGCTTGGCTGAAGGTAACGATAATGATAATCTTTTGATTGATACAGTCATAAAAAAGCTTCCCAGTCCCACTACGTAACCCCGCAGAGTGGGGGAAATTTTTTGTTTAGTTTTGTGCCTGAACTAGCGGCAAGAAGCTCTTGATATTTTCTCATCTTGTACTCTCTCTGTAAAGCTGCTTCGGTCGCCTGGCATTAGATCGCCCGTGTCCTGCGTCGGATGCATCGGCAGTCTTTCCGTGGACACCACTTGGCTGAGACATTTGTCCTTTTGTCCAAAGAACTTGCATTGCCCGATGGCTGCGGGAACAACTTCCATCTTCCAAGGCTAGATATCGAGAAAGCTCGTTGAATGAAGATCGAAAATTGGTTTGCAGGTCTCATTTCAATTTCATTTAATAGTAGCCTTCAAGCTGGTGTTATCTGAGACTGGACGTAATGGATAACAAGAACAATGGTGGCCTCCGTGCATGGTTGTTCATGGCCCTTGGGGGTGAATCATGATGGCACTCTTGAAAGCGAAGGAAAATCAAAGAAAACACTCGGCGTCAAGGACATCCAGAGAACAAAAAGCTATGGAGAGACCCAACCAAGTCCCTCCGGGACGGACGGAGACCCGACAAATTTGATGTGATGTTCTTCGGCCCTTGTCACACGGGACTCGGTGCGGACGGCGTCCCCGCCACGCCTTTACGCACCATCTGCCGAATCCTGGGGCAGCACAGGGCATGTGGGACGACGGCAAAATGGCAAAGGTCAAGGTCTGGTCCACTACATGGCCCTTTATCAATGCCCTAAACTTCTCCATGTTTAGCAAGTTGATTTGCATTGCAGTACTCCGTACTTCGTAGGGCAGACCGTGATGCCGAGGTCCGTTTTAGAAAAATGATTATTCTCCGCATCGAAGTTGGCTGGAAACACGAGATGGCGACGCCTCAGATCGAGCTAGACCCAGTCTGGCTGTTGCTTTGCACACCAGTAACTAGAGTAACTGGAGAGGTTGGACCGAGCTGAGGTACTTCTGGCGCGTGTACTCCTGGGCTATAATGGAGCCAAGAGCGGCAGATTCTTCCATACTACCGCCTTATTGTATACCTTGGATCTAGGTACCACCTCAGACAGTGAATGGCCTCTTATGCACGGTCAGCAATGCACGACAACAAAGCCTCGGAGGGCCAAGCCAATCGTGAGCGTCTATTGGACACATACGTAGGGGGTACCTGACCCGTCCGTCCCTGTTTGGCTGCGTTGAGCTTGGTGGTGTGTCGCGAAGGGGTTCCTAGGTTCCTGAGTGCCCCATACCAGCCTTCAATTAATTTCATTGACGCTTCCCTCACGTCCTGACCCTTCATCCCACCACACCCCCATCTTCGTCGCGATCTCCGAATCCCCCGTCGTCTCCTGCACGGAAACCAAGTCGACATCTCATCTTCACGTCGCAAATTTCTCCAGGCGTTTGGCTCCATTCGCGTGTCCCATAACTGGTTGCTGTTGGGCGCCTGTAGCTCGAGCTAGCTCATCGTCAGCCCCTTTTCGCGCAACGCTCCACGAAGCTCGTCCCTCATTGGTCGACTGGATAGTCGAACGCCCAGGGTAAACAAACCTGCCAGCTTTGCTCCCCCGATCCTCGATTGACGACTTCAACGAAGCCGACGACGACCAAGACGACCCGGATCAGGGCGACGGCGACGATAGGCAACAATACGAGGAACGACGACCATCGCCGAGTGCGTATATTCTCATCTCAAAACACCCGCGGTTCCCTTCCGGCGAGCTGCCCAACTAACGATCGCGCCCAACGTAGGCCCTCCCAGTCTAGCCTTTCTTCTTCCCACAAAACTCGGAATCTAGCCGATTGAGGACGCAATCACATCAATCACAATGTCGTCCGTCAAGTTCGAGGCGACGCAGAAAATTCGCAAGACGATGGAAAAGGTTGGCGAGTTCACGGATCCCGCCACTACCATCCCCGGCACGAGTGGAAAGCATCCGATTACTGCTGCTATCGGTACTGCCATTACTGGAGGAATGGAGAATGCTGGAACCAAGGGATATCTGATGGTAGGTTCGCCTGGGTTGCTGTTCTCCCCAACCCCCTCCGAAATTTCGATCCATAAATTTCGATCCGACGGGCCCGAATGGTTTGGCCAGATTCGCAGTGCTAACGTGGAGATGTTTCACAGGCCTATATCAAGGAGCTCGAGGAGAACCCCCTCAGGACCAAGATGCTGACAGCCGGTACTCTCGCCGGTCTCCAAGAAGTTCTTGCTTCGTGGCTCGCCAAGGACCGAAACAAGAATGGCCACTACTTCACCTCGCGCGTCCCCAAGATGGCGGTGTACGGTGCTCTCGTCAGCGCTCCTATGGGCCACTTCCTCATCTGGGTATTGCAGAAGGCCTTCAAGAACCGAACCAGCTTGAAGTCGAAGCTTCTCCAGATTTTCGTCAGCAACGTAGTCGTACGTATCGGACTGAACGCGGAAACTTGAGTTGATCACGAAACGTAACTGACCTCTATTTTCCCCCCCACAGATTGCGCCGATCCAAAACAGCGTTTACCTCGTTGCCATGGCCCTGATTGCTGGCGCGAAGACCTTCCACCAGGTCAAGGCCACTGTTCGTGTGGGATTCTGGAAGGTCATGAAGGTTAGCTGGATTACCTCGCCCATCTGCCTTGCTTTCGCGCAGAAGTTCCTCCCCGACCACCTCTGGGTTCCCTTCTTCAACCTCGTCGCATTCATTATCGGCACCTACATCAACACTATCACCAAGAAGAAGAGGCTTGCGGCTCTCCGAAAGAAGCACTTCGGCAGCGGCGGCAGCGGATCCGTCGCCGGATCCCGCCCACCGGAAGACTACCCTCCTCTCGGCCCCAATCCCCACTACTAGGTGTTGAGTCGCATTGGGTCGTCAAAGAAAAAGAAAAACGAACATGGGGAAGACGGGGCGAGTCGGGTAAGGCGCCAAAGGTGATGTTGCGGGAAGAATGATGAGAGCGTCAGATATGCCAATGTGGGGGAATGTAATGATTGATCTCGCAGACCTGCTGTTGCATATTGTGTTCTATTCTGGACGAACCGGCAACTCGAGCGGTGCCAGGATAAAAGCCTCGGGCTTGGGGCCTCTTGTATATGGCGGAGGCAAGTTTGTAGGCAAGCTTCCGGCCCTGAGACTTTTGTACGATTCTGTTTTTCATTTTTTTTTTTTTGTTTTCGCCTTTTTTCTCCTTTCCCCCTTGCTTCAGATGTTTCTTTTGGGTTTTGTCTAGGAGTGAGGATGGCCATATAGTCGGATAGGTCAAGTACACTGATGGATTGTTTGACTTTGGACAAGCCGGTGCCTGCAAATATTTCTGTGCTGTATGCGATCTAGACTCTTCCTTCCGGGCTAGAAGATCCGGGACATGCCCCTTCCTCAGACTGTTGAGAGGTTGTTGAGGGAGAAGGCAGAAGAGGTTCGAACTTTCCCAGGGACTTTGGTCCTACAACATTGACGATGTCGATGGTGTCAGTGGAGAAAGGGGAAGGGGGCTCAGTTGGGACCTGCCTCATCAAAGGTCTCTCTTCCAAGCCGATAATTCTAGTGCTTTCCCACCTGTATCGAGACGCTTTCTCACCGAAACATCCACAGCTCGAGCCCAGGCATGGATTTGCAAGGCCCCAAAAGTTTGTCTTCTTCTCCACGGGCAGCACCATCTCTTCGCCGAGCATATCCTCATTTCCTATATATCATCGCCCTACTGTTCCACATTCGTTTGTTGGCATATTGTACATCCATTTCCGCCTTGATGACTTGACCTTGTCGCTATCATTTCTTGTAGCCCACGCCAAAGATGGCGTGGTTGCAATCGTTGCTGGCATGGGCAAGAACCTACCATGCCGACATAGTCCCGAAGAGCAGGGCCTGGCTTGCTGCCAAGGTTTCCTCCCCAGGGCCTCCTCCATCTCGATCCGGCAGTCCAGGGCCAGACGATTCGGCATCTCAGCGTCTATTAAGTCCGACCATCACCAATTACAGTGACAGCAGCTCAGAGCCTGCTTCTTCAGCGCCTCCTTCTCCCATCCCCAGCTTCTCAACAGATACATCCTCAGACCCCTCATCGAAGTCAGAGGACTCAGGACCCTCGACCGGCCTAACAACACCCGACCCGGACAATGTCATTCTCAAGATACTGGGCGGCAGGGGCCCTTCACAACTACGGCCTTCGTCGGAGGATTCGGAAGAGCCAGCCCAGACAGTGGTCCCTTCACATCGAGGGGGGAGCCCAGGGACGGGGAAATCCGAGTGTAAGCACACTAGAATGATGGCTGTATATGGGGACGATTACACCTGTATGAAGTGCGGTGGCAAAAGCCTGGGGAGAGTTTTTATTTGCGTAGATGGCGCTGAGGGTCCGGTGAAGTCCAAAGGTCATAAGGAGGATTCTTCTCAGAACCCAGTTAAGAAAGAGGTATGCCGGACCAACTCCAAAAGCTAAGCTTGAAATATACTGACGCCGAAAAGCAGCCGAGCAATGACGAAGAATCCGTCAAAGAAGGAGATGAGGACCCTAAAGACCGGCCGATGCACCCCCTCTTGCAAGAATTAACCCCCGATGAGCTTGAGACGAAAACGATTGCGGAACTCTTGAGATTGGTGATTAAGCGTAAGTTTCTTGTTTTCGTTCTCGTCCTTCCGTGCACCGCTCGTTGTACTGACATCGAGGCTCAACTCGTAGGTCGCCCCGAACATGCCAACTCACGCTGCCAAATCCACAGCGCCCTTACCTCTCTGAAGGCACCAAAGCTGAAGCCCACGAAAGCTCAGCAAAGTCCTAACTCTAAGCTCCTCGAAAGATCAGACTCCGAGGAAGAGCCTTGTCGGTATACCATCTGTGAGAGATGCCATTCGGAGAGATGCAGGGAAAGAGTCTATATGAGTCTTGATGCTGTAGCGACAGGAGAAGTCACAGCCGCAGGCGCCAAAACTATGGAGGCAAGCCCCAGCGACCAGAGGCCGAGCCTGTTTATGCCACAGGCTCGAATTCTAGGACACCGGATGGCTTCATATGGCTCTCGGAAGACAAGAATGTCGGCGGCGATGCGTCGTTGTTCAGACGTGGAGGTCTACTATTACGGCCTAGAAGGACATGGTTGGCGGATTCCCAAACGAACAACGCCCCGGCATATGCTCAGAGTCCCGCAAAAGCTTACGACCCAATCCAGCGACGACCAATCTGACAGGGGAACCACCAGCTCCTCCAACCGGCCCCAATGCCATGCGGAGTTTCATGGACTTACCTAAATGCTTCGAGTCTCCTGTTTTAGAGCGGGTCCTAATGGGTATGCCGACAACGACAGCTGAGGGCCTATTGTTTGCTTTGGCTTTGCTCCGGTCACGCTAAAACGGGATGGATGCATCAGAAGCCTCTAATCTACAGTCTCAACAACTGGGCTTATGGATAGATAGGGGGTGGGTGGAACCAGAGGCTCTTGCAGTTCTCATTAATCCCTCATTCTCCATTTCTTTCGTTTTCCCTTTCGAGTATTGTTTGTAATTTTAGATTCATAGAGGAGCAGCGTGGGAAAAGCGAGCGAGTTTTTTGGGTTTGGGGTTTCTTCAGCGCAGGCACGCTGTTTATCCTTTGATAGGATCAGTTTTCTCAAGCTGGCCTAGCTTGACTTCATACCCCTTTTTTCCTCCGTCAGTGTAGCTAGGGACAGACAATAGTATGGCATAGAGAGAGAGAGAGGTATTGTTGAATTATGATGTCTAATCCTAGTAACTTAGAGCTAGGAAGTGTATGAATGTGGACGACGTGTTGCATTTTCTCGCTAGGTTTGTTCGCTACCCTCAAGTCCCGTTCTTTATAGGTCATGCCCACTTCCACTTCGAGTATCATTCAAACAGTATGATGATAGTAATGAAAAGGATAGGAATAAAGCCACCTCTTGATAGTCATACAGAATAAGCATACACATAACAGAGAAACATATAATCATAAGAACCAATCCCCTCAATACCAATGTCCATCCTCAATCATCACCCGTGTCCTCCAACACAGCCTTCATCATCTGGTTACCGATAACGCTCGCCTCCTTAAACCTAGGTTCAAAGAACTTATGAGTCGACATAAACCTATCCCTCCACGTCTCGAAATGGCCCAGGGAGACACACTCGGCCCAACCCCTCGCCGCAAACGTAAACTCCAGGTCGTCCGAGCGATACGTGCGGTCCTCGATAGCTATGCGGATCGCCTCGTCGAGCATGGCCTGGTTCCGGAAGAGGTGCTCAGTGACACCCAGCCAGATGCGGAAGAGTGGCGTCGAGCAGAGCATGTGGTCGTAGGGGACGATGCCGAGGTTGGCCCAGCAGTCGACCATGGCTAGGAGGGAGAGGTGGTTGTTCGGACGGGCGGCGTCTTCTTCTACTTCTGCGCCGTCTGGAGATCCTGCCCCTGTGGTGCCGTCGCGTAGAGAGAAGCGGTCGAGGAGCTCCGGGCGAAGAAGCTGCTTCCTCTCCCACTTGGGACTAGCTTCGAGCCCGAATACCTTTTGCTTGGCGGCGTAGACGCGCTCGCGGAGCTTCTCGTGGTTGCCCTCTAGCATGAGCTTATACAGCGCCGTGACAGAGTCGGCGTACTGGCTAATCTGCTTCTTAGCCTGCGGGTTAAGGATCGCGAGACCTGCGTACACGTGCCATTTCTGGCTGTAGATCCGCAACATGATGTTAATCTTGACGTTCTCCACGCCCCCCACGTACCGCGACAGCGCCCAGGGAAACTGCCGGTTAGCATGCCACGCTTTCCCCATGGACAAAAACGCCGCGTGGGTCGCCGCCTGCGTGTTAGCCGTGATCAGGTCGTGGTCGTGCGCCGACAGGTAGACGTATTTCGAGCCGAGGCAAGAGAGGACGGCCTCGACTTTGTGCAGGGATTCGTCTGAGGCGCGGTGCTTGATTATGACGAGCGGTTGGCCCTTGGGCTCGACTTGCGGCCCGTGGAGGGAGTGACAGGATATGATGTCGACGTCGGCGGGGAGCCAGCGTTCGAAGGCGGCTATTTCGGGGTCTTTACATGATGTTTGGCCGCCGACGATGGCGCCGACCTTGGTTGCTGTTTTGGAGCATGAAAGGTCAGGACTTGTTTCTTCCCCTTTCTTTTCCATGGCTTACGACGAAAGGAAAAAGCAGAGCACGGAGGAGACTTCATACACTGGCCGTACATCTCCACCACGGAGTTTATCGCCGCGGCCTCGACGTTGTACAGGATGTAATCGCTTGCTCGGGATACGAGGGAGCCGTTACGGCAAATCTCTACGTTGTTCTATATTGTGACAAGGAGCTTCAGTATATGCCTCCTTCTAGTACAGGTAGAAGCATGTTTTCATACATTTCCTGCAAATTCTTTCTTTAAGGCTTCGATTTTTGCGTCATCATCTCTATCACAGGCGAGGATTCTAAGGACCCGGGGAATACGGTTAGTTCTTCAAGGTAAGGCACAGAGGAATGATCCAATGCTCGAGTACGATGGCTGGTTGGGAGTGATATCTGAGAAGAATGGATTCGTTAGTCCATGAACGTCGAAAACTGACTTGACACGAAAAGAACAGCCCCATAAAAGCAAAATGAAGATTTTTCAGACAATGTTTGTTAAGGTAGCTGGAGTTTACATCATCGAAGGCCCACGACTGAGGCACGGAACCAGAAAGGCGACCGTGCCGGCCATGAACAATGCTCGAGCCAAATGCGCTCTAGTCATCATATACATTTGCTGGGGGATGGGAAAGGAGCTAAGAAAAAGAAAAAGAGCGCAACTTACCCAGAGCAAACTGTGGTTGAGTCGATTCAGATCAACAACCACTCACCTCCAGCCCGCGGCAGAGAGCCTGTGGGCATACATCCTTCCCATATCGCCCATGCCAATGAGGCCGACGATGAAGTTCTCCATGTCCGCTGGGCGGGAGTGCTCGCGTGCCATTGCGAAGTGAGTGCTCAACAGAGCGGTAGAATTAAGAAATGGCCGGTGAATCCTGATGTGGCTACACCATTGGGATATGAAGAATATCCAGGTCTCGAAGCCCTAGGTTAGTCGGAAAGGGGCTTCGATCTGAGAGCCCTGAGAAAGAAGAAAAGAGCACGAAGACCTGAGGAGTTGTGAGGACAGAAATTTCTTTTGAGGTCAGATTGAAGAGAGCTTTTTAAGTGGGGTGGAATCGGGTAATACTCGGCCTCACGATGTTCTGTATATTTGCATATCGATATCGTAATAAATGCATCAATCTCATCTAGTCATCAAGGTGCAATCGGCAACACAGACTCGATCAAGCTCGCTCCCTACAAAGTATTAATTGAAGCTCAATGTAACTTATAGACAGTGTGTAGTAAAGGCCATCGAAGTACAGGAAAGCGGAAGGTATATATAACTGGCACGGGCGTGCTGAGGTAGCTTCCAGTACTGCATGGATCACGTGAGCTAGGTCCTTGCAAGAAGCCTTGTCGGCCCCCTATCGATGCCCAACCAGGAGCGTCACCGACTTAAGTTCTTTCCGTAAAGCCCAAGCTGGGAGGATCCTCTCAAGGCAGGTCAAGTATTCACTGCAAGATTCAGCATAAAACATGGCACGAGAGCACCGCCGGGAAATATCTCCCTCAAAGCCGAAAGAGGGCTTCAGGTCCGTCCAGTCCTTCGAACTTCGCATGAGGTCGACAGCACTGAGCTGACCTCTTCCAGCGCCGCTGGTGCGGTGTGCAAAGGCTGCTCTGGATTCTGCGCCGAATTTTTCGAGTCCTCCGGCCATCGTTATGAATATAAGACGAAGTATGTCCATATTCTAGAGTCATCTTTGAAGGGATGCGAACCCTGTCGCGTCGTGAACGAATCACTCGTCACCCTGTCAGAAAAGAGCCTTGAGCCAGAAACAGAAATTTCCCTCTATGTCCCAATCATCGACAGGCTCAAACCAGCCCTTCGTATCCGGTGGAAGACGGGTCTTTATCGGCCAAAAGAATATACAATAATCGAGCTATACTCATTGCCAGGTTCGTTGCTGAGCTATGTTTGTTCCTATCTGTATCGCTAAGAGGATAGCTTCAGACCACCCAACGCCATGGGATCTGGTTGGAGGTGACGATTGCCGCACTGTCAGCTGGGATTCGTCGTCGCAATCATGCTTTGATCTCGCACGCTCATGGATTGATACATGAGTCAACTCGCATGAGGAGTGCAGATCTGAGACGTCCCAGTTGCCAACGAGGGTTATCCACGTTGGCTCTGAACATGTTGGACCACGGCTCTATATCTCTCATGGAGAAAAGGCGTCGTATTTGGCGCTTAGTCATGTCTGGGGAGTTTTCCGCCCCCTGCTCACGGAGAAGGCCACTTTGGCCGAAAGACTGAGCGGCATCCTGACCTCAGACATGCCAAAAACTTTCCAGGATGCTGTTATGCTGACGCGGCTCCTGGGCGTCCAATATCTTTGGATCGATAGCCTGTGTATCATTCAGGATGACGCCACGGACTGGGAAATCGAATCGGCCAACATGGCAAAGGTATACTCCAACGCACTTCTAGTCATCTCGGCCGACGACGCAAAGGACGCGCGTGATGGTTTTCTACGTCCGAGAGGTGAAGGTGCTTATTCGTCCGTCGAAATTCCTTATCACGACGCAGCGACGAACAAAAATGGCAACATCTACGCCCGAAAGAAATGGCTCGACATCGGTGATTATGAGGACAATATCTATGTATTCGATGAGACCATCGAGGAATTTGCCCACACGGGGGAACGAAGTCATTCCAGGTCGTTGCTAAACACACGAGCCTGGGCATTCCAGGAGCGCCTCCTGAGCCCTAGGACACTCCACTACTCCTCGTCAGAGATGGCTTTCGAATGCAGGAACATAATCCAGTGCGAGTGCTCTCCAAGACCCAGGCGCGAGATGAAATCGCGTCTCTTCAAGAACCAGGGCATTGCCGAATCTTCTATCGGAAGGTCTGACTGGATGACCATTCTCGATAGCTTCACAGACAGAAATCTCACCTTCGACACTGATCGGCTCCCGGCTCTGGCCGGCGTGGCGGCGGCTATGGAGCCATATACGGCCGATGACTATATCTGCGGCCTATGGAGGCAGGAATTCAGGACCGGTCTCCTCTGGGAGATTCACCACCGCTCGAGCCCGCCAGCTCGTCGCCACCGACAGTACTACGCGCCTAGCTGGAGCTGGGCGTCGGTGAACGGGAGCACGGTGCACGGTTTCGGCCGCTACAATGGCTGGTCGGAAAGCCAAGGTGAATGGGCCGAGGTCCTGTCCATTGACATCGAGAAGACGACGAAGAATCCTTACGGACCGGGGCGTGGATCAGTCTTGCTTCGAGGCTATATCGGCTTGGCAACTGTATCGGATTTTCAACGCCGGCCACCCCTCATAAGGCTTGGTGCCGCTGGAACGAAAGGCGGTGAAGATATTATCTTTAACGTTGACATCGAGGAGAAGCCCGAGGTTGTCCAAGGCGGCGAGGTGTACATTTTTGTTGTCACGAGTAAGCCGAGCAAGGAGGACAGCACAGTTCGGACGGATATGTCTTGCCTTGTTCTTTTGAAGGCCGGAGAAGAATCGCCAAACATCTATCGCCGTGTAGGACATGCAGAGGGCTTTTATGGGCAAAATTTCAACAGCTGGGATCAACATTTTCAACGCGAGACAGTTCGTCTGATCTAGGTTGACAACCGACTAAAATACAGTATTTAGGTTCGTGTGTGTAAGGATATACTGTATATGGCTCGAGGAAAGGCCAGTGTCACCAAGAATCGTATTCAACCGGAAGTCAATTGATGATGAAAGCTTCAACTTGCCCCCTGGGCTGACTTGTGTGCTGTCAGAGCCCCTTTTTCTCCGACCGTACTCCGTACTCAGACCGGCCCCGCAGCTCAGTCATCCTGGCGGCAAGTCCCGTGCCACAGTGCGCTCTCGCTTGTACCTTACAATGTGCAACTGGAATGCATTTTAGAATTTAGTCTTCAAATGGTTCACGATTACCCAACATAAGATTGTTTTTTTTCCTAACAAGCATTCATAACTCTTCAGTACAGTACTCCGTACAGGTTCCGTGAAAATGACATGCATATATGAAGCCTTCTAAACCTCTCCAGGGATCTTAAACGTTAGTGCGAGAGATCGTTGCCATCACCTAACATATCCCATATCAAGTGCTAAAAGGTATATCTTCTAACACTTTATATCTGAGAATACCTACGTAGTACCTGTCATGAGATAGGTCAGGTGGTAGAATCTGACCTCCCACGCTAACGTTTAAGATCCCTGGAGAGGTTTATTTTCCTAATGTTACTTAGCACTGTTGTCACGGGAACTAGGGTTCCACATAAAAGGAATGCCGCCCGCCGCCACCATGTCAAGTACGTAGAACTTAGGAAGAACAACATCTTATCTTACAATTATATTATATCGGCCATTCGCCCATCGCGCCTTCCATCGCGTAACACAGGTGGCCGAATCTGATCTCTCGGACTAACACTTAAAACCCTGGTATAGGTCCATACGTAAGGAGTTGCTGACTCCAGTACTTCGATGCCCTTTGTTGCACACTGTCCATGAGTTGTCCTGCGACTTCTGCCTTTACATTTCTACACTAAAACTGCGGACACTGAACCTGAACTCCACTGTAATGTTAGGAATCAACAGTCTCAAATGACATTTAACTTTCCCTAGCTTAGAACCTGCTCCTGTCTCGTTCCAGACTCATTCCATCACGCTCCTAGGCTAGACCTTTTGGTTTACACAGATATTGATGGGAAATCAACAAGGAAAACTAGGGCGATCAAGAAGAACGGCCTTACCTAGCTCATTCCATTCTCGCGTGAAGAAAGATCTGGACCATTAATAGTTCCGTATTCCTCCGGGAGAAATTAGCTCTGCTCAAGATCTTCGTACTGATGGATATCGAGGAAGACTAGGGCCAGTCTCGACTCGACTGGTCCTGGTGCTAGTGCCTTGCACGGCACCTTCCCTCCATTATCTCTGCGCGTAGCCGTACTTGACTTTGTGGCTTATTTCGCTGGTCGCCGAACTCATCCTGGAATATCAAAGGGATGCGCCGAACCTCGAAATCTGGAATCTAGTAATACTTGAAGTTCGAACATACGAAGTAAATTACGTTGATAATTTGTATCAAAACCATATCCATGTCAGATACTCCATTGTCCCTGCCGTTTACATCCCTTTTTATGAATTCACAGTCAGTATCGAAGCTTCAATTGATTTTCAACCCGCGTCGATACAATTGATCGATGCTGATACCAGAAAAAGAAATAGAAAACCCACTGCTGATTGATCATTCCCCCCTCCTCGCCGTTATCTGCGTATCTCTGCCCCGCGGTCGTGCCCAGTGTCGTCCTACATTGGGCACGTTCTCCCCCAAGGTGGGAGTCGGCGGACTCCGACTCCGTATCCTCCGCGCTCCACCTGCTCGATAGGCTCTAGACCAATCCTCGACAACAATTCAACCCGGTGTGTGGGGAAGCTAGGATGCAGATCAATTGAAGCTGTGCAAGTCCCGAATTCGTTTGCCTTCGACTGAATCACTGTAAGCGAAACATATATAGATCACCAAGTCTCTTCTCCAAGATGTTGCTTCACCTCTATCCGCAGCTTCCCCCATTCTTTCTCCCCTCGTGGCTCCGTGGCAACGTGCTCCTTAGGCATTTCCCAACAGTAGCTAGCTTTGTGCCTGCCTGACATCTGATTCCAAACTCTCCTCTCCTGCCCTCTCTCCTCTTTATACCCCGTGCTGTGTTTGCTTGCACGAAGCAATACTAGTGCTCTTATAATCCACCAGATCACTCGTCGTCTACATCCATTAATGACTTCCCTTCCTATTCGGGCTCAAACCTCCACATCCAAAATGCCCAGAGTCTCCGCTGCCCGCTACGGCAAGGACAATGTCCGCGTGTGCAAGGTCGACAAAGACCCTGCCACGGGTATTCACACCGTGACCGAGATGACGGTCTGCTGTCTTCTAGAGGGAGACATCGAAACCAGCTACACCGAGGCCGACAATAGCGTAGTCGTTGCCACCGACTCCATGAAGAACACCATTTATATCAAGGCCAAGGAGCACCCCGTCAACCCCCCCGAGCTCTACGCGAGCTACCTAGGCACCCACTTCCTCGACAAGTACCCCCACATCCACGTAGCCAACATCAAGATCGTCACCCACCGCTGGACCCGCATGACCATCGACGGCAAACCCCATACCCACTCGTTCTGGAGGGACGGCCAGAACACCCGCGACGTCGAGGCCAGGATCTCCAGGAAGGATGGCATCAGTCTCGTCAGCGGCATCTCCGGCCTGAGCGTGTTCAAGAGCACGGGGTCGGCTTTCTACGGCTTCGTCCGCGATGAGTTCACCACGCTCGGTGAGACCCATGACAGGATTCTCTCTACTGATATCGATGCCACTTGGAGCTGGAAGTTCCCCGACACTAAGGCCGTCGAGGAGGCTGCTCCCAAGTTCAACAAGGCTTTTGAGGATGCTACGGCCATTTGCATGAAGACTTTCGCTGAGGACGAAAGCGCCAGCGTTCAGAATACCATGTACAAGATGTCCGAGCAGATCCTCGACGCGGCCCCAGAGGTCCAGACTGTCACTTTCGCCCTGCCCAACAAGCACTACTTCGAGATTGGTAAGTTGGAATCCAACCCAAATAGATTCCCTAGCCCCCGCCCTTCACATGCATGTTTCTCCCGTCCAAGTAGGAGGTTCCACTTCTAATCGTATGTTACTTGCAGACCTCAGCTGGCACAAGGGCTACAAGAACACCGGCAAAGACGCGGAGGTGTATGCCCCTCAATCAAACCCCAACGGTCTTATCAAGGTCGAAGTCTCGCGATAAATGTAAACTAAACCCTGCCCCTTTCATGAAGTGGGGTCTTCGAGGGCTTGCGAGTGTGTAAGATTCCACAATGGGCATCTTCTTCTTAGTTCCCATTTAGGTCCTCGGTACGAAGTAGAATAGGATCAATATCACGACGTGACGTAACATATCAAATCACACATTGGATTTCACTCTGCTGTGCCTGCCCATGTACCCTTGATAAGACATAAGAATGTAAGAGAGCCTAGACCCCATAACCGAGGCGTAAGCCGTACAGCTTCATCCATCCGTCACTCCATTCAGAAGGGTTTTTCTTGCACGTTTCCTCTTCCAACCCCGTCCATGACCAAACAACTCGGCATAACTTGATATTTACCAAAAGATGCAGAACGGGCCCGATTTCGAATTGTATAGTCTAGAAATGGTGTCTAAACACCGGTTCGGCTGTCCTTCTCGTTGAGTTGGGCGCTAAGGCGGAGGTGTTCGTCGAGACATGCTGTCTGCTCGGCTCTCACTCTCTGCCTGGGAGAAATCCTGCTTTATTCTCCCGATAGGGAAGCAGTGCATATCTCCATCCACAACTACCTAGATAGCCTCCCTTCCCAAATCAAACTCTTCACTTGCCTGCCAAAGAGACAACTCCTGAGAATTGAGAATGCCAACTCTATTAGACCAGAGCGTAATTGTACATGATGATACAACATAACAACCTCTTACCATCCAAACGTAACCCACCATTCCCCCATCAACCCCTACATCTCGCCATCCCTCCTCTATATCCTCGCATCACTCGAGGCCCTGATCGCCTTCGCGACCTCCTCCCACCCAGGCGTCCCCACAACCTTATCGCCAAACCGGATCAAATTCCCCTTATACGGATGCGCCGCGCCATCAAAAGCCTTCAGCCTCGCCAGCCTCTTATCCCTCAGCCTATTCTTGGGCAACATGCCACTAACGGCCCTCCGGAGAACCTCGCTGCCGCCGTACTTCTCGATGAGCACGTCCATGGTGACGGACCGCAGCGAACCGGGGCGCGTGTTGTGTCGGTAGTACGTCTTCTGCCACTTCTTTCGGCCCGTAGTGTAGAGAGCCGCGCAGTCCGTCACGACTACGTAGTCGCCGCAGTCGGTCGAGGGGTCCCACATGGGCTTGTGCTTGCCCATGAGGAGGACGGCGATGCGGCTTGCGAGGCGGCCGAGGGTTGGGGGGGTCGTGCCGTTTTTGGTGGAGAGGGTTGGGTGGAGGGCTTTGGCGGAGACGTGGTGCCATACTCGGGAGTAGGCGAGTTGTGTCTGGATTGAATGAGTTAGTTTATATTGTTGGAGACATTCGTCTTCCATCATGAAAGGGGAGGTAGATAGGTCGGAAAAACGTACAGGGCCGATGACTTGAGACATTGTGGCTCGTAATGCGGATTCTCGTCCGCTCTAGAACAAAAACAACACCGGAAACAGTCGTGGATTTGCTGGCTTCGCTATCAATTGAAGGCAAGCGCGCCGCGTCGTGAGCTTGTTCATGAGCTTTGCATTTTTTTGAATGGCCTCACTTTCGTATTCCAAAAATTCTGGAGTTTGATGACTAATAACTATCACGTGTCGACTAGCCCGTCTCGGATGTCCGAACGACAGGGGGGGAAGGTGGAAGCCGGAACCCCACGACATTCTGATCTCATTGAAGCTCTCATGTTCTTTTAGCGGGGTTCATCACTAATAAGTTTACCAAGCAGTTCAAATCAATGTCGTTCTGCAAGAGAGGAACCCGCCAATAGTGCTTGGTCTATGGGGAAGCGTCGCAAATGGTGCCACCGGCTGGATTACAAATTGCAGTAAAGCTGCTGCAGGTCCAGGAAACGGATTCACGATGAGATGGATCTCGAGACTTATTCGAGAAACCACATCGAGGCATTCAACCCCGCCATATCCGTTGCTTCGTAGCCGGCGCATATTGTACACCACCGCGGGAGTCCTGCCTATCATCTTCCTCGCCCATTCATTCTACACGAGTAATAACACCACCACCACCAATCGCATCCCTCCCACGAGCACCATGTCCATCACCGAGCCTTTTCAGGTGAGTTCGAAACGCCTCCAATGCCTAAATAGCGAAAATCGGATGTTTTCACGTCGTTGTTCTCATCCCTTTTTATTCAAAGTAGAAAGAGGCGATGCTGATCGTGAAACTTGAAACAGACTCTTTTCGCCGTGCCTATGAGGTGCGATGCCTGTGTCAAGGACGTTTCAGATACTCTCTACAGACTCCAAGGAATCACAAAGGTCGACGCCAACCTCAAGGACCAGTTGGTCCTCGTCGAGGGCACAGGTACGCAAGGCTCCTCACTCCCAGCAAATCATAGAAAATAATATTCGGCATGGCGTTGCGCCGTACCGGCGCTCGCGCTCAGGGACACTTTTTGTGGGCTGACTTCGTGCGGGGGAAACGCAGCTGCGCCATCGGCCATTGTGAAAGCCATCCAGTCTACGGGGAAGGATGCCATCCTTCGCGGGTCTGGTGCATCGAACAGTAAGTCTTTCTTTCGGCGTGCTTGTCACCCCCCTGCCGTCTTGCGTTGCAAGCGTTTGCATTTGCGTCCACCACGGGGCTGGTCCGTGAATTTTGTCCTATATTCCAAGAAGACTCACAGGGAATGCCTGTGTAGGTGCCGCTGTAAGCATCCTGGAATCATTCCATGAGGCCGAGGATGCAGAGTCCCAAAAGGCCCAGAGGAGTGTAAGGGGATTGGCGAGGATGGTGGAACTGTCCAAGACACTCACCCTCGTGGATCTGGCCGTGAGTGGTGTATCAGCCGGGTCGTACCGAGCTACGATACGGGAGTACGGCGATCTCAAGGATGGTGCCACATCGACGGGCCCAGTTTGGGGCTCTTCCGCTCTCAAAGCCAACGGGGCTACGGCGTCGGGCGAAGGGCCGAAGGGATTCCTAGGCACCATCGAGGTCGGCCAAAATGGCGAGGGCAGCGGGTTCATCACGCACCCTTTCCAGGTGTGGGAGGTCATTGGTCATGCCATGGTGCTTACTCGGCAAGACGATTCCGCGGGTCCCTTGAAGAATGATGAGGATACTCTCACGGGCATCATCGCGAGGAGTGCGGGTATATGGGAGAATGATAAGACCGTGTGTTCGTGTTCTGGAAAAACGCTTTGGGAGGAGAGGCAGGATGAGGTAAAGAAGGGCATGTTTTAAAGATCAGATGACGGAGAATGCAAGGCTCAATGCCACAAGTATAAAGCATGGCCGGGTTCAACCCTCAGTCCTCGTGGCTTGTAATTAGGCTGCGTCAACACAGCTGCCACACGAGACAGACAGATATAGACTTTGTCGTATGTATAGTCAAAACAAATCATTTTGAAAGTCGGGGTGGCCGCCTCGCTGGGACTTCTCAGCTCATTCTTGGACCCCAACCCGGATTAAGCTTAAGATACCGAGTAGGATAGTCAGATAGAAACAAGTCTAAATCAAGGAGCATCGTGCGATGGGATTGCAATGCCGTTTCCAAGACGATCCAGTGTTGCCCCATGCACAGGCTAACATCTTGGCTTCGGACAACGAAAGAGGAAGGAGTACGAATTGGAATCAACGCACCCAGACTCGTGGGGGGAAGGGGAAGAAGAGAGATCGTAGATCATCGTGAGATATTCCAAAGCGTTTGCGTTTCTAAGGAACAAGTCGGCAGAAACGGAACCTGCAAGGACCGGGAGTTGAGGCCACGATATCCCCAAACCGCCCTCTTTTCGTCTAACCTCGTTACCAATAATCTCAGCTTTTAGGCAGACAAGCATATTTCGAGAAAGGCGGAAGAGCGTTATGCCCAGCAGAATCATCGGGCCACTTTTTTTCAGCTCTGTCCGCCCTCCTGCCCTCCCAAACGGCCACAGGGGATCGTCTCGGCGATTTCTTATCCCATGTCGAAGCGGAAGAGCGAAAGTCCAGGACGTGGAGCCACTTTAGGTTCCGTGTAATGTAGATCATGCAAGGACTTGGAAACACCTAAGGGGGCGGAAAGGGGGTGAGGATTCAGGGATCGGGGAAGTTTGTGAATCGAGCACCGTTTGCGGATAAGACGGTTGAGAGGAGAGAAACTGAGGTGCTTGAAAGCCAACCATCCTGGCGGATGTGATGAATGTACTTGAGGTTGGAGGTTGGAGATGGATGGCGATGATGGATTTTATACCTCTCATGTTTGGAGGAAGCCATCAAGGTTCCTGGTCTTTCATAAGCTCCCGCGCGTCCATTGGTCTTCGACTCTCCGCTACTTTATTTTACCAAGGAAAGTAACATCTTCTTTTCACATCGGGACGTAAACGAAATCCTGACTCTATCGCTCATTGGCAGCGTGTTGAAAATATGTTGTTTTAGCTTGAAGATAAACCTGCTCAGCTTGCACGGAACATGAAGCTCACGGCTGGGGTTAGTGTCAAGGAACACCGGGGCCGAAATTCTTCATGCACTCCTCGGCCGCTACAGCCAGACCCATCGCATAAGAGGCACACCAATTGATACATCAAATACGACTATGCATAGCGTATTCGATTCATTTACATAGCAGACTCGCATTGCAATGGGGATCGCACATATCAATCCATTTATGTCGAAGCTCTTGAATGAAACAGCACAGGAAGATGTACTGGCAATCGAGCGAAATGCGCCCTCTCAGTGCTCCTTCCTCGGCCCAGGTAGAAGGAAACACTCCACTAAATGTGCCCATTTAGCAGCCTCAATATTCCGGCCGCTCTCGAGATGTTGATATTCGTGTCTCCAAGACTAAAACTACCAAGGGAGCGGCTTTGGGAAGGTGCGATGGCTCAGCACGTAGACCGTAGACCGACGCGACTCGCGTTTCTGGACGTGGAGGGAACATTGAATGACCTTTTCAAACCCTCCACTCCTAACTAACCAACATCAACTTGAAAGGATGCGTACAACCCCATCACCATGAGTGACACCGACGATGCCATCACCATGAGCGACATTGACGACGCCATCACCACGAGTGACACTGATGATGCCGTCACGGCGAGTAACCTTGAAGATGCCATCATCCGCGTGGCATCTTACCATCGCCGGGACTTTAATCTCGCCGCCATACACTCCGACATCGCCCAAGACAACCCCGAATTATCTCTTTTCAAAAGCTTTGGTCGGAATCCCATTTCTAACCTTGGCCGACTTGAGGCTCTACCCACAGAACTTCTAACAACCGTACTTTTAATGTGCGACATCCAATCGGCTTTCCGCTTCAGTCATGTTAATAACCGCGCGAGAACACTCGTTGCAAGCATGTGGGAATATCGAAAGACCCGTGAACACGCCCTACAATGCCTCTGGGCAGCATTCAAGACGAACATGGCGCCGAACGTTGGAGTATCCGCGCTTTACCAAGCCTTGGTGACGGAGACCTGTAGTCTATGTGGTGCCGCCTTTGGAAGATTCTTCTTTCTGCCTACTGCTACGCAGTGTTGCCTACCCTGTTTGGAACGAGCACCTGAATTGGCCGTCCTGTCCCTTGCCCAGGTCTGCAAAGCCACAGGCAGATCTCGAGCTTCGCTCAGGCAACTACTTCCTGTGCTGCACACCATCCCCGGTATATACGGCATGTGGGAGACAAATCGCAAACGCAGAGGCTATTTCGTCTCTAAAGCGCACTGTTCTGAGGTCTTGAAGGTAGATCTTCAGGAACCTCTTCCGACTACTACCGCAAATCCAGAACCGCCGCTCGCCAGATATATGGCGGCCTCGAGCATACCCTACTTGGACATGGCAACCGGTGACATCCAGATAGGCCTGTCGTGCAAAGGATGCCAGGCAATGTTGGAGGCTACTAGTACATTCTCTATTGAGCCTTTCAGACGACTACGTGACAAGGTATATTCGAGAGAAGAGTTTCTGGTCCATTTTCAGCAATGCCATGGAGCAAAGGTCCTTTGGATGTCAAGCAAGGGGGGAACAGTCCCTTTCGAGGAGCCGGAATTCACAAAGCGAGGTGGTTACTTCGCCGAACGACCTTGAGAGATTTCGATACGGTTGGGGGCCAAGTAAGCTCGTTTATTTACATACCGGCATCTCTTGCTGGCGGGCCCTGGACCCTTGTTGGACATCGTTGCAGCATAAAACCGGATGAAGGAGAAGCGAGTTTCGCCCAAAGTTGAGCAATGCAAGGATCAATACGGTTTGCAGCGTCCTGCAAACATCAATTGATCGATACTTGTAGAATAAAATTCATGTACACTAAATCAAACAAAGGGAAAGAGAAAAATCAATCACATGGAATCCCGCCCTTTTCCTGGAAATATTTCCCTCCCTGGGTCCCTCCTTTTCATGGGATGAATCGTGCAGCCTGCATGTCACATTCTCAACGTGACAGCTCTGGGAAGAACGAAGTAAGGATAATAAGACACCCGGATTTTCGGGTGGCACCACATTAAACGCCGCCTGCGGTGATAAGGCAAAGTGTAGTTGAGCTTAATCTTGAGTGGCTGATGATGTGCTCCTGGAGGGAAGAAGGCTTTCAGTTCGGGAGACGGCATTCCTCGGACCATCCTCGACGGGCGCCTTGCTCGAGGGGGACCCTGCCAGTAGTCCCGTCAAGTGATCCCTTTGAGATGACCCAAACAGCGTGAAGTGATATCCGATGAAGTCATAATTGTTGAGATGGCGGCGACGAGGCAACCTGCCCAGATTGGGATCCGAACGAAGAAGTTTCTGCTCAGCACGGGTTCGTACGACTCGGTCTCGTCCATCCTCTCACTTGCTCAGAGAAGCGTTCTATTTTTAGATCCCGAAAGATATTAAGCCCTCAATTTTTTTTTTCTCTTTTCCCATCCTGTGATATCTTTTTTATCAGACGACATCCCTCCGATGAACCCGTAGCGACGGCTTGGCCCTTCGTTGTTGATGGTGATATTGAAATCCCACTGGCTAGCGTGGGCGCTTAACGGGGATTTGGTCGTGGCTGGAGACCAGTTTTGACCAGATCTGGGAGAGGTTTCCTGGATGGTCGCAACGTCATTGGACGGAGAGTCTAGCGTGCTGTGACGACCTGTCCGTCCACTGAAGAAGAGAACATGCATCAATTGATGCACGCACTTTCACTGATGATGTTGTCCCACTTGCCAAACCCTTGTCCTGAACGACCATTGATGTCGTGTAAACTATTTACCAGGGAACATGGGAACAGCCTAGCTCCATCTCATGACTGCACAGGGATCAATTCAGGGATAGGAGGCCGACGAACTGCGGCTTACGAAGTCGAAAGCCACGAAACTGCATTTCTTTTTTCTCGAGCCATTGATGCAAGTGAACCACCCTGAGCTTTGTGCCACGAGCTAAACGTTAGTTGGACGCGAGGGAGAAAGCGTCGTCGTGGTCTCGAATGGTCCACCCTCTCCTAACCACTTGAAACGGGTGGGTCGTGGTGAAGGGGTGGCCGTAACTTTGACATATGGAACCGGACCCTCTTGCACTATGACCTTCTGGACGAAATCGAGAGTTCCAGAGTGCCGGGTGATCAAGCGTCATCAGTGGGGACCGTATTGGGACCGTATTGCTTCGGGTTTAGCTCGAGTGCCATGCAGTATGTATTCTTCATCTCCAGGCCTGTGTACTCCGTACTTCTGGATTCAGGCACCAGACGCAGTGTTCAACTCGTGGCATTGACAGGGGAAGAGTATCGGTCCTGTATCGTGTACCTCACCCCGCCGTCACACTCGATGGTCTGCATCAAGACACACGTATCACAGGCTGTACCAGAATCCGGATAGGCTTATTGTGACGGGAAAGGCTTGGTGTTCCTTTCTGGTCCCGGGATTTTGATCGAACATTCGATACGGGGCACACCCCTACCAGGGTTACCAGTATTGGTAGAAAGTGGTTCGATTTCTGAAGCTTAAGACGCCGAAGAAACGAGTCGGAGGATCAATACCATTGATCGAATTTATTCGATATGCCGAGTACGAAGGGGAAACCTCTTGGACGTAAACTTATGCAGAATAGGTGTCCGGCATCTACCCGTTCCTGGGGGGGGAAATAAAACCAATAGAGTGAAAGGGCGGTTGCTAGCTGGTATGCACTCCCGGATCTTGATCTGGGGAGTAGTGTAATCTGTCCCAGACTCGACTGCCGCATCGGTTAATTGGGAGTCGTATTGACATGGCAGCAGGTTGAGAGCATTCAGGGAGAGTCCATCCGGGAGGCCGGGGTTGAGCCTCGCGAGAAGCGCTCCCTCGCCGTGATATTCGATGTGATTTCGTCTACACTAGGAACTGTAGCTCAATGTCGAGAGCATTGTAGTGTCTGCTTGGGGACGCTTGGCGAAGGTGGATGGTGTTGCCGAATTGGTGGTCGATGCTGCACCCACACACACTCGGACCCTGGATGGACAGCCCTGACGCCACCCCCTCGAGCAGTTGCAGGTCGAGACAGTGGGACTGGATGACATTGATCAAGACCAGTGTTATCAAGAGCGGTCTGGGCCAACTAGACGGTCCGTAAGCTAACACCATTTCAGCGCTGAGGTCTTGACCAGGGGACCTGGAAGATACGACCAAGGTACTCTAACCTTAAAAGCTACCCGTCTCGTTAGGAGATTTTTGCCAAGCCACAAGGACCCCTTCACTGGAGCTGATTACTGCGTACTGACTACTTGCAGTGCGCTCCGCTATACCCACAAATACTAGTGCTCAGTACACTCACTGCTTGTGCGTGCGAAGCAGTTTACTTGGGTCCCCAGACAGCGAGCCCGTCCACGCTTCATCGTAGCGTCGAAGTACCCATGACGTCCCAAAACGAGGTCTCGAGGGATTGGAAGCCGTCCATGGGCATGATAATCCCAGCCCGTGAGGCGACTTGCATGATATTCCCACCGGCTGGGGTGGGCTGGTTCTGGGCCCTGGCTGCTGGTTTGGGCTCGATTTGATTCCATCCCATCGATCCCGCCTCTCGCATTCACCCTCTAGGCGCTGACCTTCTTGCATCCATCCAATCTGCAGGTTCCTCATGTGCCAGCGTTGCAGGTTTCCCATTCCCACCTTCTTTCTAAACTATTATTGAGATTCTTAAAAAAAACATCGTCTCTTTTAGCCAGTCTTTTCCGGAAGAAGACAACGTGCAACCACTTCTCAGCCCATCCCGATCCGTCTGGCGATCACAGTCGACTCATCCTCTTTTGGTCTCCTCCCTGCTCTTCGCGATTATCTACGTCCTTGTTCAAGGACTTGTCTGATCCCATCCGCCACACTTAATCAAACTACCACCTGGGTAACCCAACTCGAGACGAATGAGATCTCTTGTGGTACGAGAGTTCTTCGGCCAACCTCTCGCAGTGTCTCTGTCCTCCATCTCTGTCCGAATCTTAAACAGCAAGGGGTTGAAATGCCCAACCAGTCAGTGTCTTTAAGACGTCAATAACAATATCAACTTCGAAGAATAAAAAAGAACTTCAACCTTGGAGCGAGCCAGTGACCGAGATCACTCATGCCAAGGCTCTAATAACCCTGCAGAAGTGGGCAACACAGCAGTCAAGAACACAGCGCAAGGGAGGAGGGTCGTGGATAGTGGTGTGGTATTAAACTACTAATACAAAGGTAGCGACTTTGGAATGCGCTGCGCTGCCAAGCGGGGAAACTCCGTGTCACTAAATAATTTCTACCATTTCTCCCGTTTCTCCCACACCAGACAGAACCACTGCACTCTCGTTCCTCTTTGTTCCCTTCCCTTGTCCAACCTTGTCCTGTCCCTTGCCTATCCCTTGTCTTCTGTCCCTCCCCTCCCTCGCTATTCGCTGCCACCATCGACGTAGTAAAACGGAAACAACCCGAAGCACGACCCACGGCCTGCTGCCAGCCCATCCTGTCCCAGACTCCCCAGCCATTGATCAATCTTAATAAAACCAAGTCCTCCCCACCCCTCATTACTTCCCTCCCGTGGTCGACCTGGATCTCCTACTTCATAACACACTCAGGCACACGAACACCCAAGACTGCCCAAAAGCCAGGATCACCACCAATTTTTTGCTCGTCGCATTTGGCGACAATTACCTACGAGGAATTGTAATAACAATTCGTCCTCGTTTTTGTCCTGACGTTTGCTCTACGCCTACCCTTCGCTTGCTTTACGCTTTGCTCGTCGCTTCCCTTCCTCTCCTCCCCGCCGACACACAGCAGATCGGAGGTCTACCCTCTGTTGAACTACCACGATGTCTCTTAAACAGGTAAGCGCAGCGCCCAAAATGAAGTTGAATGGCCACGCCTGCTGTTTCTTACTCTTCAAACCCCAAGGGAAAGTCGGTTTGCTGTTGGGAGCCCGTCGCATGCTAACCCAGGTATTGTAGGAAATCGAGACGTGGGTCGCCGCCCTTGGGCGGTACGACAACAACGAGTTCGACGAGGCCCTGAAAGAGTTCGAGAACATTTCCGATACCTCTAAAATCCTCTTCAACATGGGTGTCATCCACGCCACTCTCGGCGAACACGAGAAAGCTGTGGGCACTCTCCCCGATCCTTCTCACTAACACCGCCCTGTCTACACACAGGATCGGGCAGCTTCCCTTGTTTCGTGGAACTGACGTTGTAATTCTAGGTCGAATGCTACCAACGAGCGATCCGCCTAGATCAATACCTTGCCGTTGCCTACTTCCAGCAAGGCGTCTCGAATTTCTTGCTCGGCGATTTCGAGGAGGCGCTTGCCAACTTCAACGATACCCTACTCTACCTTCGAGGAAACACCATGATCGATTATGCCCAGCTTGGCCTTCTCTTCAAGCTTTACTCTTGCGAGGTCCTCTTCAACCGAGGTCTGTGCTACATCTACCTACAGCAGAAGGATGCCGGTCTCCAGGACCTCCAGTACGCCGTTAAGGAAAAGGTCGTCGAGGACCACAACGTCATCGACGAGGCCATTCGAGAGGAAGCTGAGGTACGTTGACAGTTTGCCGGGTTGCGATACCAATTCGGGTTTGGCATGTACTAATCACTGCCGTTTCTCACTTTTAGGGCTACACCGTCTTCTCGATCCCCGTCGGGGTTGTCTACCGTCCGAACGATGCCAAGGTCCGCAACCTGAAGACCAAGGACTACCTAGGAAAGGCTAGGCTGGTGGCCGCATCAGACCGTGCCAATGCATTCACTGGATTTGCTGGATCTGAGATCAAGAATGTACGCGAAGAAATTACTATACCGTACCCGGTTATGGGGATTCATTTGCTAACAGACCTCTCTTTGACAGGCTGGAAAGGGCGATGCCAAGGACGACCGACCGACCGACAACATCTCATTTGCGGCGACCAATCTCGTGAAGCCAGGCATCCAGAGCCGAAGGCAACAATCCGAACCTCCGACTTCACGAAATGTCTTCCCTCCCACGCCTCCACCGGAGAACGACCGACCTGGTGGCGGTGTCAGCAGAGGGGCCTCTGTGCGCAATGGACCCAAGCCGACCCTCTCGAAACTCAATATCGACCGAGCCGTCAACAATCGCTACGAGAAGACGTCATCACCTCAAGACACCCGACGCCGCCCGCAGAGGTCCAATTCCTCGACCCCCCAGCGATCCTACTCGCAGCGCCAGCGTAATGATGAAGAAGAGGACTATGCCGACGATGTCTACGACATGTACCAGGGTGGTAACGGAGGCCCCCGAGGCAGCCGTCAACAAGGCCGCCGCAACGTACCCCGCTACATCGAGGAAGAGGACGACGAGGGAAGCGAATTCGACGACGGATCCTTTGACGAAGGTGACTTCGAGATGGTCAGCAATCGCAGGGCGAATACTGGATCCATGTCGGCCGGTTCTTCCAGAGGCCAGTCGAGAAGACCAGAGGTCCGCAAAGTCCGTGTCAAGGTGCACGCCGAGGATGTACGGTACATCATGATCGGATCCGCCATCGAGTTCCCAGACTTCGTCGACCGTGTCAGGGACAAGTTTGGTCTGCGACGACGATTCAAGATCAAGGTTCGCGATGATGACGTGCCCAATGGTGACATGATCACCCTCGGTGACCAGGACGACTTGGACATGGTTCTCATGACGGTCAAGAGCAATGCGCGGCGGCAACGGCAGGAGATTGGAAAGATGGAGGTGAGTCTCAAACGAGAACATCATCAATACTTCCCCGGCTTTTGATTTGAGGCTAACTCGACGGATTACAGGTTTGGGTTCAAGAGGTTTAGATCATTTATACCCCTATATACGCATACACATACGCATCGAGCGACGCTACGACTTAATGACTGGAGAATACACCAACTTTTTTTACTATTTACTGGCCTGCTCCTATCTCTTCTTCGATCTACCTAGTTTATATACTCTCCTATTTATCAAGCAACTCACACGTCCGACATGGGCCAGTTTTGATACCCTCTCATCCTCCGTATCCTTACCACATTCTTCAATCTACTAGGCCTTTCTATCTTTTTCCCTCTTCATTCTGTTTCGATTTCCTTTATTCCTTTGCATCCGACCGAAGGCGGGACAACGACATCATCCACAACTTAGATCATAGGGTACCTCTTCTGCCACTGTGGGAGGTACCCTCTTCGAGGAGCACCCCGCAACACGGGAATCAGTCTCGCATTACCAAGGTTCAATCCTTTACTCTTTCTCTTTTCATTATTTCCGATCTGGAATCGTGTAGCGGTGGAGAAAAGAAGGGGGTCTGCTATTATTTTTTTTTTCTTTTTTTTTTTTTTTTTTTTTACTACAAAACGGGGGTTTCCGAGGTTGTGTGTCATAATTGCGGGAGATGGAAATCATTTGTGGGGATATCGACTTTCTGAGAGCCTCCAAGTCTCTGCTTGGCTCTTCCGCCCACTTTTCTATCCCTTTTTCATGTTTTTATTTTTTTGGTTATTCCCTAGAATTTCGGGACTATTTTATTTTCTCTTCCAGAGGAGTTTTACAAGGATTCCGCTTAGGCGAACACTTGCGAGCGATCTTCAAAAATCCATGGCCTCTTTTTCCTTTTTCTCTATTATTCCCAAGCTTATACTCGTTTTTAACGCGAAGCAACCACCTCCTTTTCTTTTTTTTCTTAGTTTTAATCTGATATCTTGATGAAACATTTTTGCCAAGCTCAGTTGACGTCCAGTACTTTTCTTCGCTTTACTCCTCTTGAGACGAACGTCCATGTATGTATGTACTTCGTAAGACAGGTGTAAGCACGATAGCTTCATGGAGCTACCCCTTTTTCGCTGGGAAACAAGCTTTTCGTACCGTTGATAAGGGCACAAACGGACTGGCCTTTGGTTCCACTCGACCGGTTTACGGGGGGGTAGTAACAGTTCGTAATCCGGGTCTCCAACGGGAGGGTTTTGAATTTCACCATCTGAAACAGCAAGACCCATCGTGGGGACCCGCGAGAGAAAGACGCAAGGCAGGGGAGTGTAAGAGCGCGGTGGGGATTGCAAGGCTGGGTCCACTTACCCTTGGGCCTTTTTTTTCTTTTTTCCTTCTCTCCTTGATAACAGAACACTTCATAAAAGAGAGGGGGGGAAAGTTCGAGTCGGTGCAACGCTTGGCCTAGTTAGGGTGAAATCTTGCGTTTTAAGGTTTGGGGTCTAGTTCTGTTTGGAGTGTGGCTGAAACGACGGGTCCTTTTTCGATGGCATGATGGGTCCGGGAAGGCGGGAGAGATCGGACGATGTGAAAGAACAAAGGGAAAGGCTTACTTGGTAGACCATGGTGGTAAGTAGAAGGCCGATATTACATCTTTATAGCTATGGATGAGTTCGGCTTCCTCTTTCATACATTCTACAGAAATATATGGCGGTCCTAGCTAACTTATATGCTTAGCAGACCAACGTTGAATCTATTCCAAAAGCGTAAATATCGTGCCCGCATCTACCTGCACTTCTAGACGCCAATGCCTTCCTAGTGATTGCCACCGTTGTGCGTAGTCACAGTCTGGCGTCCGGCTACATATATCCTCCGTGGCCATTGCCGTGCCGAATACTCTCATCTTCGGACAATACTGGTGGCTCAATTCGACAACCCTAACTAAAAGGGCTCTTCTCGATGAGCGGACCCAGCAAACGAGGTCTCCCCGTTGGGCAAGACCTGAGGCGACGCCCATCTTCCGCGAAGTCTGGCCGTGGTAACTCCTAGCTAAGTAGAGGCGCGGCTGGACGGAGGCTAATCTGCCAGCGGCTTGTGGCTGTACCTGCGGTAGTTGGAGGATTGAGGTCGGTGTCATCTGTTGAATTTTCTCTGTGTAGCCTTGGGCGGTCGCGGGAAAGCTATCTAGCCTCCTCTGGTCTCTCCAGACGACAGTACTTGGCCTGTTGAAGCACTTCTTCTCCATCTCTGACTCGTCGGATTCCAGGAGCGCGTAGAGCAAACTATCATGCTCCCAACGAGCCTGTCCTAGTTCGTCCGCAGGAAATAGCCGTTGAGTAGCCATGCGCCACATTGAAGCCTCGCTAGGCTTAGAAATAACATCACTGGCCGAGGGTCCGATGTAAGCGATACATCCAAGAGGGACGGCGTTGAGGCGGAAGACGAGAGGACTATCCTTGTCTTCGATAAGCTGCGTCGAGTCGACCTGGTCCTCGTGCCCGCTCGAAATTTGACTCAAGGGGTCGCCATGGCCCTCCATAAGGGCCCTTTTCACCAGCGCGCCAATCAAAACGATTTGGGATTCCCCCTTGAACAAGTCAAATTGATTCATGAAGACCATCGTATCCTTCCACACATCGTAGAGGGACTTATTATAGTCCATCGGAAAGTCTGCTGCGTCTGACGCAAGCCCGACGAGCCCGTAGACTTTGTCTCTCGGCTCGGAGCACTTGGCCTCTCTGTGCTCCTCGAGTAGCCTTTTGAGGGTATGCGAGTCGTTGTACTTCTCCTGACGGAGGAGCCTGTCCAGCCGAAGCGGCCCCGTGTTCCCATCGCTGTTGTGCATGGCGATGAAGTGCATGAAAAGATCCCACGACGTGGCCTCGCCGCCATAACAAACCTGGAGCTTCTTCGCGTGCCCGATCTCTTGAAGTATCCAGAGACGTTCCCAGTACGGATCGGTTCGCAGGTGTCGAACCATATTCTGTTGGATGCTGTTGCTACTCAAGGATGGGTCTTCGTCCTCTCGCTTCTCGCCCTCCTCGGACTCCCGCTTCTCAATCATCTCCCTCTGAAATTCAGTATATCTGCTCCCTAACCAGACCACGACCGTGCAAGCCCTAAAGTAAATCTGGTCCATAATCCGGAGCTGCCTATTCCGCTCCTCTACATCGCTCTGGTTGATGCAGATGGCGTCAATCCAGAGCAGCTTCGGAGCTTTCCCGGATGCGAGCCGGCGACGGAAGAAGAGTAGAGCATCTCGAAGGTTCCTTTTGACCTCGAACGGGACGTCATTTATGGTGATGGCATCGTCCGCTATCTCGGTACCCCACATGTACGACAGCGCCTCGAACTTGGGCTTTCTGCCGAAGGCGACCTCGCATAGAGTACAGACCAAGGGATCAGTCTCATGTTCGGCTGGCTGTATCTCAACCAGACGGATGCTATTCTCGTCGAGCTCTCTCCCTTGATAAGCAAGCGTGTTATCTATCTTGGGCCTCGTCTTGCTTACGGGGGTTGGGCCCGGGTCAGGGTCAGTCCGCCGGCGTGACTGGTTCGCGTTCATGATTTCTGGATTCTGAGCTGTCATGGTGGTGTGTTTCTGATAGCAAACGCAGGGCTTCTTGAAATGTCGTTGCCTGCAGCCTCGCTGCCTAATGTCAACAGTACTTCGGTACATTGTTCATCCGAGTTCATGCACGGCATGCAAGTACAATCGCAGTACATGACCATGTGCTGTCCTCGGCCTTCGGAATATTTTCTAAAGAAATATCTAATAGGAAACAGATTTCGCTACCTGTTGCGAACGGTATAAATCGTCTATTGTATTATACAGGATGTAAACTTGATCTGTTCAAACATGGTCGGGTAGCTCTATCGCTTCTATGCCCTTCCTGGGTAGTGTACAAGGATTTCTAAATAATGCAATTTATGAGAAGCTGAGAAGGGGAAATACGCACTCGAGCCCTCGTGAGAGCTTTGGAAGCGTCAGCAAGTCGTTTCAGCGACTCCTCGGGACCAAGGAGGTAGAAGACGACGCTGGCAGGTTTCGAGGGCTTGTTGGCGTCTCCTAGAAGGGCGAAACGGAGCGCGGCATAGACTGTGTCGCGGGCAACTTCGGGAGTGGGATATTGAGACGAAAGGGAAGAGATGGCCGCGGAGATGGCCTGCTGGAGCTCTTTCTGGGTCCATTCGGAGGACTTGGAGGCGTCTGTGGGCGTGGAGAGAGTCGCCAGAGTGTCTGTGACAGTAGCGATGGCGTTGCTGAAGTCTGATATTTGGTCTGTAGAAAACGAAGCAAGACCTACGTCGTAGGCGGAGGCGGGGATAGTCCAGACGAGCTGGGGATTTTCGACAATGAGGTCGGTGTGGTGTCCGTAGCGGGTCGTGTTCAGCTGGAACATCTTGAGGATGTACTCCTCTGCAGATTCGGGGGACGCGAAATGGGGTATCAAGTCACCGTGCTGGGAGCGATCGAAGACCACCCCAGACGAGGACTTGACTTCTTCGGCGGCATTTTTGCTAGAGGCGTCGAGTTGGTTGACAAAATCGACGGTTGGTATAAGGATGGACTCGCGAAGGACAGGATAATGCGCCTCCGGATTCTGGAAGAGATATTCGGCGTGCTTGTGCTGGAAGGAGTCAAGCTTCTGAGGGTTGACTTTGATATTACCCTTGGTGAACTTGAAGGAGAACTGGAGATGGCAAAGAGTCAGTATATAATCGCAGGCGGGGAAGGTCAAAGGATATCCATGTGCTTGTTTCCAGCGGGACCTACCTTGTTGATAAGATCCTCCATTTCCGTGAAAAGTTCAGAGTTCTTGCTCGAGCCCTGTGCCAGACCCCAGCCGAGAAGAACAAGCCAGTTATTCAATGCAGAGGGCAAGAGACCCCGGCATCGATAGGACGAGACGTCGACGTCGTGGTTTCTCTTGCTCAGCTTTTGGCCCGCATTATCTGTGAGAAGGCCGACGTGAAAGAACTCCGGTGGCGCCCACTTGAACGCATCATACAGAGCAATGTGCTTGGGAGTAGAGATGAGCCATTCCTAAAAGAATTTATCAGCCTTACCGCGATGCATTTCATAAAACAAATACATCAAACTTACAGCGCCCCTGATGACATGGGTAATTTCCATCAAGTGATCGTCGATTACATTGGCGAAGTGGTACGTGGGGAATCCATCGCTCTTGATGAGGATAAAGTCGTCTTCCTCCTCCTTCTTCTCGTACAGGCCATAGACACGGTCTACAAAGGGGAAGGTATTTCCACCCTTGAACCGGATGACATGGGTCTCTCCCTTGGCCGCTCTATCGGCGGACTCTTCCGGGGATATGTTTCGGCAGGTGCCCGGGTACCGCGTCGACTGGTTCTGCGTTACGGCCTGTGCCTTGTGCTTTTCCAGGTCCTCGGCCGTACAGAAACAGCGGTAGGCCTGTCCGGATTCAAGCAATTGATCGGCGAACGGGCGGTACTTGTCAAGCCTCTCAGACTACCTATGTGTAAGTTCAAAGTTGTATCCTCAATCGGGATCACGAAAAGTGAAACTCACTTGTCGATACGGGCCATATGGACCGCCGACATCAGGACCTGCCCGGCGTTAGACGTTAACGTAACGAATGAGAAATGATCTCAGGAGTGGTGTGAGTACCTTCATCCCATGTTAATTGAGCCCATTTGAGATCACGAAAGAGTCTCTGTTCCGCATCGCCAACAATTCTCAACTTGACAACGGGTTAGTTAGGTTCTAATGAGCGGGAATTATAGTCTTGATTCATACTCGATCCGTATCCTCCACGCGGATGATGAACTGCCCACCCGTTGCCTTGGCTAACAAGTAGTTGTACAGGGCTGTCCTCAAAGACCCAAGATGGAGATATCCAGTAGGTGAAGGGGCAAAACGAGTCCTCGCCGGAGTGTTTGGAAGGGCAAACTGGGTGGTTTTATCCTTTCCTCCCCTCGAACGGAGCAAGCCCCCAAGGCCTCCACTACGTGATAAGCCGCGTGTTGTTGAGAAGGGTCGGGACCTCGAAAGGATTTGTGAGCTGTGATTCGCGCATAATCGGCAGACGAAGACTCGGGGTCCACCTAACGCGGGCAGGGAAGACCCGAGAGCCAGCATCGTGGCCTAATTGAGTGAAGTCGGGCGCAAAACTGCGTTTCGCGAATGAAGTTCGCACTGAGAAAGGATGCTTGAAAGATTCTCATTTAGAGGTGTGAGGTGAGTTGTTGCTGCTATTCCACACTGTGAATTTGATATTGATCGCCACAGTGCAATGTTTGATATTGGCCGCAAATGTGGCGCACGTGGCTTGTGTCAGCCAGCAACATGTGCAAGTAGCCCGTTGCCCAAGAAATTGAAGGGAGCAATGATAGCTCAGCATTCTCATAAGAACACCTGGGAATAGTCATTCTATGAATCTCCGTGACAAGAGAACCTAGATCACTTGAGGATGAAAGAAATTCAAGCAAGTGTGCCTTGATTCGGCGGATGCATCTTGAATCTACAATAATGCCGAATCAGACTATCCATGTTGACGGGCCTATCAATGGAGTCGTGATTCTCTGATCATTGATGACTTTAAACCTTATGTTGTAGGGCAGTTACAGTACTCAAGCCCTCGACGTACGGTCCAAGGACCTCCGGGGAGGTTGGGCCTGGCCAGGCCAGCCAGGATCGCATTTGGGGCCGTTCGGACCGCGCGATGCGTTGACCATTTGATGAGAAATGGAGAGGCGCTGGTCACCCGGAGAAACGCAAAATTCAGTCACTTGGCAATTTTTTGTTGGAACGTGCAACATGCTGATGAGTTAAGTTACTCAGCCAAAATTGGTGAAGTTTGTAATCAAGATGGAATTGAGGCGACTTTTCTAGTTCTTTCAATCCTTTCTGTTGCAGGACTCGCAGCGCCTGAAGCCTAAAGGTACATTGATACACTCTTATTACACAACCTCGTCCATTCCAGTTGGTGTTTTCCCTCAATTGATAGGTGCAAATAGGTGCAGGCGGCCCCACCCCCTCCCTCCCAAAGTTGCCTCTGCCTCTGATGCGAGATCAGAATAGTGCCTTCCCCGACAGCCCCGCCAAAATTTCTTCAGACTTCACGCCTTCTTTTGGCTCCATCACCCCTCTGGATATCAACCGCGTTTGACGCCCGCCAGAGAAAGGTCACCTCTTCGAGACGTCATTCACCGCGGAAACACCACAAACATGGCAGATTCAGGTCCCAGCTCAGCTCCCCCAGAGACCGAGGAGATCGACCTCTACGGTAAGCTATTGTTGAGGTACTTCGCTACTTTTTTTTTCTGTTCATGTAAACTGATGATATATGTTTGTTAGAACTCCTCGGTGTCGAAAAGACTGCCACACAAGACCAGATCAAAAAAGCGTACCGAAAGGTAACTATTATCCTTCATAAACCCCCTTCCGTTTGTCACGCAAAATACTTGTCTAACGTTTGCTTACCGCCAACAAGGCTGCGCTGCAACACCATCCAGATAAAGTACCTGAGGAACGTCGAGATGAAGCCGAGGCGAAGTTCAAGGCCGTGACCCAAGCCTACGAGATTCTGCGTGACGAAGACAAGAGGCAAATTTACGATGCCGGGGGAATGGCCGCCCTTCGCGGCGGTCCCGGTGGCCCTGGTGGCCCCGACTTGGAAGATATTCTTTCCCAGATGTTCGGCTTCGGCTTTGGTGGTGGCCCCGGAAGGGGTCCTCCTGGCCAGCGACGACCAAGACGCGGGCCCGACGAAGAGCAGGAATACACCGTTACCTTGGAAGAGCTCTACAAAGGAAAGACGGTCAAGTTTTCTGCCAACAAGCAAGTCGTCTGCTCCCAGTGCAAGGGCACCGGAGCCAAGGATAAGGTCAAGCCTCAGCAGTGTGAGCAGTGCAAGGGTCACGGTGTTGTGGAGGGCCTCCGCCAAGTCGGCCCCGGTCTCCTGACTCGAGAAGTCTTGCCCTGCGACCACTGCAAGGGTTCCGGAAACTTTTACAAGGAGAAGGATCGCTGCAAGAAGTGCAAGGGCAAGCGCACAACGCAGGAGACCAAGGTCCTCGAGATATACATCCCCCGAGGTTCCCTGCAGGGAGACCGCATCGTTCTTGAGGGAGAGGCCGACCAGTTCCCCGATCAGACTCCCGGAGATATTGTTTTCACCCTAGTCGAGGAACCGCACGATGTCTTCTCCAGAGTCGGCGCAGATCTGTCTGCCGAGCTCAAGGTCACCTTGGGCGAAGCTCTTGGCGGCTTCTCCCGTACCGTGTTGACGCATCTCGACGGCCGAGGTATTCACATCACCCGCGAACAAGGCCATGTCCTACGCCCTGGTGACGTATTGAAGGTCCCTGGAGAAGGTATGCCTCTTAAGCGGGGCGACGAGAAGGGAGACCTCTACTTGATCGCCACCATCGAATTCCCCAAGGACGGCTGGCTCCAAAAAGAGGCCGAGTTCGAAGCTCTCAGCAAACTCCTGCCTGGACCTCCTCCTCCTATCACTGCTGAGGAGGTCGATGAAGTTCATTACGAGGACGGCGCAGACCTTGAAGAAGTAAGTTTAAAATTCCTCACTCCAGATACGTGCATGCGGTGCCACCGAATGCTAATGCAGTTGTACCGTAGATGGGAGCTCGCTCGGGTGACCCTCGAGCTGGAAATGCTTGGGAAGATATGGACGAAGATGGTCCTGGACAGGCACAATGCCACACTCAATAAGAGATTTCAGACGCTGTTTATTAGAGAGTTTTTTGGGCGTGTATTCGTTTGTCGTACTCGGTCTAGTTTTTTTATTAATTCATGGAATCGAGGGAAACATAGACGTGGAAATTGGACAGGGCAGCATGCTGTTCAGACATACGAGTTGATGACATTGGGTTTCCGTTGCATGGGCATGATGACAATATCGACTAGTACTTTGATACTACTTCTCTACTTACCCTCCATGTCTATGATTTTACGCTTTCTAATGATGAATCTCACTTTATATATAAGAAAAATCTATCTTGATTATCGTGCATCTTGATGAGGCCCTGTAATTCCGCCTTCGGTGGGTGGTTACTAAATTCGGTGAAACTCGGTGGGTTCGGTGAGGTAGAATTGTCCATGCAAATTGTGGTTGGCCAAGCCAAAAACTCGAAGCCCCACTCCCACTCGCTACCGCTTTTGTGAGGCGGCGGGAAAATGGCGGCTTCGAAAAATCAACAAAGTACCCCGCACGTGACGCACAGAAATGTCCCTCCAGAACTTTACCCTAGCCCTCTGACAGAGTCAAATCGCCTAGGAAAAACTTCAGTCGCCCTTGAGCCTTTCCTTGACGACGAAGCCAATCCACCCTCAATACTAACACCACACAGGAAGCACGACAGTCAAGGTACGATAGAAACGACACAATCCTCATCTTTCAATCGATTCGCGAATATACTAAAAATTTTTCATTTCGATATTCCAGATGGTTTCCGCCAAGCAGCACGTTCCCATCGTGAAGAAGCGTACGTTCGAACCAAAATAACCCCCCTCTCTTTTCGTGGCCGACCGATTCAAGTCTACCGAGACGCCCCGACTCGAATTCCCCTTCCGATGGCCGTCTTGTTTTTCCGAATGATGGAACTCTATTTCTTGGGGAATGTTGGAAGTTGACATTGGTGTTGAATAGGCACTAAGCGCTTCACCCGCCACCAGAGCGACCGCTTCAAGTGCGTCGACCCCAGCTGGCGCAAGCCTAAGGGTATCGACAGCCGTGTTCGCAGGCGGTTCAAGGGCAACCTTGCCATGCCCTCGGTACGTTTTCTCCCTAGAGGCTCTGAGAGTTCTGTGGCGGAATACTAATATTTCTTTTCTTTTGTAGATCGGCTACGGCTCCAACAAGAAGACCCGATTCATGATCCCCTCCGGCCACCGTGCCTTCCTTGTCAGCAACGTCAAGGATGTCGAGCTCCTCCTCATGCACAACCGAACCCACGCTGCCGAGTACGTATTTCCATTATTACGAAATCAGGGGGGGGAATATACCTGGAGGGGGGATTGAAGACTGTCGCATGAGCTTGTACGGAGAGAGGAGGAAGTAGATGTGCTGACGACATCTTTTTTTTCACAGGATTGCCCACAACGTCTCCTCGAGGAAGCGAATTGACATCATTGCCCGGGCGAAGCAATTAGGCGTCAAGGTTACGAATCCCAAGGCGAAGGTTACGACCGAGGTGTAAAAGTGATGATGAAAAAGGCCGTGGAAACAAAAAGGGAAACTTTGGTCTGGTTGTTTTTATCGGGGTTCATTGCGCTTTGCTCACGATTTGGACCGTCGGATGCATCGGATATGGTTTGCGTTGCGATCTGATTAAACGGGGGGGTCGCTGGCAATTAGACGAACGAAAGAAATTCGTCGCTAGAAAAATAAAGACCTCTTTTCTTCTTTTTTTCTCAAGGGAGAGACAATGCATCAAAGGGATCGTTTTCTATTGCTGGTCAAACCGGGCGGGGGGAGGAGTTATGACGGATGTGAACGTGGACTTGGTTTCGAGGGCGTCTATTTGGCATTCTGGTGTTGGCGTCCAATGCTCGAGTTTATTTGGTCTAGATGTCGAGGCGGCCCTGGTTCTCTAGCTCCAACATACCATATCCATACCATCTTCGCCCTCTCTATCCTTTGTCTTTTGCCATTCTCGCGAGCTTGGAGAACAAGCTGCCAACCTAACCCACCGGAGCCTAGGAGAACTGCTTCAGAAGACGTCGGTCTAGCCGGTTTCGTTGTGAGATCTTCAATACTGGCGTCGTACAGCTTGCCATCTAGATGGCTGGACGAAATATACGCTCCGACCAGCAGCAGGAAGAGTCCGGCGCCCGTCCGATCGACTTGATACAGTTACCACGTCATTCTCGAAACCAGTTCGCAGGAGAAATCGGAAGGGAACAGAAAGGGGATATATTGCCTCATGGCCGAATCAGCCCAAAAACCGGCCTCGGTGAACGCTCATATACAAACCCCACAACAGTCCAACCTCCCACACCCACTCCTTCTATCTTCTATCTTCCCCTATCCCAGTCCCCACGTTATCCTCGTCCCCACGTTATCCTCCCCGACGGCCTCATTGTTCTTCGTAGAAAAAGGTGTCGAAGCTCAGTACTTAAAGCAACTAAACTTGCCCAGCGAAAACCTCCAAGGTCCACGATGTATGCCGCTCCGATCCGCATGGATAGAAGTCCCAAAGTGTCGGCCGCCGATCGGGCGAGCGTAAAATAAGCTGCCGCCGTGTCGTCTTCTGTGGAGGCCGAACATTGTTTTTATGGTTTCGTTTTCTTGATTTCTTTTTGTTTCTCTCCTCTAGATCGATCGGGTTGTAAAGGGGTTATGTTGTCCTAGGCTTGGATCGTGGTAGCATATTCAATATTTCCAAGGCGAGGCTGGTGGTTGGGAGGCCGCCTATTTAAGAGACGGTTTAGGGTTCGCCCCGAAGGCGATGATATCACCGTTGAACCAACCTTGGCGTTAAATCGTGATGTGGAAGCAAAAGGAGGCTGTGATGTGAGGCAGTGCAGTATGTACCTATTAAAGCAAGGCGGAAAAGTTGGTGGCAAAATGCCTTTGCAGGGTATACACCTGGCGAGCAAGTTTACCGAATGCAAGAAACAGGGTTTCTGTTGAAGAAGAGTTTCCAAAGTTTATCACGACGTCAAGCTTGTGGTACTAGTCTAACTTGCAGTGATGAGCCGTTAGAGACCGATTTCTCCACGGCCACTCTCTCGTTATGGAGAAGACGTGGATGCAAGATGTTTCGTATTCTGAGAAGACTTATGCTCTGGAAAATGATGTATCTTGAAAAGAGGATTCCACCAAGGACCGATTTGATGCCAGACGTTGGAGACCATACCAAAATATCCTATGCCTATGCCTATGCCTATGCCAACCCAACCAAACCCAAACACCAAAATGAAAATGAATAAACCTAGAAACCCCTCGTCACAGCTCTCCGCCCTCGGCGGGATCAACCACGATCGAGAACTCGGAGCCCTGCGCCTCAAACTCGACGTATCCATCTACCAGCTTCGCAGACACCTGCCCAACAACGCCGTCTCCCCAAACAACCTCGTTATTCACTCTGACATCCACTGGCCTGCTGATCACAGGCACCGCAATGATACCTCCATCAAGGCCCTCAGGAACCTTGACTTCCAGACTAAAACTGCCCGACTCCGCCCTGCTCCAAGCCACACGAATACCCTCCTTCGACCCCGGAACAGGAACCACCCCTCTCGCCCACGAAAGATCACCCTCACGCGGCTTCACCTTCCACTTCGTGAAACCAGGCCCCTCGGGCGTGACACCAAGCACATACCTCGTAAGCAGCGCCACCACGCCCGAAGACCAACCATGCGCCATACTCTTGAACGAGTCCCTATTGTAACTGGGATCGCTGCCCTCCCAGAACGTGACGCCCGGATCCCGACTCGCCATGTATCCCCAGAGCCGCCGCATCTCCTCAAGCGCCGAGTCGACTAGGCCCGTTTCGAAACGGGCGGCGATCTCAAAGTAGGAAATGAAGGCGTACGTTCGGTCGCCATAGTCGCCCGCAAGGAACGAATTGCTGTAGTAGGCGTTCCCCCAGTCGCGTGCCGTGATGTTGCCCCAGCGGTGGAGGATCGACTGCGCGGTTGGGAGCGCCGGATCCCCGCCTGTCTCCTGGCTAACAACTCCGGCGAGTATAGCGATACTATTGCCGTCTTGGGCATGCGTGGGGCAGTATACCTTGCCGCGGCTGCAAGTGCCATCGTAAAAAAGCCCTTCCGTGTGATCGAAGTTGTGCTCCTTCAACGCAGTACTTACAGAGTCCGCTCGCAGCATCCACCTCTGAGCGTCGTGCGAACGGGTGTCATTACTAGTAGCACTGAGTGACTCCGCCAAGACGGAAGCCAGACGAAGGGCATACACGTAGAGAGCGTTGTAATAGGTAACAGGTCCGGTGCGCCGAATAAAAGCATAGTCGCCCCAGCCGCCAGTGCCACGTCGGCCCTTCTCAACGAGGCCTGTTTCGTTGTTCATGAGACTCGGATAAAATCCGTCAAGAACCGCAACCATATTAGGGTAATACTGCCGAAGATACTTCATGTCGCCGGTGTGCATTACATAGTCAAATGTGCAGACGACCCACCAGAGGGGATAGTCAAACAAATGCAAGGTGTACCGGAAACTTTTTGTCAATGTTAGTTTACCATAAACTTCTCGCCGTACATAAACAGCCAACACTCACATGCTCGCAGGTGGGATCCAGCCATCGTCTCGTTGGTGATCTGCTAAATCCGCCAACACATTCCTCACAGCCTCGCTTGTGTCATGAGATAAGTAAGTCGTCAAGGCAGCGACAGCCAGATCCCCAACGTATGGATCCCTGTCCCGTTTAGCGCCATCATGCAACACAAGTTTCCCATCGAGGCTGTCACTATCAGCATCCCTGGGCTCCGTATCGTTGGCACGGAAGGTATCGGTGCAGAGGTCGTTGGTGTATACGCCATCGTACCACCATTGGGTGAGATCCTCGTCCGAGCACTCAAACATACCAGTGAAGGTGTCGGGAGTACCGTGAAACGCGGATAGCCGTATAGATATGGATGAGATGGCCACCGTGCCTTGAGGCGTAGTCAAGGGCGCATCCTTCTTAAGAGCATCAAGGGAGATACGAACATATCGGAAACCGTGAAGTCCATCAGCACAGACCTTCCCAGACTCTTCGCAGCCCAGCTGGTTGGTCCAGGTGTATTTGCGCTTCCTAACTGCAATCTATGAGAAGGAAGAAGCTAGGTTAGTCGTGGCATATTGATTGACGCCATGAGCCCCGGTAACCTACCTGATCTGTCCCGGGCGTCAGATGATTCGAAGAACCTCTGCGAGCCTGTCATATCTTGTTAGTCATATAAATGAGCACCTTGGATGCAAGCGGGCAGAAAGAACATGCATTATAAGACCGTGAGAAATCGCTCGTAGACGACAAATGCTTAAGCGTCTCCGAAAATGCAAGCCTCAAGCCCGGCAAACTTTCCCCGTCCCCCTTCGCATGAGCAAACTCGATTGAGAGGATGCCGACGGTATTCATGCCAAAATCCACCACGATGCTCGGCACCTCTTCCGTCTCATTCTTCCTCACCAGCACTGTCGGCCCAGTCCCATCGATGAGGCCGTGCTGGTTGCGCACGCGGCCCTTCGTGAGCTTTTCGAGCACGGCGACGGGCCTGATGACATCACTTTGTGTGGCGCGGACATAGCGGTGCCAGCTCACCGACTCGGTCGGTTCTCCGACAAATGGGTTGCGCCGGCCGAACGGTGGCCATGTGGACGAGGGATCAAAGACAAGGTATAGGACTATGAAGAATAGGACGGTGGCGATGATGATTTGCAAGCGGAGGAAGGGGCTGGGGCCTGAGACCGGCGGGTATAAGAAGGTCCTCATGATGCTGATGTTCGGTGTGTATGTACCGAGGTAGGGTCTATATACGATCCTCGGAAGAGTCTATATATCAAATGAATTCCATGTATGCGAAGGCATGACGTATAGTGAGTCTAGGAAATCGTGAAAAGGCACATGTGATGCGTATTGTTGTCTGGATCAGCTCGAAGCGGTGAAATGCTATGAGTCGCGGCAAATGCTTGCATAGGAGATGCACCGACCCCAACGCCTGAAGACAGCGATCCGATGATATGGAAGACAAGGAAGAAAAAGAAAAACAGAAATTCACCAAACTTGGTTAGAACCTTCGAATTTGATGAACAATTTCCCCCAAGGCGGGTGGGAAAGGGGAGGGAGGGAAAGAGGCTGAGAAGAGGTGAGGTTTGAGGAACATGGTGACACAGAACCGACGTCAGCGGGAAGGCACGAACGAGGGAGGGAGGGGTTCACCAAAGCGGAAACAGACCGCATGACCCTCGCCTCATGCTCACGGGCCTGTGACCTCGAATCATGACCAGTCTTTCGCGACCAGCGACGCCAGATTCGAATTCCGTGCGCACCAATGAGGCTCCAATTCATTTTGTCGGAGGCGATCTATCAATATTCAAAGCAAAAAGAAGAGTTAAAAAAAAAAAAAAAAAAAAAAAAAGGCGACGTCGCAATAGATAAAAAGTTGGTCGTTTGTGGCAGCTGAATCGAGGATTGGCTGTGACCTCGTGGATGACGCATGCCAATTGCAACAAGAAACGAATCAGCATCCCAGTCTTGGTTTAATTCTTAACGCCAACCCAAGCCTCGTGGGTAGTCAACCATACTGGAACACGGAGGGCACATCTCCTTTCTCACGGCCTGTCTCTAGCCTCATGACCGATGGTGTCCTCAGAATTAGTTAAATGTCTCGGGGATAGATGCATTTTCTCATTTCTCAACACGCAGGCGCCGAAGCACACAGGATGAAACGCTACATAATGCTAGACATTTCGGGAAGGATACAGCTTCTAGCTCGCTTCCTTGCCCAGATACCCTTTCCTGCAACCATCATCCCCGACCTCGCCCCAGCCCAGCTCATTCCTTGGAACCTATCGCCACCCTCAAGGCCTTTCCGAACACCTCAACGAAGTTGAAGCAGTCCTCAAAGGTGTTATACAGGGGTGCCGGAGCTACCCTAATGACGTCGGGCTTCCTTTCATCGACAAATACAGCTTCCTTTTCCAGCTCCTCCATGACGGTATTCAGCAAACCAGGCGAGAGGAGTAGACTCAGCTGAGCCCCGCGCTCATCAGGGTTCGTCGAGGTAATCTGCTTAAACAGCCCCCGGAGATCCTGCGGCATGTTATTCAACAAGCTCTCCAGATACGCCGTCAGCTTCTTCGACTTCTCCCTCAACGGGCCGAGGCCGCCCGCGAGTTGGTACACCTCGAGAGAGGCCGTGACGCTGGTGATGTCGATGATGCTGGGGTTGCTGATCTGGAACCCGGCGGCACCGACCGCAGGGTGGTACTTGTTAGCCATCACGAACCGGGTCTTCTTCTCGTTGCCCCACCAGCCCGCGAGACGGTTTGTGTAACCGCCCTCAGAACCATCGTCCTCGATCTTGCTTGACACGCTGCTGTTGCGCGAGTGGACGAATAAGCCGGCGATACAGCCTGGTCCGGAGTTAAGGTACTTGTAAGTGCACCACGCGGCGGCGTCGACATTCCACTCGTGGAGCTTAAGGACTACGTTGCCGGCTGCATGCGCTAGATCCCAAATGACGAAGATGCCGCGCTCGCGGGCAAACCCCGTAATCCTGGGAATGTCTAGCAGTTGGCCCGTGTAATACTGGATCCCGGGGAGGAGTAAGAGGGCCGTAGTAGACGCGTTCTCCTCAATCGCCGCTAGGATCTTTTCGGTAGCGAGAAGCGGCTCATCCCAGGTCTCGGGCTCAATCAGGACCATGGAGTCCTTCGTAGAGAGTCCGTGGTGCCTAATCTGGGTCTCTACGAGGAAGTGATCACTAGGGAAAGCCTTGGCCTCGAGGATAATCTTATGCCTCCCGTTTCTATCGGGCTTGTAAAATGCCGACATCAGAAAGTGAAGGTTCGCCGTGAGGGTCTGCATGACGGCGACCTCAGAAGGGTCCGCGCCAACGATGGGGGCCATCATCCGGGCGATCTGGTCGTCGGCGTCAAGCCATGTCGGCAGCGGGCTGCCCTCGAGCGGCTTGAAGTGGCCCTGCACACCTTGGGTGGCCCAGGTATCGAGGTACTGCTTCACCCTGGTCGCCGTCCGCTTTGGCTGGAGACCCAGGGAATTCCCCACAAGGTAGGTACACGGTCTGCTGCCCTCATCATCCCCTCGACCCAAGTCGACTACACCGGTACCTGCAAGTCATAGCGAAGACAAAAGTGTCAGCTGCCCTGCTGCGACAGTACCCACAATACAGGAACAGAGAGCATGTGTGCTCGGATCGTTCTAGAACACGGGAAGGAATCTTGCGCAGGGAGGGGGGGAAAGGGGGGGCGGAGGGCGGAGGGGGAGGGGGGCAAGAGGCTACCGGAAAATAGTATGCAATCTTTACGGACCTCTCTCAGACAGAGATTTGCTCAAAGCTTCGGCTTTCGTCGGGACGATAAACTCGTTTCTCGTGAAACTCAGGGCATCGTTTTGGTCCAGGGATGTCGCATGCTCCCTCGAAAAGGTATCAACTGCAGCCATGGCTTCCTTCAAGGGTCAGGAGGTGGGGTATGATATACACTGTACGGGGTGAGAAAGAGGGCACTTTGCAGTTTGGGGAAGCCCAGCAAGGTGAGAGGAAGAATTTTGGCGGTGATGGATGGATCAATGGCCGGGGCTGGGGCTGGATGGAGGGCTACTTCGTAGACCGCTCAAAAGCTGGAAGCTGGAAGTGGATGGTGGATGGCGGGGTCACCGGGGTGGAGGATGGAGTATGTGTGTACTTCGGACGTGAGCACTGAGCAAGAGTGATCGGTGGGGGAATGTGGACTTGGCACGGAATTACCACTACTGTACCTGGTGACCCGGGACACAAGAAGACCGGAGAAATTAAGATTTGCGAAAAGGTGCTTCCAATGGCTCGTTGCAAGGAAAAGAGCGGATTTTTTTTTTTTTTTTTTTTTTTTTTTTTTTTTCCCCACTTTATGCCGTGGGGATCATGGATGTGGCGGAGATCGCTAAGTTCGCGGGGTTACAGAAGGGCCCAGATGTGTAAAGCGCTAATTGCCGCGAGTTGCCGCCCTCATTGTCACGAAGCATGAAGGAGCACACAATTCCGTTTTTTGAAAGACGGACGTTTTCCATATGCCGGATGGAGTCGAGAGATTGGTCGGTCTTCCCGAACTTTTGTGAGCAACGTAAATATCGTAGGACATGTATCGAAACAGTGGAACGTTGTTTCCGGCCCTCGTGTTCTCTAAAAAAAGAATACTAAAGTTCTTCTTGGTATTACGCGTAGACTGTGTCAGGGTTTTCAGAAAGGATTTGCTTCGGATGTGCGAGAGAGATTTGATACATAACATGCATGCGCGAGATCGAGGTCGAGGGTGAAGAAAGAGGCAGTAACCGCGCAGCTTTGGTCGACATGTTGCGTTTGGTGGCGAAGACTGTCACATACCTGCATCACCTGCATAGACCGGAGGGACAATGCAGGGCACATCAATTGATCTAAAAAGGGATGTGTACTGCCGGTCTGACAAGTCTTCGACGTTTGGAGGGTTGATGCAATGAACGTAGCAAAATGCTCGATATGCCGGGTGACCCAAAGTGGCTGCTCCAAGTCACAGTGTAACCTGCGCAATTGCCCCGCCAAAGACGGTGTACTTTGTACATCAATTGAGGGACCAGGCTTGGCATTGTTGCAAATCCAGGAAAATTTCTTTTGTCCACGTTTCTCAAGGCTTGGTCGTGTTAGAGTCGTAGTGTATTCCTACCGGCCCCAGGAATAGAAATAAATAGAATTAGAGCTCCAATTCTAATCCACTAGTGGTTCTCTGGGATGCAAGGACGGATACCTTCGGTGTTGTTTGAGGGAATCCAATTTTGCAATACTGTGTACCTCGGTACCGGTAGCCAGAGGAGTCCTCAGTGGTCAGTGGCATTCAGTGCGATTCTCTTTGCCGTGACACCGGAGCGGGGCTGGCGGGGTACCGGTGATTGATACGCTGAGGCACGCCGAGCTTCCGTGCTTGGTCCCGGCACGGGGAACGCTGGAAGATGCACTGGGCAGCGTAAATACAGCGTTTGTCCTCTAACCACCAGCGTATTGCGCAAGAAAACAAACGCTCAACAAACGCTGTAGTGGTTGGGGTAGCAAAAGGAGGGCGCAAAGTATCCTTCTCGGCACCTCTTCACCTAATAGGTAGTTACTCGTAGTACTTCGTACTTGGCTTTGTCGAGAAAGGGGTCCTCTCGTACTAGTTGGTAGTTAGCTAGTGCTCGAGACAGCTAGACCGGCCTAGTCGTCAGCCCTATTGATCCTACCGTGCCCTTTTGCCCTTATTCGCAGTTCCCCGGACTGTGTCAAGAGGACAGGAACAGAAGGTGTGGAGAGATCGCAAATTTGCCAAGCCCCGTGACTTGGATGGAGAGCATCTAGACCGCTCCCCCAAGTCATGCCATGTATCTACAATACCCAAAATTTGCATCGTTAACCAACAAAGAACATTGGCATCACGAAACCCCTCAAAAACTACATCTACTTCGTATGTATTGATGATCCTCTAATGTGGGTCTGTGTATTTTCTTACGCAATATTGACCAAAAATGAAGCAAGTCTAGAACATTGCCTGCCTGAGGATTGCGTCTCTGCTCGGAAAAAACGGAAAAATCCAACCGAGTCCAGTCTTGTCCTGTCATTTTACTCTGCAGGTGCGCAACGGTCAAACGTCAAGCTCTGTGGTTGCTAGCATAATAGATTCATAAGCCATCACGAGCATTGATGGATCTGTCCCGGATCCTGGTGGGTATGGTCCAGCCGAGCACGCCGAGTTATACGAGTCGACGCGGTCCGAATCCAAGGGAGGTGGAGCCCCGCGAGACAGCTAGATTCCGAGTGTAGCTCCCCAGATCAGGGCGGGATTCCAAGGCGTGCGGATGCCAAGAAGAGCTTTGAGCCCCGAATCTGGCCGAACCGAAAGCACGGATCCGGAAGGACACAGCAGGCCAGCGTCCCAGCGTTTACACCGCTGCTCATAACGCCCCCGCAGCGTTAGCCTCCATACCGAAACGTAAAGAACTCGGTCTTGCCTCCCGAGACTGCGGGGAAAAAGCAAAATAAGCAACGATCTAGCCTGATGCAAACATCAGCTGTTGAAAACGAGGCGGTATTATGTCCCAATCGCCGCCGGACAAGTGTTGAGAAACGCATCCTTCGTCGAGTCGCGAGCATCGACAAGACACGCCTTCCGGATGGAAATAGGTAAATGGTCAACGGAGTTCTCAGACATACCCGCCAGGAGCGGATCCCATAGGTGGGTATCTCATGCTTCCTCACTTGCAAATGTGCCACCGTACATGCACATCGCATAAACAAGTAGCTAATAGCGTCGATTCACCATCAAGGTACGGACGCCGGTGTGCATTCTGTGACTAAAAGGATGGATTGCGTTATGTAGCCCTTGCTTATTCGTATTCCCAGGGAGAAATTGCATATTCTTCTTCCAAGAAAAACGCAGATGTTGTTTGTCCGGCGCCCGATCGGGGAGTTTCTTTAGGAACCCCGAGCGTCTCAGAGCGACGATTCAAGCCCCGTGACGGCCGAGCTGGCCCACGAATAGGCGGGAAAGGGGGAGGGGCGTCCATAGCTCCGGGATTTGACCTGAAAGGAAAGAAAAAAGACCCTCGAGCTAATAAGTCGCCAATGCAGCCTGCCAGACCGTAAATCGTGCAGCTAGCAGGGCCAAATCGCGGGGTCTGGAAGGAATCCGGTCCATTCGTCAATTTCAGCAGGGCACACGTGTTGTCGTGCTCTGGCCGGGAATTGGTGCCACCCCTGCATGCGTGCTTTGGCTCGAGCCTCCGTCATGAGATCCCCCAGACTTTTTTTTCTTTTGCCATTGACGACGCAGATCCAACCATCGTGAAAGTGAAATTTCGGCTACTTCAGAAAAAGTCAAATACGGCACGCGGAGCTGCTAGGCCAAACTAGGTCAAAAATAGGCCTCCAAAGTAGAAGGTATTGCAGGAACCCAAGCTAAAGGCTAAGCCCCATGCAGGAGCTCCCGGCATTGTGACCCTGGCTGGCCTGGCCCCGGGGCTGGGGCGGGCATGAAGTAGTCTATTAGTCTTGGTAGCTCTTGGAATTAGTAGCAACAGGAAGAATTGAAGCTTGGAGCTACCCGAAAGTACCTGATGGTGTATTACGTACTATGTACTCACGTACTGTACGTACTCTATACGTACTTCGTCCAGGAAGAGGTGGTTTGAAAGTTGTTTAAACGGTGAAGCTCACGATGCTTGTCAAACGTGTGGAGGCTGGCGTTGGTGAGACGCAGGCATACCTCCCCTTCCGGGAGGGTTTTAGTAATGATCGAAGATCACGCGGCCTACCCCCAGGCGTATGCCCTGGATTTGTTGAGATTGAGTCAGTAACAAGACCCGACAGAGCCGGGCCGGCGGTGAAAATCCCTGAGCTACTCCTTTGCAATGCGCACTTTGAGGAAGGAAAAAAAGGATCGTGAAGCTAATTCAGAGGCGAAGAATTTCTACAGTGCCCTTGGCAGTAGTCACAGGGACAGGCAGTGGCTATGTGTCACAACCACGGGACCTGACCTGAAAGTGTCCTAGGAGAATAGAGGAGAACCCCTCGTTCATCAGGTCCTTTCCATGGGGGCCGGCGGGGTGCCTCCCATTCTTCGAAGCGAAATAGGAGTTTGGAATTGAGGGGCTCTGGATTGAGACAGAGTTTATTATTTCGTATGACGCCGAGAATCAGGGTGGTCCAAGAATACGACGCCTGCATCACCAGTCTAACGCGGCCGGGCTGCGTTCAGAGCTGCGTTTATACAGGTAGAGCTGCGTTTCTCGCAAAATACGCGGCTAAGGTGCAGCGTCTCCGTACGGAGCCACATACGGAAGCGTCGGGGAAACGCATGGGGCTTGCGCCGCCGAATTATCACCTGATATCACGGTCACTACCGGCGGAGGGTGTTCGGATTTCGGGCCACAGCAAATTAACATAGGACGAGTAACGTGGGATATGGCGACCCAACCGCTCAGTCTCCACGGGATACCAAGAAAAAATACCACTGTAATTTGTAAAAGAAAATGCGACTCGTAAGACCCGAATATCGGCGCCCCTTGGTTTGGGCATTGAACACGAAGCCTTCTTCCAACTGTCCCAGGTGCCCAATGTCGACAGTAGCCGACCGATTGAATCGAAAACATCGTTCTGTTGAACGGCGAAAGGAGGTGACAGGAGGTGACCCTGGCGAGTTCGGGACCGGAAATCATGTCACGCTCACATGACATGTGACTGCAGCTTTGAAGTCGCTAGTATCGACCCGCACGCGGCAAGTACAATACCCCGTTGCGAGGAATAAGAATACCTTGGCATCAGGTTATTTTTTTTAGGTACAAAAAGTACAGAGTCACTTTTTAGTACCGGGGATGTAGGCGCATGGTACAAACAGCTACTCCCAGCTCATACGGTGTACTTCCAACGCGATGCGGAGTACTCTTTTCCAGGTACAAGGTGAACGGCCAATCAGGGACCCAAAGCTAGCATCAAATGCCCGAAATGTCGTCGAGTGGAGCTCCTATTGGCAAGAGCGGCCGGCCTCCTCAGGCTGTCACTTCCTGCGTTGACTACACCGTTAGAGAGTCGCAAAAAATAGCGTTTCCAACAGCGTAATTTTCCCCAGCTGGGCTGCGTATTTCCGCTGTACTTTGGAGTTCTCTAACGCTGGTTCCTCTGGACCTTCCCAACGATGCCGCCCCTTCAGCCGGCTCGTACCTTCTGTCTAATTCCGTCGCCATCGTCATAAGTCCCCCGCCCACTTTGCTCTGACAACGCCTTCCAAACAATCGAACTCTCACAGGTGACTATTATCACCTAAGCTAGTTTTAGGATTTGGCCACAGTTATTGTGTACATCAAGTCGAGTATCTTTTTTTTTTCTTCCATTTTTATCCCCTTTTTTCTTGTCCTGAAGCTTTCGTATATAAGCCTCGCTTCCTTCTTCACTCTCGTGGCACCCACCAGTGACTTCACGACGTGCTCACTGAGCTTCCTGGCATAAAAGCTATCAACCACAGCCCACAAGCCTTTCTCACATTCATGTCCCTGATCTAAGATCCAGGGTCTCTCGAACCCTCTCTTGAAGCGCCATCTAAAGCATCCTTACCACCCTTTCCTAGAGGAAGTCAATTGCACTGTTGACCAAGTCCGGGTACCAATCATCATCCTTCCTGCTATCTCTTCAGCGCAAGCCCTGCCGCTTTATCTCCCAAGCCACGGCTTGATATTCACCAACCCTACCTTTAGCTCTTATCAGAAGACGCAAGACCGGCAGCAAACTCCCAACGGACTTTCGGAACCCCCTATCTTTTAGCGACCCGCCTCTCCGCCACCGTTCCTGCAGCCATCCATCGTTTGAGCTCAGCTCGTATGCTAATTGCCTGTTGTTCTGCGCCCGCTTGAGTTCCTCGCAGTCCCACAAGCAAGATCTGTGAGTCATCTTTGTCTTCTCTCTAATCTAGCCCTTCCATGCACACCTTCTCAATTCAGGAACGCTGCAACGACGGCAGTTGGTCCTTCCCCCTTCTATTCCGCAGCCGCCCTGTGGGGAAGCGCTATCTCGTCGCTGGCTGGCAATTGTGAGGCTGAGAGGCCATCTGGGTCAGAAGCCTTCGTCAGCTTACACACACAAGCACCGACACATTTTGTTCCCAAGCTGGCGGTGTTAGAAAAAAGTACCACGGGACACTATCCTCTGATTCCTCAATTCCTTTTTTTCTATGGGCGAAGGCCTCGGTGTCTCCGTTTCATAGTGGTTCTTTTGCTCGAGATTTCTTCTTTTTACAAGCCTTTGAAGACTGTTGCGCTCTGTTTATGACGTCACTAATTTGATTGATCTTCTGCAGCATTCCGTCTTCAAAAGCGAGGGGAAAAAAACAAGGTCCTAAGACATTAAACAGTAAGTTTTTTTTTTCTTCCTGTTGATATCAATATCGATATTCCATAGAGAGCCCCTTTTTGGTTATTTTGAGTGGTGCATGAAGCAGCGGTGAAGAAGGTCAGCATCTTGCAAGCTACGTACAGTACAGTACAGCTCCGAGATAACAGCTGCTATACGAGTGTCTCGTTTACATCCGGCTAGATCCCTTATCAATTGGATACCTGTTTGGGACAAGGGCAAATGTCACAACCAGAGAGAGAGTCATTCTCAAGTGAGGAACTATACAGACTCAGGGCCTTTGAGGATATAAAGATGGCACAATTGGCATCTCCCTTGGGCCCTTATGGTCTTCTCTCCAAGCGTTCACACATCATTTTTCTTCATCACTTACTTAGAGATTCTACCTCTGAATTTGCCTTTCGCAGGGCTTTGTCCTTTTCAAGATGTCTGTCGTGGCAGTCACTAACACATCTTTGGACAGGTTTCCAGAGTATATAGACCCTTTTGAACCTTCCGAAATCATGTCTCCATTACCAGCCCCGGTTGCCAAGGCGGTAGCGAATATTCGCGACGAGGAGGAGGAGAGCCGCCACCCCTCTCCTCAGCCGTCTCACATCTGCCTCCCTCACCAGCCTCTGAGGAAACCCACCTTGGGTTATATCGCTCCTACCTTCGCGGAAAAGCCAGTCCAGAAGCTTGAAGGTATGTGTCAATCCAAAAGTTTGCCCGAGGAAAACAACTCAACAGGTTGCTAATTTGGATGTGTTGCAGTAACAAAACTTGTTGAGGAGGCTGGCCTGATCCCCGCCTCTCAGATCAACGATCAGATCGAGTTTTTCTATGAAAAGCTCGGTATTGACGATGTATACTTCAACTTGGAGAAGCCTAGCGTGATTGCTAGCCAAATTACCTCCCTGTACGCTGCCAAGGTTGCGGCGCTTGCCCGCGAGGACAAGCGAGAGGAGATCCGCCTTGACATGGAGGCCGAGGACCATGCCATCTACATCGATACCAGCGAACCTGGAAAGTCTGGCCTGAACGGCCCCAGGTATGAGGAGAGGCTTGAGGCCAAATACCTTGACCATGTCGGCAAGACCAAGTTCAGGGTCGAGACTTTCCGTTCTCCTGGCGCCCTTGGTGCCAATCACGGCTCCAAGTCCACCCTCCGCTGCTACTTCGTCTATCAGTGCCAGTTCCGCCAGTCGCCAGAGGAGACTGACCCCAAGGAATCGCGCCTCGAGCTTATTTCCGACAACGGCTTCTGGCAGAAGGCCACGAACAACACCAAGCAGATCTACCAGGAAGTCATCAACCTGGCCGTTAGCCGAACCGGTCCCGTGATTGAAGTCTTCGACCTTCCCGGCAGCGAGGAGAAGCGACTGATCATTGCTTTCCGAAGCCGTACCGCCCGAGGTCTGTTCTCCGAGCTCAGCGATCTCTACCACTACTACGGAGTTACTAGCTCTCGCAAGTATGTGGAGCAGTTCTCCAATGGCGTTACCGTCATGTGCGTGTACCTTAAGCAGGCCACCAACCTTGAGGGCAACTTCCCTCCTCTTGAAGAGTCCATCCACCAGATCACGAAGGAGATTTCGCTCCTCTACTGCCTTCCCCATAACAAGCTTCACGGCTTGTTCGCCGCTGGCGAACTGAGCCTTCAGGAGGCCATTTATGGCCACTGCGTCTGGGTATATATCCAGCATTTCCTCAACAGGTTGGGTCCCGAATACGTGACCCTTTCACAACTCCTTGACCTCAAGGACAATGCCCAGTTATCGTTGCTCAGCAAGCTCAAGCGCCGACTCCGTACTGAGACGTTTTCTCCCCAGTACATCTTGGAGATCATCAAGTCATACCCGTCCCTCCTTAGGGCGCTGTATGCGTCATTTGCCACCGTCCATCTGGGTCTCACGAATGCTAACGGAACCAACGGTACTAATGGCACCAACTCCGGCCGACGCAGCCCCAAGCTGGCTCTGGAGCCTATGTCTGACGATAAGCTGAAGGAGAAGATCTCGGCTACGGTCACCAACGAGAATGATGAGATGGTAATGACCGCCTTCCGTGTCTTCAACAACGCTGTCCTCAAGACCAACTTCTTCACGCCGACAAAGGTGGGCCTCTCTTTCCGCCTCGATCCTTCTTTCCTGCCCTCCACGGAATACCCCAACCCTCTCTACGGCATGTTCCTCTTCATCTGCGGTGAGGCTCGTGGGTTCCATCTTCGTTTCAGGGATATTGCCCGTGGAGGTATCCGCATCGTCAAGTCGCGAAGCAAGGAAGCCTATGCTGTCAACGCCCGAAACCTCTTCGACGAGAACTACGCCCTGTCGAGCACTCAGCAACGCAAGAACAAGGATATTCCCGAGGGCGGCGCCAAAGGTGTTATTCTCCTAGAGCCTAAGCAGCAGGACAAGGCCCGCGAGGCGTTTGAGAAGTACATTGACAGCATCCTTGATCTCTTGCTCCCGGCCCAGACACCCGGCATCAAGAACCCCCTCGTCGACCTCTACGGCAAGGAGGAAATCCTCTTCATGGGACCTGACGAGAACACTGCCGAGCTTGTCGACTGGGCTACTGAGCATGCCCGCGCTCGCGGAGCGCCTTGGTGGAAGTCTTTCTTCACCGGCAAGTCTCCCAAGCTTGGCGGTATCCCTCATGATACCTACGGCATGACGACTCTCGGTGTTCGCCAATACGTCACTGGCATTTACCGCAAGCTGAACCTTGACCCCTCCACTGTCAGGAAGATGCAGACCGGTGGCCCCGATGGAGATCTCGGCAGTAACGAGATCCTTCTCAGCAATGAGAAGTATACATCCGTTGTTGACGGTTCGGGTGTCCTCGTCGACCCCAACGGAATCGATAAGGAGGAGCTCCTCCGTCTGGCCAAGAAGCGCGTCATGATTAACCACTTTGACGTGTCGAAGCTTTCCAAGGACGGATACCGCGTGCTCTGCGACGACTCCAACATCACCCTCCCGACCGGAGAGGTTATTTCCAATGGCACTGCATTCCGCAACACGTACCATCTCCGTGACACTGGTTTGACTGACTGCTTCGTGCCCTGCGGTGGTCGTCCCGAGTCGATTGATGTAGTGACGGTGAACAAGCTGATCAAGAACGGCCGTGCTACCATCCCCTACATGGTTGAAGGTGCCAACCTCTTCATCACTCAAGACGCCAAGCTCCGCCTTGAGGCTGCGGGATGCGTTCTCTTCAAGGATGCCAGCGCCAACAAGGGTGGTGTCACTTCCTCCTCTATGGAGGTACTCGCCAGCTTGTCGTTTGATGACGAGAGCTTCGTCGAGAAGATGTGTGTCGACGCTAAGACTGGTGAGGCGCCCCAGTTCTACAAGGACTACGTCAAGGAAGTGCAGGCCAAGATTCAGGAGAACGCCCAGCTCGAGTTTGAGGCCATCTGGAGCGAGCGTGAGAGGACAGGTGAGCCCCGCTGCATCATCTCCGACAAGCTCTCGGCTGCTATCACCCAGCTCGATGAGGAACTTCAGCACTCCGAGCTCTGGGATAACACGGCTATCCGCCGTGGTGTCCTGGGTGATGCTCTGCCCAAGCTTTTGCAGCAAGAGATCGGTCTTGACACGATGATTTCGCGCGTCCCCGATTCGTACCTGAGGGCCATCTTCGGCAGCTTCCTCGCCAGCCGATTCATCTACCAGTATGGCAGCTCGCCAAGCCAGTTTGCCTTCTACGACTTGTAAGTTTGGTCCTTTATTCCTTCATTTAACAAAAGTGAGCAAAACTAACAGATTTCTGTATAGCATGTCGAAGGTCAGGGCTAAGCTCGAGGGTGTTGAGCCTTAAGCCTTAAACAGTTTATCTTTTAAAGCACGGCATACCTACCTTTTATACTATAGTATTTCTTGTTTCGGTTCGAGATTGAAAGGGAGTAATGGTTTCGAGCTTTATAAAGGGATACACAAAAAAACAAAACAAACAAAAAAGGAACGACAAAATTTTTACGGGAACGAAAAGTAATAAGCATTCAGAAGCATGGGATCTTGGAGCAGACGGGGTTTTGCTTTGATTCATTTTCGCAGTTCTTGTCTTTGACCTCATTTTATCATATTTCTTCTTCTTCGTCCACCTTTGTAGAATTCTCTGTGCTTTTTGATGTTAAGACTTGATTTCTCCTTTTCCTCGCATTATTGTTATGATTATACACTACAGCACAAGCGTTTACATGTATATTGAGATGTTTCTGTTCCTATTACTGCTTCTCTCCAGGCGGGATGTGTCAAAGTCGGCTGGCATTCCACATTCCTGTCGGATCAGGCGATGAGGGGTGGGAGTTGTCTTCGTCGTTTATTCGCGGGGAGTCTTTGATGGTCCTTGCTTCCCCGGTTGTTTGGGATTCGTTGATAGCTATAGATAGCAGCATGACTATGGAGTATTCGGAATCAACGAGAAGAGCATTGAGGTATTAAACACGTCCATGGTAGATGGGGACAGGTATTCAAGCCCATCTGGGATAGAAGAAGCGAATACCTGTGGCCAATGTTCTGCACTCGCCTTGCATCTGATGCTCCATTGCGTCTGCGTCTGGGCCCGGCGGCATGATGCAAGAAAGTAGGAGGTGATGGACCATTCGGAGCCGCGTTTTCTCTAAGTAAAGCGTCGTGGTGCGTAGTTATTGGGTGAGAGTGCGGATTTTGGGCCTTTAGGTTGAGGCATCGACATTCGTTACTGGAAGCGAGGGATATTCTTTCCCTTTTCCTTTGCCTGGGCTGTAAAGTGCATGCATGATGTCTTGTGGTCCTCGCCCAGCCAGGCGCATCCACGATTGAAGGGAGAGCACGAACAAATTGAAAGTGGACCCCGACAGTTTGGAATGACATGGATGGAGTTTGTTAGGATGAGGAGTACGAGGCCCCTTGCGTCAGCGTATCGCAGTATTAGTGGAAAGGATGGATGGGTCACGTATTTCGAAAGGGAGGGAAGCTAATTGGTATGGTGGAAACGTGAAACGAGGAGCAAATGCCGCGATGTACCCTTGCCAAGGATGTGGGTGGTGCCAAGGGTGCGAGGCATTGACACGATTATTGCTTTTGTTTTGCTGAGACGACTGTTTCTCGAATGGGCGGCCTTTGGAGCCTTATTTATTTTCTATTTTTGTTTTATTTTAAGTATTTTAATTCCTTATCAGAGAAAGCTGTTTTTGCTTCCGTATCGGATGGATTCTCTCGTTTCCATCGCAGATTCCATATCCCCAAGTTCGTCCATTTCCCAATTGCTGATGTTTTCCCAAATTCCCGCCTTATATTCCATGTTCGATGGGTGGAACGACCCATGCCTCACGAAGAGACCAACCGCTCCATCATAGATATATAGAGGTTACTTCCATCGTCCTGTCTCAAGAGCCACTCTTTCCTAGTGTCCATAGCTCTTTCCAGATGCAATCGACACATCTTGATAAAGAACTACTTCCATGTGACGAAACACTTCACTATACCAAGATAGAGAAGTAACGACACAGAAGGCCCCAGTTTTCAATGGATAGCAGTGTCCCAACATATTCCCCAGCGATTATTGTGTCATTGCCATATGAGCGGTGACTCTTGGAAGATTCTATCGCTGTCTGGCAGTTTCCAAATCAGCGATCGGGTGTTACGCTCAACCGACCTCTGGTACCCCTGAGGGTGGTCGATAGACTCCAAGCCTCGGACCTCCCATATTGGCAGACCGTCGAAAAACCGACGGCGCGGCGCCGTAACTTGGTCGATCGTCAACGGTGTTGGGGATAACTCCGCTTGGTACCTTCGTAGGCCCTGACAGAGAAGCAAATAGAGGGCGGTACGGAATGTCACACGAGTGTTCGCGAACGGGATCACCCAACAGTCGACGGGGCAGTGTTCATCTAGAAGCATTTCCGGGGTTTCCGCCCGGAACTGAAGCAGCAGAAGGAACTTGCCATCGAAGCAAAATACTTGAGGGCACCGATATTTACAGGCGTACCTGCGGTAATCCTTGGTGAGCAAGTTGGACGGTTATGAAAGTTGGTCTGCATGACTTACCCTCGAAGTTCCTGGGAAAGTCTCTCTTGGGGCACATAGCCACTAAGATCACCATCCTGCCAGGCACCGGGGAGGATAAGGTTTCTCTTGAACTCCCCGATAATAATGGGCGACCGTCGATTGTTGTACCGGGCCCAAAAGATGGCATCGGTGTTTTCGGCGATTTGAACTTCCGAGAGAGGTTTGATGTGAAAAGACAGGGACAACTTAGGGTATCGGGAGAATGCGGCGAGAACAATAGTCGCGACTTCATTGCTGAACCAACGTTCAATATCGGCTTCTGTGTCGAACCGCCATACTAGCTCGTTTGGAGGGTAGCAGGGTTCCTGCATTCGTTGGCCATGGTCATCGTCAAGATCGAGGAAGGCGTCCCATCTTGCGATAGTTTCTTGGGTGTCCGGGGTACGTCGTGTATGGACAACGAGGCGATTTATGGGCTGAAACCGCTGAGCCCACTCCTTGTTGCTATGTGTGGTGTGGTCAGTGTGGTGGATATAGGTATTAGGCTGCTCCCGGAGTAAGACACCGACTTGGGTCGGTGTCGCCATTGTAGTGGTGAGCTGGAAAGCACTTCAAAATAGTTGTTGATGTGTGTAATGATTCGCTGTACTTGAGAGACTAGTTGTCATGAAGACCAGAGATGGTTTTAAGCTCCATTCCAGAGACTTGACTGTTGGAAGGACCCCTCAGCCTGCTCATAAAACCCATCGAGAGGTCGCTGCCTAAGTTGGTGTCCGCCTGGAGGACGCTGCAGATGGAGCCTTGGTCCAACAGAGTGAGAACGAGTCAAAAACGGGACTTCAACTTCCCAGTAGGAGAGACTGGGAACTCCATTTCGCCGTCATGATAATCCCAAGAAGCTGCTGTAAAACAGGCCAACTCCCGATATCAGATAGAGCTGCCATGTTTTCGTTTTATCATGGATTCAGAACTTGGAAACTGATTTGGCATGGGTCAGACATGGTGATGTTTTCGGAGGGCCTCTTTATGTTGTAATTGATTCAGTACCAGTGGTGTTTGAGAGCCACTCCATTGCCTGGTCAATACAAGACATCTCCTTCCCTCAATATTTAACAGATTGGTTACCCTTCAAGGCAGGTAAAACCAGCGAAACAATGGCATGCACGAAACGGCACTAGGATGACTAAGGACAGTTCACAGCGTTCAACACAAAGAATGCGACTTGGAACTTCTAACTGAGCCTCAGCTTCCTTTAGTAGCAGCATTGTCCATAGCCCAAATGACCGAAGAGCCACGTTCTAATTACCCAGTTGTATGTGTTGTTTATTTATCAGTATATGAAGCAAATTAAACTAATTTTATAATAGAGCTTCTGGTTTGGCACTCGATTCCTTCGAGCCCGAGGTCAACAAGTTGACAACGTCCACAACAATGTCTTACGTATTCATGATCCCCCTTCAATCGTCAGTCGAGCTTTCCGGGCTTTTAGATGGTTTCTTCCAGCCTGTCTCGGGACTTACCTCGAAAGACTTTGTCCCGAGTGGTTCTTACCGCCAACGTTCATCTTGAAAACTCAAAAGCCTGGTTGGGAGAGGGAGTTTGAGGAGGAACGCGTCGCGTACACACGACTCGAATCGCTGCAGGGCGTCTACGTGCCAAGATATATTGGCATCGTCAGGAATGGAGACCGCCCTGCTCATATTCTCTCCGACATAGGCGGTAATAGTCTAGCGACGCCAGCAGGGGCCGTGTTGGAGCCGGAGGATTTCGACCGACTGATATCCGAAACCTTGAACGCGCTGGGATCCTGTCTGGTATTGCACGGCGACTTGAAGATGGATAACTACCATCTGGTTGGGAATAAGATAATGGCAGTAGATCTTGAGAGCTCGGGGATGAATTTCAAGGAGGTCCCCGTCTCGAAGGTCAAGATCGTAGTCGACTACCTAGGCGGTCGATATCGGGATCATGTCGCTGGACTAGAATGGGAGGGTCTCCGACTGCCGACCATACATTTATAAGAATGCAGAGCGTGTCTTTCCTACGAGGCGGAAGCTGATGGCACGAATCTTTCTCTGCTTAGTCTCACGCCGCCGCCTTTGGTGTATTTTTGCTGTAACACTATACTAAGGTACATAATTATTAATATTGATGACTCGGATATGGCCCCTCCTCTCTGTGCAGCCTTGTCCTCAACATCGGGGATGCGAGGTAACTTCCAAGTGCCCGGCTCTATACTTGCTAACTAGAACGCATGGAAGCCATCCGGGGGGGGGGGGGGGGGGGGGGGGGGCAAGAAGCAATCCAAAGACGGTTTCGGTTCGCTGCTCGGTGCGGCGGGCGCCAGTAAATCATCAATTGATTCGTCTCAATCTCGGATGTATCTTTATGAAAGCGAGCGGGTTCCAATCCGTACGTGTCACGTCTAGTCATCTAGCGTATAGTTGTGCGGAATTTTGGACATATACTTCGGATGATATATGATATACCCTCCGGTGTCCCGTTGTGGGCGAGGATGTGTGGGAGACCTGTGGTTCTCTGAGGGGTCAATGTCAAGCGGGTTTTCTCGTCTGACATGCTTTAGATTTGTTTAGATTTTGGCTCTGTGTAGGTCATTGGTTTTTCTGTCTCGGCTCTTGCTTCTTTGGGTGAGGCCGTCAAGGCCTTTTCGCCCCATGCCCCGATGAAATGTGTCAAGGCGGAGTCGTGCGAGGAGTTGGAAGGTAGCAATACTTCGCACTTGTACAAAGGTACGGAACTTCAATGAGATCGGACCTTGAAGGTCGCTTCTTTTTGCACCCGACCTCTCCAAACAAAGCAACCTTTTCCGCAGTTAAGCTTGTGCCTAGTTTTCCCACAATTATTTTCTGTCCTAAGCCATTTGAAGAAAATTTATTCCATCCTGGCTCCTTGATTTTCTTTCCCGATATCCTCGTCCTCATCCTCGAATGTGAGTCGACCAGTCCTGTCCGGACCGGACCGGACCGGACTCGATGAGACCAGACGTTGGCAGGGACTTTGTCGCTATGGAGGAGCCAACCAACCACCTGGAACCCCTCGTTTAACCATCTTTTTTGGCTCCTTTTTTTGGCTCTTTTAACCGTCCGCACCAAGGACGACGTCGAATCACGACTCACGAAACAGCCGGGCGGACCCTGACCGGGCCAGTCCTGGAAAGGGCAAGGGCTGTGCCAATGACTGACCCTGAGGACTAGCGTGCTGTTTCATGGCCTGAGGTGCCGGGAAACGCTGGGACAAGGGGGCAAGAGAAAAAAAAAATTAAGAAGGTCGAACTCGAAACGAAACAAGGATTGGAAGGACGCCCGAAAGACTCTAGATTTTCTACCCTGGCTCAAGATCAATTGTTTGATTGATCAATTTGAATCCTCTCTGGAAGCGTACAACGAATGAAACGAAGTGGTGCAAAGGCAGAGTTACTGGCGGAGGCAGAAGCAGACCACTCGTACATAGAAGTATGACATTGAATGAACACTGCAGCGTCGTGGATGGATTGTATGGATCGCCTGGCTTGATCAATCGATTGCTGGCACTACCAAGTAACTAACTGCTTTGTAAGGGGACGCAAAATTCCCGTCTCGTTCCTTGCAGGATCCATCAACAGTACGCAACTGGCCACCTCGACTGCACCTTACTCCTTACTCCATTACTCCGTGCTCCATAACGTACTTGTAGTCAGAGACTTGGACTTCATCTCCTCGCCTAATTCGTACAAAATTCCTTTTTATTATTTTCTTGTTCCTTTTTTTCTCTCTCCTCATTCTCGCATTCCCTCTTTTCGAGCCCATTCTTCCAGAAACCACCCGAACCAGACCGGAGTCCATCTTGATGCTGGAACCTCGCAGACTTTGACAATGCCCAAACTACAAATAATACGTGCCGGTACGTACAGGTCCTCCGAGCAAGATGATCGCCAGCAAGCCGTTGCAGCCCCCTTCAGCCACCCGCGTTACTGGGCCAGACTTTGCAAAGTAAAGTACACGGGCACCAAGCACTGCACATTCCGAGGTTGGAGGACAAGGGAATACGAGCAGATCCGATGCGCCAGTGCTGCTTGATCTGGAAATAGTTACCAACATCTGAAAGTATGAACGAATCCTGGCAATGCCCGTGCGATTGATCAATGACGAGGCCAGCGCCAAAAAAAAAAAATGGGAACGCACTTTGATTCTCAGCAGACCTGTACTTCGCACTTGGCTGGTCTGGGTGCTGTGGACGACTGAGTAATGTTGTCTCGCCCTTGTTGACCTCAAGCGTGGAATTGGAATGTTGAAGTTGGGGATAATCTTGAATATCCAGCTTTTCCCTATTCCCATATCCCCGTGTCCCCGTGCAGCCTGGATCCCCCCCTCTCGTCACTCCTTCCCTGGCACCAGGCACAGAAACAGGCACAGAGTCAGGCACAGAGACACAGGGCTGAGTCAGAGACAGGAACACAGACCCAGCAGATACAGTTTGAGCACGAGCTCACACGACGAGCGCCATTTGACCCCATCATCCCCCAGAGATACATTGATGGATCAACATTAATCAACCTCGATCGCATTGATTGCCTCGAACAAGACGGATTTGCTGCAAGCGAGCGATCAATTGATCACCATCATTGCTATCGCTGCCATTGCTGTCCCCAACCAAACATTTAATCCATTTGATCCCATGCAAGCCTGCATGGACCCTCACACCCGCCGCTCTCTTTCCCTCTTCCGCTCGGGCTTCGTTGTTCGAGACTGTGCCGCCTCTTACTCTTACTCGCTGGCTCTCCCTGCCTCTTTCTGCCTCAACCTCCCCTGTCTTCCCCCCCTTTTCTTGTCTAGGCCTTGTCGATCCTGATCGCTTTATTTTTTTTCCCTCTCGTTTCCATTTGAGCCCAATTCTGCGTCTCTTTATCTTTTTTTTTCCTTGTAACGTGGCGCATCGATAACAAAAACACCTCACCATTCATTCTCTCTTTTTTATTTTATGTTTATTTTTAGGCCCGAGTTTGGCTAACCTCTGGCGACACGCGCTCCTTCTCCCAACGACTAGACACTATTGATCTCCAAGATCACGACCGTCCTTCGGCACAGGACCACTCCAAATCCAACCTGCGCAACAGTAACAGTCCTTCCTTGAACATAGGTCCCCACCAGGCCGAAACCCTTAGAGACGTTGCACACGAAACCGCCGACGAGAATCTCCGCAGCCCCCGCCTGGTGTGGGACAAGCCAACCGAGCTCCAAGGCGATCACGACCACGATCACGGCGACGACCGAGACCTCGACGACCTCGAGATAGATCTCGATTTCGACGATTCCGAAATTAAATCTCGCGCGCGCTCCAACTCCGACCTCGACGAAGATCACCCCAACTCCCGCTCGAATAGCATGATGCACCAGCAAGATGCGCTGGCCGTTGCCCAGAATGGAGGCATCCAGGATGATAGCGACATGGAGATGGACGGCGATGACTACGATGACGATATGACCGGGGGAATCTCGAGTTCCCCCTCCATTGAGGATGGTGTGTATCCCCGTGTTGCGATTGCGTCCCACCCCGTCGCAGGAGCTCCTCCTCGCTAGCCGCGAAGAGTGGATTCTCTGCCGGGTGCCGCTCGCATGATGACCTCCTCTACTCCATCCCCAAATACATCTCGCACCACTCCTCCTGTGATATTCCCGGCCCCGAGCGAGACCGGGCCCTCGATTCCCGACCCGTCGCCTATGCGAGCTACTCCACCTCAAGGTCCTATCGAGATGATTGGAGACGACCTCTTAGTGGGGGTCCCGGGACAGAGACATATTGAGAATATAGGTCGTCATCACCATCTTCTTCTTCCGCTTCAAACCGCCGATCCTAGCGCGCCCGAGACCAGCGACGACGACCCAATCTCCGGAACTAGCCATGACTGCGACCGTCTCCACCCACCTAGAGCGAGAACCTCGAGCGTTGGCGACGACTACCCTCTCTACTATTCCGAATCCCTAATTTCTGAGATGGAAGAGGAGCTGTCGCGCTGGCCATCGGGTCATGGTCCCCCTAGCATTGACTTTCACACAAAGCGAAAGGAGTTCGAACGGGGCGAGCACATCAACAATCCTAATGAGTTACCTGGAGGCGAACTCGACGGCCTTACGATTCCCTACATCCCGAGCGAAGAAGAAGAAGCAGATGATGATGATGATGGTGACGACGAGAGCGACATCTCATTCCCCGATGATCCCCTGTACGTTGACTCGGGTTAGAGCGCTGAGTGCTTACAACATCCAGAGGACATCGATTTCGAGTACGTTTACGCGCTTCACACATTCGTCGCCACCGTAGAAGGCCAGGCGAACGCGACCAAGGGCGATACCATGGTGTTGCTAGACGACAGCAATAGCTACTGGTGGTTGGTGAGAATAGTCAAAGATAGCAGTATAGGTATGCGCGATATTTAAGGGAGCTCAAAGAGACATGGGAACGGGCTGTCTAACAGCCTCTACAACAGGATATCTACCCGCCGAGCATATCGAGACCCCTACCGAGAGGTTAGCGCGTTTGAACAAGCATCGGAATATTGACGTAAGAAATCCCACCACATATCCTCATCCCACCACGTTCGTCATCGTTGTGCCGCCGATCGTCAACTAACTGGTCCCACCCACCCAGCTCTCTGCCACGATGCTTGGCGACCAAACCGCTGAGAAGTCGAAACCAACCTTCAAGACCGCTATTCGTAGGCGGAAGAAGACGGTAACCTTTGCGGCCCCGACATACGTCGACTACGAAGACTTTGACTACTCCAGCGATGACGAAGACCAAGAGGAAATCTTTGCCCAACAACAGATGGCGGCTAGACAAGCTCGCGAGCAGCAACAGCAGCAACAGGTTACGGCCTCATCAGCTGAGATCGAAGAAGTCGAGATAGATTCAGAGAGCGAAATCGAGGACGAAACAGCAAAGGTCGAACCGTTGAAACCGCGTGTCGTCAAGGAAACCGTCAAGACGCCAGAACCTGCAAAGACAACAACATCGACTGATGATTCCCATATGAAGCGTGCGAGCGAAGAAATGTTCGACGGAAAGTCGGACGGTGTCAGCCGCTCGAGAAACGGCACGGTCCGGAACACAGACTCGTTCTTCAAGGATGACACCGTTGAGACCAAGAAGATCACCCTCACACCCAACCTGCTTAGGGACGACAACACACCCCGCGATTCCACAGAATCCAAGGAGCTCCGGCCACGGCCAAGCCTTGACAAGGTTCTCGATAAGGACAAGGACGACAAGAAGAAGAGGGATAAGGATAAGAAGGACAAGGATAAGAAGCCTAGCGTCATCCGCAATTTCTTCTCTCGTAAGGACAAGAAGAAGGGTGGCGCCGATGACTATGACGACGACCCGAAGAAATCGATGGATGGCAATGAACCTCGGGATAGCAAGGAGCAGGAGGAAGTGGAGGGAGGAGATGGCTGGACCGACAAGTCCGCCGCCGGCCCTCAGCGACACCCGAGCAAGCTCCAGAAGCAGCAACCCCGAACGGAACCTTCGCCCACGCGCGGCAAGGGCCCCACGGCACAAAAGCCCGCGGACATTGGCGCTTACATTTCCGAGACCAGGAACGACGTTTCCAACGTTCCGCCGGCGACCATGCGTATTGTGGACTCAGAAACGCAAGAGACCAAGAAAGTCTCGTCGCAGCCGACAAAGGAGGAATCGTCGCGGACCAACGGATCCTCCCAGGAATCCACCAATGTCGGGAACGGTACATCAACAGCGCAGGAGACCGAACGTGGCCCTCGTGCGCAGCCCCAGCAGCCCAACGACCGGCAAACGGATTCGCCAGTGCGGTCGTCTCCTACGAGCGCCAGCCGCCCTCCGCCACTCATGGTGGACACGTCGAGCCAAGAAGACCACTCGGCATCGCCATCGCCCGAACTCGTCGACATCGACACCGAGGGGTCCACCACCCTCCGCAAGCAGGACTCCGTTACGACCAACTCTACGTCCACCGCGGAGTCGACTGCTACCTGGAACGACGCCAAGCTGCGAGCCTTTTTCGAGACTGGAACGGATATCAGGGACATGCTCGTCGTGGTGTACGACAAGACCGACGTGGCACCAGCTGGCCCGGACCATCCTCTGGTGGGATCGCTCTTTAGGGAGCAGAATGCCAAATTGGCGGAGATTACTACTGTGAGTATAGCACCCGAGACAAGAGACGCTTCTAGAAGGTGGTGTTACCAGTTTATTAACTCTCGAATAGCAACTTGACAACATGCTTGGCGATTGGCTCGCCAGGAAGCAACGGTTGCGAGGCACCATCTAGAAGACAGGCAAGGATTGCCAATCTGTTGATGACTGCCAACGCATACTATTATGTTTTATGACGAAACTTGATGCCTTTTCTTCTTCTTCTCTTTTCGATTTTAGGTCTTTTCCTCTTGATCGACAAATTTCAGGATTAGAGCACCACACGCTCCCTGCGCTGCTTTCCGTTCTTCTTCGTTGGCTTCAATCTGTAAAAGCTACGACTACTTCTTCACGTTATACCCCAATTGCAACATCGATCGCTCTCCCTCGTACTAGTGGCCTGATTCCGAATATCTTCACTTCGATTCGCATGTCTTTTTTACTCTTTTTACCTTTCTACCTTGGAAACTCGATCATCTTGGAGAACCAAGTTCAGCCAAGCTCGAAGTTTTTTCAGTTCTTGATATCTATGTTGTTTTCCTTCTCCCTTAAACCGGGAAACGAAAGCTTCCCGATCTCCAATATGAGGGTATTTTGGTTCTGGCCACTTCTGGGGGTCTCTTCAATTCTTCCTTGTTCCCTTTGTATTATGCCTTTTTTTTTTTCTGCATAACGGCGTTTTGAAATCGGGATAGGAAATGGAGGGGCAAACAAATTTCAACGGCACATTAGGAATAGGGCTGGAACCGAGGGACTGGAATATTGTCTCTTCGGGTGTTTCCGCGGCTTGTCACTCTCTTGCTTTTTTCCTTTTTTTTCCCCCAAGCTTTTCCAGGGACAGTTATTCTCCTTTGTTTTTGGTGAGGCAGGGGATGGAAAAGATGAGAGGCGTTGATTCGATAGCTCTCTTAGTAGGATATAAGAATGGAAATGACCCCCCCTTGAGGGGGCATTGAATGAATCTCCTTCGGGCTAAGTGAAGACTGCTGACGCTGATCCCAACGGGTTCCTGCCCTTGGGGATGACGATTCACCTGTTATGTTCCTCGCGTACTACAGAGAGGTGAGATGGTCCTGCTCTACCTTGACACATATCCAGAGTTTTCTTTTCTGCCAAGTTGGAAGGGGTCTCGACGGGAATGGAAGGAGACTCGACACTTCACGAGGGAACGAGAAAACGTTAAAAGTTTGTACTTGCAGTTCTAGAAACCACAACATATTAACGGGGGCTCCAATGGGAGCCCGAACCTCTATAGCTCATCCAAGAGAAGAAATCTATCTATCGACGCCAGTCATACAAATTAGGACAAAAGGAAGACCAAAACAAAGCAGAGGCAGAAGAAGTGCAAAAAAGGAGAACAAGAACATATGGGGAAAACAAGTATGAAGCCGGGGATGCCTTCCCAAAGAAACCAAAGTAACATCATTTCCATCTATGGAATCCAATTTTTTTTTTCCCCCAATCCGAGGAGTCTTTGTTATGAGAACCTTCTTTTCGAGATAGACGGATTGAGGACGGATCTCATCTCGAGTTGAGAGATACGCGGTCCCGCAACGGCGTCACACCCACACGCTAACCTTCCTCTCTCTACTCGCGAGAGACATCGCGACCAAAAACGATCGACTTGACCCAATCGTTCGCAACAAGAAGCCTGTTCCTCGTGCTAAAGCACATGGAGAGGTACGCGCTCCTCCAGAAGAAATAGGTCATCTTGCCACCAGTCGCCAAGTTGGCATTCCACCACCTAACGTCCGCAACGGCCCTGTCGCTGCCGATATAAGCCAAGCTACCCTGGTGCGAGTAGTGGAAGGGCTTAACATCCTTGATGCGGCGGAGCTGCTTCTCCGAGTTCTCAATCTCTTCGGCAATCTTGGCCGAGTCCGCGCCGGGCTGGAGGTTGAGGGAAGAGCTGAGCTGCGCGATGTGCGACTGGAGGTGCTCGGTCATGGCCATGTTGTTGAAGAGCCGGGCGAGGAAGTTACCTTCCTGGGAGGCGACCTGCGCGGTGGGCGCGTAACCGGCTACGGCGCAGTCGCCCACGGCCCAGATGTCGCGCGTGCCCTGGACAACGAGGTATTCGTTGACAGCGAGACCGCGGCGCGAGTTCGCCTGGGCGGGAACCTTGGAAATGAGGTCGCGGACGATGGGGCGCGTAGAGTTACCCGTGGCCCAGACGAGGAGGCCGAAGGGGATCGTGACGGTTTCCTTGACGCCGTCGGGGCGGGTGACGACGGCGGTGAGCTGCTTCTCCTCGACCTTCTTCACCATGGTCTGGGTGAGGACGTCGATGGTCTGTTCCTTAAACTTTTCCTGGGTGTAGTCGATGAGGGTCTTGGAGAAGGAGGGGAGAACGCTGGGGAGGGCCTCGATGAGGGTGACCTTGAAGCGCTCGCTGAAGTGCGGCACGAGTTTCTTGATGTCCTGCTCGAAGAAGTCCTGCAGCTCGCCGGCGAACTCTACGCCAGTGGGCCCGCCGCCGACGACGACCATGTGTAGGAGGCGATCGATCTCCTGGGGGTCCTGGTCCTTGAAGGCGGCGGTCTCGACGCAGTCCATAATCTTCTTGCGGATGGCCTGTGCGTCGCCGATCTCCTTGAGGAAGCAGGTGTGTTCGCGCACGCCAGGGATACCAAAGGTGGCGTTCTCGGCGCCGACACCGATCACCAGCATATCGTAGGGGACCTCGGTCTCCGACACGGTACCCTTAATCTCGGACTCGTCGCGCATCTTGACAACCTTGCGGTCCGGGTCGATCTCGGTGGCCTCGGCTTCATAGTAGGTCACGCCGGTGGGCTTTTGGTGCAGGATGGTCCGGATGGGCTCCATGATGGAGCGGTGCTCGACGGTACCGGTTGTGCATGAGGGGAGGAGGGGCGTGAAGAGGAAGTAGTTCCGGGGGGAGATGACGACGACGTTGTAGTTGTCTGTGTCGAGTTTCTTGAGGAGGGAGACGGAACCCCAGCCGGTGCCTGCAGTGTGAAGTGTTCAGGTTAGTTCAGTTCCGATCCATTATCGTTGTTCTTGATTCCCTTTTCGCTTTGCAGCCCGATTGATTTCGAGTTGCCACCCTTTCCCCCATTCTTGGGAATATAGCATGTGATTGCGCTCATAGCGCTTCACGAGGAAGAGAGTTGGAAAAAGAAGCAAGGTTCAGATAAACGTACCCAGGATGACCAAAGTCTTCTTGTTCGGATCAGGAGGAGACTGGGCAGGAGGATGCCTATCAGCGTAGACAGTGTATCCCACATAGCCAACGTAGCCCAGGACGGAGAGGTAGGTCAGCCTCCATAGCCAGCGGAAGGTCAACCTAATCGCGCCAGGCCTCTGCTTGGGAGCTTCTCCCTCGGTCGAGTACGGTCTTGAGAGCTGCTTCGAGAGGATCTGAGACTGGAGGGCGGCGGCGGTGGAGGCGGAAGGACCTCTCCTGAGGTTGTTGCGCGCGACGAGGGCGAGGGACTGGGTGCGAGCGGTGGTGGAGGAGAAGGCGCGGGCGGTGGTAGGGGCGCGGAGCTGTCGGGTGCTCAGGCGCGAGGCGCGCATGGCCTTGAGGGTTGTTTGCGCCATTGAATCGGTGTCGCGAGGGGAGAGGGAGAGAGAGAGAGGGCGGAGTGAGTTTGGGGAAACTCGAAACCTTTTGGGGGGGAAAGGAAAGGGGTTGGGGAGGGAGAGGAAGAGGATGTTCGATCTAATGTGATGGAGAGAAAGAACAAAGGGTAAGACTGGAAGGGACTGATAATTTTTTTGTCCTTATGTACGAATGTACTGGAGCTACAAGAAGATTGACATGGAAGTATCAAGGTACTCTACCCTTAGTACTTGGTAACTTGGTAACTTTGTAAGGGGAAGTCGCGGGAGGCCAATTGAAGGAGTCAGAGATGGCGACAAGGCGACAAGGGGACAAGGATGGGTGCGAATGTATCTCGCCGAGGAAGGAAGAATGCGAACATAACGAAGCACGAGGTAGTGTACAATAGCAGTCGAGATGACAGTCCTATCCTTGCTCAGATAGGATCCGATCTGATCAATCTTTTTCTTACAAAGTACATCTCCCAGTGTAGTAGTGAGGCGAATGTCAACTCGGCCTGGCCTTGCCCTGCACTGCGGAACCGAAGTCGTAGGAATGTCAAGGTCAAGCAAGGTGCGGGTAGCAGGAGGCACTGGTGTACACATATCGTGGATTCGTAGTGTGCAATACACAGGTACATTGATCTACAATAATTGATCTACAATACGAGTCGCATTCCACTTTATCTGTTCTATTCTAGGCGCTTCGTAATCCTGTACAAGTACATAGTGTATGTATGCACTATACACTATACGGTAGTACATTCTAGGATTGATCCAAGCTCCCGCGTTTAATTATTTTCTTTTTTCTTTTTCACCTTCTTCTCATCGCGAAAGTTTTTGAAAATTTCCGCTCCCTTCTCCCCCGTGGCAACCTAAATCTAGGAACCCCCTTTAGCTGACTACCGCTCTCGTTTCTTTGCCTCGCTTTTCTTATTTTTTTGTGCCTTCTGTGAGCCCACGCATGGAGAGAGAAGATACTCGCCAACCTCGAATTTCTCATATCATGTGCCGTCCGTCTTCTCTTAGGTTGACTCACCATTATCGGAGCCGGCGTGGTTGGTTGTAGTGTAGATCGGTGGCGGGACATGTAGCGTGAGATGCAGATGGAACGAACACGGGTTGGAGCGCGTAGCAGGCCGAGGCTCCTTGTCGCTACCCCCGTAGTCTGGACTCTAGGAGGCGCTAGAGCCGCATCAGGATATCAATTCAGCGATAGTGACTCAATCGCGGGAGCGAGAGCGCAGAGGCTAGAACTACAGAGGAAGTAATGCGACATGGCGTCGCAGGCTTTCCGGCCCAATGGCTGGCCCCCTATTGCATTCATCCGCATTCACTTGCATTCGCCAACGTGGACCGCTCGAGATTAGAGCGCCTCAGCATCTGTTGATAACTGCGACCGCGGCGCCTGGGAAACGGCAGAGGCTGCTGTTCATGGTTGCGACATCTTCATGTGCCAAAACTACCTAGCCCCTGCAGCCAGTTTAAACTAAGAATGGCATCAAAAAGGGCACATTTGGTTTTCCTCTTGCCGTCTCCGACTTATTCCTCGCTTCTCGCAGGAGTTTCTGTCCGTGTCATCCCGATCCCTTTTTTCTTCTCTGGCATGTGCGTGGTGTAACTCTGCCTCCATCCAGAGGTGAGTTCTCAACTCGAGCCAAGGAGGCTCCCAGCTAAGTCCCGGTTTTTAGTGGGACCAGGCTGGTCGGAACAACCGGTTCTTCTTGTTGTCGGGTCCTAATTAATACTGTTAGCCATTGCTAGTTTGCGTCATGCAGAGTGTAATTCTACTTCGTACATGAAGAGTCCCCCTAGGATTATCCTCCACACATTTTCATATTGCAATTTGAATGCTCTCCCATCAACCCCAACCACCAGAGTGACTCACGTTCATAACCTGCCCTCGAGGGTCCAATTTCTTCCGAGTTTATTGCAACCTCCGCAAATCTTGACTTCCCTTCCCCCATTCCTTTGCTTCCGTCCTCGCGGGCCATCATCACATCCACGAAGTGCGCGACAGACTACGAAGTATCTCATCGCATGTGCCTCTTGCGTTTTCATGCCGACTGAGCACATGGCTTCTGGTCCACTGGCTTAATTAGGCCCGAGGCGTAGCTCCACCACGGTCCACAGCGCATACAGACTCCCCCGCTGCGAGCGCGGGTCCAGAAGCTAGTTTGGCGTTGGTAAGGACTGGCGTCCGAGAATCTCAAAATACTAGAGAGTAAAGAGTGAGTCGTGGATTGGACCCGCTCTTGTTGGTTCACGCCGTTCTCCCTAGCCAGTGGCAGCAGTGCCAAAGCCCTTGGTCCGCGTTGAAGTGTTGAACCATGTGAAAGTAATATGCTTCCCCCCCCTTTTTGCGTTGTGGCGTAGGGCTAGGTGGGAATAGGGCAAATGTACACCACGAAGGCCCAATCGACATAGTCACTCACGGAGGTCTTCGGGCTGAATGCCGAATAATGTGCGACTGGAACCCAGCATAGTTAAAACTATTCGGAGGTTGCTTTCTACGCGCCTGTGATAGGTCGCCGAGTCTGGGGTGCCGTCTTCGGGAGTTCGGAGATGTTCCCGCCCGGGAAACTTTGAAAGAGAACCGGAGTGTGCTCTCGCGACCTTCTCTAACCATTTGTAACATGCTGGTCTATTGCTTGTAATACAATGGTCATGTTGGTGAGGGACGTTGCTCGAAGACCAGTGGAATCGGACGTTCGCAATGCTGCGTCGGGATGTGCTGAACCCCGAGTCAAGAAAAGAAAAAAAAGAAGAAAAAAAATCAAAAAGAAGACGGGGACCATGAAGGATAGAGTGTGCTGTCTACTAAACTAACACAATTGGATTTAGTTGGAAATCCCCAGGCATATTCGGGTACCCCAGAATAGCTTAATTCCTCAGTTTGTACGCGACTCATCTTTGGGGAAGGGGGCGAAGGAGCTACTCTTGGTACAAGGATTTCTACTCTCATTTTTCAGGTGAGGTCAAGATCTTCTTCCACCGATGACTCTCCTGTGACGAGCGAGGACGAGGATCGAGACATATGGGAATGCTCTTTACCTCGTATTATGAAGGACGAGGGGTTGTACTCCCTGGCTGGATTGCTCGAATCGACATCTATATGATCTCTCAGCCACGGATGACAAGCCTTCTCGGCGAGGACTTTACAATAGAAGGTCCAAAAAGGGGGTCCGGGATATCCAATTCGGTCTTTGTCCTCTGCAGTCTCTCTTAACTGATTCCATATCCTGAGCCGCTCACAGTTAGTTGTTTTTCTTCTCAAGATATGCCTTGAAAATATCGAGGATACCTACTGCACCATGGACAGACTCCATTACTAGTTGGATTAGAGTATGGACGCTGGGGGGGGTCCGAGGCGCAGTATATCGCTCTATCCTGCACAGGTGGCTGCAGACAACTCTCTTCTATGCGAGGCCATGGCGGGTTTACGTTGAGCTAGGCACCGACATCGCATCCCCTCAGCTACAACCCTCCAGAGGCCACCTTCCATCACGCCCAGATGCCCTCAAAGAAAGAGAAAACTTCTTATCTTTCCTTCACATGCGGATCTCTACTCCGAGGCTGGTCGAAACATGACAAGGTGTTTTTTTCATTAATCTTGTTGAATTTCTCCCTATTTGTAAACATTGAAACACTCCCGACAGACCCAAAAGGGGCTTGTGTGGGAATTATATCTCGCCGGTTTTCCGGCCTACCGGGCTCCCGGTCTTCCGGACTCCTCCCATTCTTGCCCCACGTCTTTCGCGTCTCATTCGCTCTAAGCGGAAAGGCTGCAAACCAGGATAGGGAACTTTTTTCTCTAGGGGGCACGAGCGTATTGAGGGATATATTCTATCGTCGAAGTTCCCGAGGTCTGGGTGCTCCTCGGTGGCGATGATAATATCTGGGCCTCGAATACAGCCACGCAAGAAGTACCAGCCTTGCTCAGACCGATGGAGGCAGAGGAGTATGACGGCACGATTCAATCTCTTTTACCCTAGTCCTCCTTTAGACCAACTATTCGTTTCACACTCGAGGAGGTCGGTGTCCCACGGAGAATATCCAGAATCTGGATGCGGTTATTAGCATTCCAAATGCCACACTTCCACGATTCGTTTCCAATTTGGAAATATGACACGCGAGCCTAGAACAAACACTTCCCTTTGCTTTACATCCCACACATTCAAGAGTGTATGCTTTTTGGGGCAATTCGATGCATAACATTCGAGCACCAACCGCACCGGGGGAGACTGGAGATGGCGATAAACGCTCTAATCCCGGAAATGTCGGCCAGCTCGTGGGATTCTCGTGGTTCTGTCGTGGTTTGATCGCCTCGATCGACCATGATAAGACGGTTTTCTGGGCGAATCAACCCCGTGCTACGAGGCTTCCTAGATAATGGGGGGTGCTGTTACATTTTAAATTGTCAGGAAATCTGCCTGTACAGCCCTCGTGTTTCTTGGATGTTTTCAAAGTTCTTCAGACTTGTCGAGGAGGAAGGAAGAAGAGTGAAGTTGATAATCGACTGTTGCCAGCTGCAGGTATCAATTGATGAGTTCTTGGGTCTCAACTTCCAACTCGGTAGTAGGCACGTGAGAGGAAAAGAGCTGCTTCGAAGTTACTTTGTACAGATGACATGAACGAGGACGAGAACGAATTCTCATCCGTTCGACCTGAGTTCTCCTCAGTCGAGTCGTGATATATTTCCAATTCTGTCTCACGGCATCATCCAGTTCGGCACCACCATGAACTGACGCAGTTAAGATTTGGTGTGCAGCGTTTCTTATTTACAGCCCCTAGCCTCCTACGATCATTGATATTGTTTCAAACCCCATCGCCTCCTTAACACACAGAAGGAGGCAACTCGGCACATTACATGGACATGGGCCATCATGGAGTGTCCTTTCAGGTGTGACGTGTGCAGAGTGAGGCGGGGAGAACTCCAGTCTCTAATTTTTTTTTCCTCCCCTCGAAAGACTCCTCGGCTCGGCCGTTTCTTAGCTTCGGGTTCGATCCCTCCCATCCCAATCTCCAGCGGGAATGTTTCCTATCATCAAGGCTCAAGAGTGGCCTACTTCTAAGTACACGAGGCCTCCGGAGAATACACATGATTCTTGGAGCCTCGCAAAGATGGAGGTTGTTGGAGTCTCCAGACTTGATACCCAAGCTTAACCTTTTGGTATCGTTTAGTGGGGCTTTCCCAGTTTGGGAGGACAGGAGACAGATGCGGCTCTCTGAGTGGCCAGCACGAACCACCCAGTTCCATGTTCCCAGGAACTTGAGACACGCTGAGACGGCAACGACCCCTGGACCGACGCCCGACTGCGCCCTGTCTCACCAAGGGATCGACAATGACGAAGCACCACCCAAGGGTTAGCGTGGAGGAACCCACACTCCAGGCTTGGGCCCCTAGGTCTTCGCATATTACCCAGATTCTAGGAAACGAGAAGAGGAAAAAGGTCATCTATGGAGGACGGCGGACGTCTCAGAGAATGAGCGAAAGAGAGTCCAGTTCGGTCGGTGCATTTCGCCTTGGAATCGCTACATCCAGGTCCTTGGTTTCAACATCATGAATACTTGTCAAGCACTCTGCATCAACGGTGGCGTCAGACCCAAGCCGGAGGTCAGAGGTAGTCGCCATTCAGTGACTTGGATTCGGCACTCTCCTGAATTTACGGAGCCCCTGGTCGGCCTGCTTGTAAACTAAACTAGTAAGTCCCCCATCTACATACGTACTTCGTACCTCAATGCGGACACTCATGGGCTCTTCCCCGCGGCGCCGTACATCCGAGTTTCTACAACGGACGCAGCGAGCCAACAACAGACTTGTAGTAGTGCACAGTCTCACGCGACAATGCCTGAAGCTCCACACATTCTTTAGAGATGGATGATCGCCAACCCCTGAAATCGTCAGAAGCGTCATTCTCTAAGGGTATGCGCAGCAGCCAGGCCCATTCGCCCCCTCCCCCGCCTTGTCTCCGACTTCCTAGTGTCCGCTTGCCCCCTTGGCAGTATGCAGTATCCATGTGCTTCCTCGTCTCTTCTTGCTCTTATTCCCTCCACCTTACCATTCCGCTACTCTTTATTCATTTCCACAAAGGCTAGGCCGGATCATCCTTCCTTCGACTGCGTTTAACCTTTCCTTTTGCTTTCAATTCTTCTCTTCTTCTCTTCCCAAGGCCGAGCCTTCTTCCATCGTAATACCTTTTGCATTTTTTTTTTTCATCCAGTAGTGTCCACCTTGTCGCCTCAGGAAACTGACTCTCGACCGGACGACCTGCCGATTTCATTCTTTCTCGAGACCGAGAGTCTGACTTTTTCTTTCTTTTGATACTGATACCTGGAGACGTGCTTGGCCATTCTCCAGGCCATTCTCTTCTTCCTCTTTTTCTTTTGAACCTGACGCTCGCTTTCTCAACGCCGGTCCGCTTGGTGGCTTCAACATCCTCGATACCGTTCCTTAACTTTTACCAACCTCATAACTGCTTCGAAGGGTTTTAGTCCAAGGGTCATGCATATCCGGCATCAAAGACGGTGATTGACTTGGCTGAGCAACAAGAAACCACCCAGGGCCCCGGCATTTACAATGGCGCCGTCACCGATGCAGGGCAGCACCACTTCGCCGAGGCGAGCCACGGGGGAAGCCAGAGGGAGTCGGACACGGAGATACTTGATTGACAATCCACGGCGGAGGAGACAAACACCCGTTGACCCCAATGTCAGCGACAGTGAATCGGGCGATGAACTCGACAATAGCGAGAGCGAGGACGAGGAATACTACTCTCCGCCTGGTTCCCAGCCTGGACAAGAGGGGCTTTTACAGGCTGCCCCACAACTACCACCACCACCGCCTCCTCCGTCGGCGCCGGCGCAACCTATCCTTCCGTCACCCGACCAAGCATATCCGGAGCCCTCATATCCGTCAACGGAGCAGCCGCCTCCGCCGCGGCTCACCAGCACGAGCGCGTCTCAGATCGTCCAGACCTTCACCGTCAGCGCTGCTCGGCCGTCGATAACGAAGTCTCCTTTTGGAATCGGCGTCGGGGCCGATCTGAACGCGGCCCCCGCATTAAATGTTCAAGATCCAGAGTCTGATACAGAAACCGATTCACCTACGATCCTGCCCACATTTACAGGTCCTTTACCTATATCTGCATCGGTGAGCGTTTGCTTTCATATTCGCGATGCCAGGGTTCAAAAATTTGCTAACCTTCGCTTTAGGTTACCGCTACTCTCGAGACCGTAAGGTTAACATCAACTACGACTGTTTTGCCAACTGAAGACGCGTTTCCGCTTCCAGACAAGGAGTACTACAAGGATGATGATCCCCCATTCGACGATGACAAGCCGAAGTTCCAGAGCAAAAAGGACGCCACGACAGAGCACATTATGATTGGAGGTGGCTCGATTGGTAAGTTCGAGAAACAATTCCTTTATCCCTTGTTTGTGTGATCCCATGTCACTGACCGCCACCGTCCAGGTGCCTTCGTTGGTGTATGCGTTCTGAGCTGGCTCGTCTGGCGGTTTGCAAGTCGGCGCAAGAAGCGGGGCGGCCCCTATAGCATGAGCGACGCGCCGTATGGTTCACCTAGCCGTGGTAGCATATCCAGGCAGGCCCAAGTCGGAAAGTTCTTAGCATCAGTTCCCTGGGTCAAGAACCGGCCATGGGCACGGAAATGGCACGCGCTCGAAGATGATAACCGATCGATCCCTGCCATGACGGAAAAGCAGTCCACGGATCAACAGCGGGAGGCTGGGGCGGGCCTTAGCGGGTTTAGTTTCAACTTTGGCCGCCAACCACCGAGTACTTCAGGTTCCCTGGGCATGCCGCAACTGGACACGAATGTGGGCGCAGCGCCTTACAACGTGGCGAACATTAGCCCCGTCAGTTCGTTGCAGACCTCCACATCTGCTAACCCGTTTGATGACGTGAACGCCATTCAACCCGCTCCTCAGCCGGCCGTGGTGGCGTCCCATCATCAACATCATGCATCGGAGACCTCAATCCAAGGGCAATATGGAACATGGATCTATCGTACCATGCCCGATGGCGCAGGATCTCAGCCCGGAACGTACAACTCGCAACAACGACAGGCAAATAGACTGAGTGAGGTGTCGTCCCTGTCCTCGGGCTTTGGAGATGGCGACATCATTATTCAACAGAGTTGGCCAGGCCAAGGGCAAGGAACCAGTACAGCCGCCGCAGTCGTGGTCCCCCAGCCACCAGCCCCCGTGGCGCCTCCGCAAAGTGTTAGGGAGAGCGTGGGACAGAGCTCGGACGCCGGGTGGAGCAGACGCGACACGATATACACGCAGACGAGTGAAGATCTTCCCCCGCGGTTCCGGAACATCAACAGCTGGGTGGACCAGCAGAAGGGACGGATCCAGAGGGCTGTCATGAGGGCTAAGGACGGGCACACGAATCAACATAGCCCCGACGACGTGGTACCCCCGGTGCCGGGAATCCCGGCAGGCTCGGGGCCGCATGGACTGCCGCCGGAGCCGGAGCTGAGCATGATGATGCCTGATGGTGAAGTTCCGAGGAGGGTCGAGATGTGAGCTGAAGAGCTGGTAGGACCAGTGCACTGTCTTCGCTTGCCCGTTTACCTCGATGCCACTTTATGCAGGGCATTTACTTTTTTTTTTTTCTCGCTCTTTTCTCTTTTTTCTTTTCCTTGTCTACTTTATTACTTATACAATATTTGGATGGATATTTGGATGATGCACATACAGATACCACTAGAGCGAATAGCGGTGCATCAGTTGAGCGGATGGGCTCTGTCAAAAACCCGTCGGGTCGGGCATGGGGATGAAAAGCCCGAGAGGAGTATGGGGTGTATGGGCCAGCAGTAGAGTTGGTTATCACCAACAATGCTCCCCAGCAGACGAGAGGAGGGAAATGAGAAGAAGTGTGTGTATTAACTTGGTGTGCGGAGGACACTTTAGAAGCGGACGAGATGCGTCGAGTTGAGGGAGTGAGGATCTTATTTAGCTCGCGTTTCCAAAACAAAGAAGCATTCTTGAATCTGGACATCTCTAGTAAATCATTAGGCGTATCTATGAACGAACAAAATGGTGGATCAAGCAAGCTTGCCATCCCCTTATCCAAAAAGACAAAGATATTCAAAACGTCCCGTCTCCTACATCTTAATCACATATCCCGGATCAAACTTCTCATCCTTGGGCTCCGGATTCCCCTTAAAATCGTAACCCCTCTGATTCGCCACGATCCTAGTCCCCTTGACGACCATCTCCGTCGAAAAATGCGTATGTCCAAACGCCCACACGTCGACGTCAGCCCAGCCGCCCCTGGGCACGAGATCTGTCACGAAGGCCGAGGCCCAGGGCTTGTCCGCCTTGTCTGGTTTCTGGGCGCCCTTTATGACGGGGGCGTGGTGTGTGGCGACGAGGATGCGGCGGCGCTGGGGGAGAGGTAGGTCCTCTAGTCCATCAATATTTTGTTGTTCGTTTCCCGCGGAATCTTTCGAGGCGTCGATTTTGGACTTGTTCTGGGCCCGTGCCTCACGTTCCTTTTTCCTCCGTTTATTCTCCTCCTTCGTTTTCCGAACAGCCTCTTTATGCTCCGCCGCAATATTCCTCAATTCTTCCCTCAACCACTCGACTTCCTCGACATGCTTCTCATTGTGTTTTTCCACAGACCACTCCTTAATCTGCAAATAATCACTCACGCGATAGAACACCACATCCCTCGCCTTCGCCGGCACGTTCGACCAAAGCGTACACCCCAACACCGTCAGCTGCGACTCAGCATCATCCCACCTCGTGCGATGCAACAGCGTGACTTTCCCTTGCAGGACGGGCTCGGCGGTGATGCGCCGGGCCGTCTCGATGGTGACTTCGTAGGTGAGGCCGTAGAAGTCGTGGTTGCCGAGGAGGAGGAAGATGCGGTCGTAGTGCGGGACTAGGGAGGTGAGGAAGGCCAGGTAGGGGTCGTAGTGAGTTAGGTTACCGATGTCGCCGGCGAGGAGGAGGTAGGGGGCCGTGTGCGGGGTGGTGTAGGTTGTGTATTGGGAGGCTATTTCGAGGTGGATGTCGGAGAGGAGTTGGATTTGGATGGGAGGTGTGGTGGAGGAATCTGTCGGTGAGGAGGAGGAGGTTTGTGAAGAGAAGGATCTCAGGAGTCGGGTGAGGGTAGACATGGCTGCGGTTTCTCTATTTCTATAGATGTATTTGGTTGTTTTGGATATAGACGAGGGCGATGGATTTAGAATAGCGATGAGGACGGTGATGGAGACGGCGGAGGTGAAGATCTGAAGGTTAAGCTATCGTCAAGGGATTGCAGTTCTTATATATTCAATACAGCGGAGGGCGTCCTGGACTTTACTTCAAATGACTTGTAGGACTCTACGAAGCAATGATTTAATCCCTGGAATATGTATTAGCGGGTGGCCTCCCGAATCTGTCAACGAGAGAAAAAAAAAAAAAAAAAAAAAAAAAAAAAAAAAAAAAAAAAAACCAAAAAGAAAGAAGGCCGATTAGGTACAAGGCACTTGTACTCTTAAGAGGAGAGTGTCCATGTGAGGTTCAAATCAGTCTAAACTTCAATGATGCTGTCCAGGACCGGCCCAAGCTTCAGCTCAGCCTCAGCTGGGGTGCATGAGTGTCTTTAAGCTTGTCCCTCTTGTGGAATATTGGGTTCTTTGGGCCAATGGGAGATGCCAAGAGTCTTGGAGCTGAAATTTCGATCCAGGACTTTGGGCGCTGTCCTTTGGGCCAAGGGAGAACGAGAGAAACTTGGGTTAAGTGAGAGGTGTGGCGCAGGCGGAAAGCGTTGGCTCCGGTCCAGGGAATGCGTGAGGATCGAGAGAAGCTTCAACTTTTGGGGGTTACGAAGTACGAATAGTCGATGACGATGACGATTATGATAATGGCAAGTGCTTATTTCTTGCACTTGTTTTAAGATATTCACCACAACGACGAAGCTAGAAAAGGTCAGAGATTGGTGATAAGAAGACGCGGAAGGTGTAATGGTGGTGGAGACTTGGGAGTTATTTTGTCCCTTTTTGCTGGGTCTGGTGTTAGTCTGTTATGCTTCATCGTTATGCCCACCCGCGATGCCAACATTGTAGACAGATATCCGATTTATCTCGATGGTGTATATAAGTGCGAGAGAAAGCAGCGATTCGAGAAGATGGCCCAGAATCAAATTGAATCATCCAGCTCAACATCTCAGGCAATCTCAAGCTCAAGATCATCATCGCAGGCATTAATTGAACACTCTCACAATCTTCACATTATTCCACTTACACGCAAATCGCAGCAACTTCATTCACCAAATATAAAACATGGCCTCCCAAACATCTCCTCTCCTCAACACCTCCACGGCCAAAACCACCACCTCCCCAACCCCACCAACGCCCTTCGCCAAAACGGCCCTCACCATCCTGGGCACCACCCGCGTCATCTTCGGCACGGCCTGCCTCATCGCCCCCGTCTGGACCCTGGGCCTCCTCGGCATCCCCATCGCGCCGGCCGCCGCCCTGTTCCCGCGGGCCTTTGGCGTGCGCGACATTGTCATGGGCGAACTCCTCTTGAGCGCCGACACCAGCTCGGACAAGGATGGCAACAACAACAACAACAACCCTGCCGCGGCGGGGGATCGTGGAAGGAGGGAGGTTAGGAGGCTTTTGTATGGGGGGATGGCGGCGGATGTGGTGGATATTGTGGTTGTGGGGTTGGCGTTGGAGGCGGGACATGTTGGGTGGGCTGGGTTTGGGAGTGTGGTGGGGGCTGCGGTGATTTCTATTGTACTGGCTGTTGAGTCTCTCATTGGGTATACGAAGTAAGTGAGAAGAGGGAGGAGAAGGGAATGGGGAGAGAAGGGATGGGGAGAGTTGGGTGAAGTGGGAGACTAAGTCGGTGATGCTGTTTCCGTGAGATATTCGAAGGGAGGAGACCAAATGTACAAGTAGGAAGGAGGACTGAGGAATATGGGACATCTCGATTTACTTCTAGAAAGGCAGAGTCAACAATTGATCAATCCCTTATCGAGAATGGATCCAAGTCGTTCGTCAGGTCCATCGGAGGACCCAAGAATAGAACAAGGGCTTGACGTCAATCGGTCGAAGTCGGTTCCAATGACGCCTAATACGAAGAAATATCAATCGATCAGAGCGTGCTCTAACCTCCTCTATCGATACAGTGACGACGTGAACTCTTAGTGCTCTCCTGCCTCTGCTGGCAGTGCCATCTTGTACCTGGATTAGCGACCATTGGCCACTAAATCTCCGGAGTCCAGTGGCAAGTCAGGGCCTAATAAGATTAATAGCCAGGCACATACCTGCCCGGACTCAATCAATAAATAATAGCCAGCACGACCAGTGACTGTGACTGGCAGTAACACTGTTAGTACCTGAATGGAGCGTTGAATGACGCGTCAAGAAGTCCAGCCAGTGGAGGTCTCGGCCTAGCGCTGCACCAAATCTCTTCGACTCGTCATTCCCCCCAGACTGATTACGTATTATGCATGATGTATGTACTTTGACCTTGTCGCATTCCTTTCCTCGTAGCCATCACGGGCAACAGCAACACAGGCAACGAACGCCAAGGTCGCGGCTGAGCCACGCCTGCCCTATCCTGCCCTGTCCTGTCCGTAGTTGCTCATCAGTCAGTCAGGCCAGCTCCGCCCAGTTTGGTGTTTGGCGACTGCTTCCCCTTCCCTCTTCCCGCCAACCTAAATTGAAACATATTTCACCCGTTGTCTTCCTATTCTATTCCTGTTCTCTTCCTCTTCCAATCCTTAATCCTAACAACACCACGATCCCCGCTATCTTATCGCCGTTTCAACCAGACCCCTCCCCCACCTAAGGTCAACCTCACCACCTCAGCAACCTCAACTCTCCATCGAGAGCCCACCACTCCAAGGCGGCCCAAGACAATATCCCCGCCTCCAACGCCAAAAGAAAAGAAAAAAAGAGAAGAAGAAAAGCCTCCCTCGACCCCTCGCCCTCTCACGCCCATCATGCTCGACGAAAACCTCCCCACCTTCCGCTTCCAACCCTCCAAAGACTCCCCCACCAACACCCTCCTCTACTTCTCCGAGCGCGGCTCCGACCCCACCCCAGCCTTCCTCCTCCGCCGCCCGGACCCCTCAGCCCCGACCTCGCGCAACAAGTACGCCGTCGCCCTCGCTGATCCCTCCTTCCCCGATATCATCTACGCCGAAGTCCTCGTCGAACCAGAATGGTCCCGCCCACCCCTCTCCACCGCCGAGGCCCGCGCCCAACACCACTCCTCTTCACAGTCCACCGCCCCAGCCACACCCCTGGTCCCAGACTCGGTCTCCCTCACCCTCTACGACCCGGACCAGACCGTCGTCATCCGCCGCGTGCAGTCCGGCTGGAACCGCAGCGAGACATGGGAGTTCGAGATGCCCGAGCGCACCTTCAAGGTTCCCAGCGCGAGCCTCCTCGATCGCTCCCAACAGACCGACGCCGCTGAGGATCCCACCGTTCCTAAAATCATGTTCCGCTGGAAGAGGGATGGGCGCATGAGCAAGGATATGACGTGCTACCTCGTCGGTAAGTCCGTCGACGGCAAGAAGAGCCGTGAACCGGACATCACCATCGCACTCTTCTCCCAGGGAAAAATAGACGCCGTGACCATGTACGAACCAAACATGCGTCGCGTCGAGCTCGAAGATCGCAAGGGCCTCGAGGTCGTCCTGTTGCTCGGCGCAGAAGTCATCCGGTCCCTATACCTCAGTCCCAAATCCGACGTCTTCAATCTTTCCTCTTCCTCTGCTTCCTCCTCTTCGTCCCCGGGCCGCAGGAAAAACTCTCGCCCACCAACGACCAGCGCCGCTGCCCCACCCGTCATGTCCGGCGCAACCGTCGCAGCAACCATCCCGCCCCAAGGCAGACCACACTCCAAATCCAACCCCGTCGACGCCGAAACGAAACGCCTCCAAGCCCTCGTCGCCGAGGACGAGCAGCGCAAAGCGAAAGAGCGCGAACGCCGCGACCGCGAAGAGCAGGAACGCATCCGCAAGATGCTCCACGACGAAGAAGAGCGCGAGCGACGCCGTCGCGAGGAGGAGGTCGAGAAGGAGACCGAACGCCTGCGCAGGGAATACGGCGTACAAGGCCAGATTCTGTCGTCTTCCTCTTCCCCCTCCGCCGCGAGTGGTCCCCCGCCTGTTCTTCCCCCGAGACATCAACACGCACCCAGCGGTGGTGGTCCTGCTTCACCGCAGGCGTTGGCTCCTCCAGGCGCCTGGCCGCCGGCGAGGCCCGTTAGTGCCGGCCCTTATGCTTACGCGGGTTGGTCCCCTCCTCCTTCCGGCGCTGCGGGGCCGAGTACCCAGCAGTTCGCCCCGCCGCCGACGCAGGCCCAGCAAGCCCCCGGAGGAGGAGGCGCAGGAGGCGCAGGAGGACAACAGGGTGGGCCGAAGAAGAAGATTGAGGGGTTGGTGAATACGTTGACGCCTTATGCTAGCGAGGCGGCGGCGAGTGTTAGTGGGCTTTTGCATCGGAATGATAAGAAGAAGGTTCAGAAGAAGAGGAGCGTGCATTTCTAAGGGAGGATTTGAAAGGAGGGGAGAGGGAAAGGGAATCTCAATTTTATGCATTTGTGGAGGGCGTTTTCGAGTTGGTGGTTCTATGTGAGATACGAGATATTGGGCATGCTCTTTTTTTTTTTTTTTTTTTTTTTTTTTTTTTCTTTTTTTCTTTTTTTCTTCCTTTTGCGAGTGGAAATCCTAATTACTTCTACTGCTTCTTATCGTTTCCTCCCCTAGAATTTTATGTAGAAAATATATTTATGGAACATATACTTATGTTTGAGGGTATCTCGCTCTTGAGTTCCTGGAGTCTTAACTCGGAGGCGCATCTCATCCCCGATGTCCCTTAGCTCGTTGATAATACGTGTACTTGTTTATACACTACATTGATCAATATTACTTCTACTCCTCCGTTGTTCACGATGGGCGAAAGAAGCCCCCCAAGTTTCGAATCTGGTTCGTAGTCAAGAGAGCCTCTCACTCAACCACATTTCAACCAACCGACCATACATCGTCCCACCACGAAGAACAGCACACAAATACATAGCATTTAGCAAGTCGTTGCCATTCAATCTCCCCGGGAACATCAAGATCAAGTTTCTCCGTATTGCACACACAACTTCTTTCGCGTATGGCTCTCTTCTCCTCTTACAGTTCGCCCGGCCCATACAGTTTCACCAGCCCCACGGCATCTCTGTTCCAAGGTATCCAAAATCGACTCCCCCCGGCTTCCTCGCTCTGTCACTCTGTACTCCGTCTTCCTCACCTCCTGTCTCTCCAGTTTTGTTTGCCGACCCTCTCTGTCGCACCCTTGCACCAAGACAATGGACAAAACTGTCCGTTACAAGTTACACGTAAATCCGACCCGCCGAGAAGGTGAAACAAAAGAAAAAGGAACGAGAAGAGACAACAAAAAAAACCTAACATACAATCCCCAAAACCTAAAGCTGAGCTCCATAGAGCGACAAACACAGGCAAGAAGCAGGGAGCCAACCAAATAAACAGAAAGAAAGCCAAAGCCACTAGAAATCTATCCAGCGAAGAGAACCCTCTTTTCCCCTAGTATCCCGCTAACAGGGCGATCCAAAGTGATGCAAAGTTGACACTAGATGTACCCCACAAACATCACTTGATGTCACAAGGAGTTCTTGTAAAGGTGCTTAACTAAGACAAAAGGTTAATGACCTCTACTAGTAGTTAACCAAAGCAGATAGCCCAAAAGCCTAAGACACTGCAGAGTGTGGCCATTCACTTCTGCATCCGTTCCCAGAGTTATATCAGAGGTAGATACCAAACATGTGATGAGGACGCGTTGCTGCAAAATCAAAGATACATTTTCCAAATAAAAAGGCAGCCGTGAAGTAACGCAGCGCTATGCGGGATGATTGATACCCATACCAAAAAAAAGAAGAGCAAAACTCCAGCAAGGAACAGCCCATGTATATGTTGCCCGCGGGTGTGAGAATGCTCTAAAAACACTCTGAGGGACAGGGGTGAAGGGGGAGAGGTATAACTCGGTTGACAAAGAAGGTGTGTAGAAACGGCTTCTGTCGAGAGAGAGTCCATCGACGTGTATCGTGTGAGAGAGAAGGATAAGACGTATGGGGATTGGCCCGAAACAAGGCCACGGCATCATCATAACAGTCGTCACTCGCGACAAGGCATCAAAAAATCATATAATGCCTCCAGGCGGATCATACGGCGTGGCAGCGCCTCTCGCGGAGCCGCCCAGTCCCGCGCTTCCGGGCATATCCGAGGTCAGGTCGACTTGTGCATTATTCGTCTTGCGTAGCATAAACATAGGTTTCTTTCCTTCTCGGTCCAGCTGCTTGAACAGAATGAGGGGCTTCTCATCCAGTCCCAAGCAGCGCTCCTGATCTCCGTAGACAATGTACAGGGCATACTGGTCCCAGGGCGCGTTGATTTGGTACTTCTTGAGAGCAGCAGGTAGCACTTTGTAACACGGGTCGTCCATGCTCACGCGGAAGGACTTGAAGATTTCGACAGATGCGTTGCTCGAGCTCGGTGTGTCCGGGGCCGGTGTCTCCTTTCTCCTTGGTGCTTGTATGGGCTTGTCTCTTGAGTGGTCGTTGTCGGCAAAGGTGGATCGCGAGGAAGACGTCGGGCCATCCGCGCGGTAGGATCGAGACGCTAGCATTGTGCTGCCGCCCATACCGGTAGTAGGGGGAGAGGTCGGCGACGGGATGTTCGGAGGTGGGAAGATGGGCGATGTGGTCTGACCGGAGCCATTCATGGCGGCAAGGTGGGACGACGACAGAACGGCGCGTTCGGCAGCGTTGGATGGATCTAGCGTCTGCTCCACGATGGACCGCTCGTGAGTAGTCTGGAGATGGGTTGGTGAATTGCTGCTCTTTGGGATAGATCCCAGTGCCAATTTCTTGGTGGAGAATTGGCGCCGGAGACCTCCCGTCGATTGGCTGGACGAAGGTGTGGGTGCTGGGGGCGACATGGTGGAGGTCTCATAGGTGTATACCTGGTTGTTCGGGTTATTGGGTAGAGGCTGCTGAGCGTCCTTGGCGAGTCGTAAGGCCGGCAGCATATCCTCTCGTAGGCGCCTGAAGTCCTCCGTTAGGCGTCTGAGGTCGTTCTCGAATAGATTCATCCGTTCGTCCCGAAGTCGGAGTTGCTCGACGAGTTGTTTGATATCTTTCAATGTCGCTGTGGCATACTGCGCTTCTGCGTCGGCGGCTATAAAGAAAACAAGCACAGTTAGCCATTTAAAATGACACAAGGACCAAGACTGTAAGAGAAAGCCCTCGGAGCGAGTGGGCTTGAGGGCGTGCAGAGAAGGGTAAGAATCCAAAAGGGTTGGGAACATACACAGAGGCACATAATGATCGCTCTCTATCGGTACATCCTGGGCCTTCTTGACATCGTAAACGCTCTTCAAGATGGTGAGTCGATGGCCAACACTGTTTATTCCCATACTCTTGAGGTCATCGTGCATCAGAGCAATCAGGGCCTCGCCGACGATATCGTTTTCTGCAGGGACCCATGGCACATTAGTTTGCTGCTTCCATAGGGTGCGTCACTCGAATCGGATGCAGGAGAGCTAGAGGAGGGCGCAAGGACTGCCTTGTGCTTTTTTCGACTCGAACGCTTCCTTTTTCACCTATTCGCCTTTTTCCTTTCTTTTTGGTCTCCTTGGCATCTGTTGCTTCATGCAGATGCCGGCGAGAGAGACATAGGACGGGTCCACGAACCTATAAAGACATCCGAGTATTGCGGCAAGCCAATCGTGCTGATAAAATCAGCAGTTTCGTCCGAAGTCCATTCCGAAATTATCGTCTCTGGTAACCTATCGGCGCTCCTCCTATGGTGAAAGGTGGTTGGCGTGTGTTCGTTGGATGAAGGTAGCTCGGAATCGAATTGGGAGACTTCGGAGGCGGTTACGGGGGAGCTATCAGCAATAGCGCCCTCGTATTCGTCGTCGGCATCGGACTCAGAGTAGGCGGTTCCCGAATCGAAATTCATCTTGTCTGTCTCGCAATCGCACTAGCTGAAGGGAGCGGAGGAGGGATATCAAAAGGGAGGTTGGAGGAGAGCTTGGGCGGAGGCAGCGAGGAGACGGATTGAGTTTTTTGGGTTACGAAGGTCTCAGGCGTCGGGGTCGTTAATAGGCGAGGCAGCGAACGCTAGGATCAGGGCGCCGGGATCACAAGGGCCCCGGTTTCGCGAATTGCGGTGGACGAAGGGCTCTCTTCCACGTTGTCTCGGCTCTGTATTTTAAAGGATGATGAGATAAAATATCTTGCCTGGTCGGAAGAAGATGGTTCCAACCAGAGGGGAGAGGGGGAAGCCAGGATGGGGGAGGCTGTAATAATGCACGTCAGGGGGGGTGAGGTAAGTACGGAGTACGGAGTACAGGTTGGGAAAAGGACAGGCCGGCTGACTGGCTGGCTGGCTAGGTGCGGCGACAAGTTTTTGGGCGGGTAAGGGTTTTAAAGGGAAAAAAAGATGGAAATAAAGGGAAAAGGAAAAGGGAAAGAAAAAGGATAAGGCCAGATGTGGCCAAAGATTGCCGCCCTTCTTTCTCTTCCCTTCGCGGGAAAATAGGTGAGATTCTCTATTCGAGTTGCGCGTTCTTCTGCTTGTCGATTACCGCAACCTTTGGTCTTGCCTTGAGCTCGAAGCAAGGGAACGATACCATGAAGTCGAATAGCTTCACCAGCGCACCAGAAGATGGAGATGTTGTAATAGACATGAAGGAATGATAAGGTTGTCGGGGGAATTCTTGAAAAGGGAGTGACAAGATCCAGGGGCGATGAAATGGGGGGACGGGGTAATTCGTACTGTGGAGAGATGGGACAATTTGGTACGATGCTACAGTAACTAATCTCCTGGGGCACGGCCAAAGATGGGTGGAGGAGGTAGGGACTGGATGTTCCTTCCCTGCGTTTTCTGCTCTTGTATCTGCTCCTGTACTCCCTGTATGTACAAGTACGAAGTACAAGGACCTGGTTTCTTTGAAGGGAAGCCGGTCCCTGTAACAGGCGCTGTGTGGAGAACATTGGGCATCTTGCCAAGCTTGCACTACGAAGTACGACGTCAGCGGTAATTGTACCTGTGTACACTACGAAGTACTTGATTACTCAAGAAATTACCTCAGTATAGAGGTAACCACCGACAGGGAAATGTATCAAGAAAATGGCACCCACCGACCGAAGTTACGATGCAGGATGGAGAGGGTGTACGAAGTACTTCGTATTAGGAACATGAATAGTTCAATGTAATTGATGGAAGTAGCATGGTCCACTACGGGAAACGAGGCGAACGGGGTTTCCCTCATACATCTGGTCTCTCGGCACTATCGGTATCAATCCCTTTTGCTCAGACACAAAAGGCTCGGGCCCCCCAAGCGGGAGTCCCTGGATATCCGTTCGGTAAGGGATTCAGGAACATTTGAGCTTGGGCGAAGGGTACCACTCGCCTGCATACGCTCCGCTCTGCCGCCTGGGCTACACTAGCCGATGGGTTCATTGTTGCTTCGAAGCCCAACCAACTCCACGTCCAGAGTACACACGATTCTCCATGGCCAAATGGTTAAGGCGTCCGACTGTTAATCGGAAGATTCCAAGTTCGACCCTTGGTGGGGAAGTCGCTTTCTTTTTTTTCATTCCCTAGCCCTTGACATTTTTTATCTCCAAGATACCAATACTCTCATAGTAGTAGTCTTTACAGCTGGCGGATGAAGCACTTCGTACACGACTTCGTACAAAGTACATTACATGAGGGAGCAAAACGAAGCCCAGTCCAGTCCTGCAGGACAATCTACGACCTACACGAGAGCGCTCACGTCCATCCACTGTCTAGTTCTCGATGTTCGACATGGTGGGGCTAGGCCACTAGTGAGGACAGGTACTGTGTTACATTGCTGGGTTGGCTGGATCCCAAGCTGATCAAGATCGATATATTTGGCCATGTTCGGTACATCACATTGAGCAGTATACTTCGTACGTCCTGGACTTGCATCAGAGCCGCTCGCCTCGACTTCCTTTGCTCCATATGTCCTTCCAGAGTCAGGGCCAAGTTGGTATTTATAGCACGCGACTATGAGGACTGACCTGCAGAAGGCCCTGGGCCTCTCTGACCAACGGCCAGGCCACGAAGTACTTGTGGCAGTTAGATATTATAGACCTTCATCATTCAATCCAAGACATCTCTCGTGCGAGCTTACAGGGCGGCGTAGACCGTTCCGTTGTCATTGTCCACCCGTCTCTATCGGAAACAAAGGAACCGCCGATAAAAAAGACATCAGTTCAAACTTCAAACTGAACCATTGCTCCGTGCATTACTCGCCGGGCCTGAATCTGTGTGTGCCCGTGTGGTGGGCCTGGCCAAAGTGATCAATCCTGAACCTGCACTGCCGCCAGAAATTCCTCATACCCCATACATCCCAGCAGCCCAATGAACCTATCTATGATCGTCCATCCATCGAAGAGGCGAGCGACAAAAGGACCCCAAAATTAGATTCAGTCTTCCCCGTTTGCAGATAGGCCGGGGGCACCCATTGGATAGGGCCCAAATCTATGACGAATCGGTGGCGCTTAACCGCCAGCTCAGCTTTGTTCCTCTTCTCAACTTCGCCCATAGAAAGAAAAAGAAGAAGAAGAAATCGAAAACGGACGAGATTGTCCACGTAACGAACACTCGTGTCCATGTCTCCCTGATCGACCTCCGATCGCAGCTCATATGTTCAAATTATGACCATCCTCACCTTTGCGAGCGAGTAAAACCTACCGCAGAAGTCGATAGGGATGGCGGCCGATGATCCAAAGGCCAGAAACACCGAGCACCCAAAACGCCAACGCAATGCATTGATCAATCCCTCTCTTCCTTTTCGTCCCTTCTACGTCTCTTCTATGCATCCGTTGGCCCACAAAGTATTTATAATTGCCCCATATCAAACATTTTGAGCGCATACTTTTTCCCACACGCCCCCCAGATCCCCGGCCCGGAGCCTTCCACAGCCGACGAACCGTTGGAAGGCTCTTGTGGGCCGGGAACCAAACGCACGATCCAGTTTAACCCGAGACGAAAAGGAAAGGGGGATGCTTGTTCTCTTCGGCGATTTTCGTTAATTCCCTGTAGGATCCCGTACGTCTGATGATGTTCGGAAAAGAAGGGGAATTTCCGGCGGAAAACTAGGATCTAGGAAGTGTTTTTACAATTTACAACTTTTTTATGTAGTTGCATATTCGTTCGATGATTATACCCTCCACAAAGAAATCGCGTTTCCCCCAATAATAGAACTCTGAGATTCTCATCTGGATGGCCAAGGACCTCTGTTCCGGCCCAGCTTGCTTTTTTTTCGATTTCATCCATCAGAAACACCCCTCCTTTCTTCTCTCCCTTCCTCCCGCCGGATATGAAGTTCCTATTTGGGGTTGGTCAAGCACCAAGAGGTGGGAACAGAGAACAAATCAAAGCCACCCCGAAGGTCATTGAAACATCTAGATCAAGGGGCTACTGTGAGAACAGAAGGAGTGAGAGCAAAACGGCCCATCTTGCAGAATGCCGAAGGGGAAACACGAAAACACGAAGCATCGTCACCTCGTATAAGATAGCTGATACAGCCATTGAAGCCCTACTGGAAACGCGTCCCACTTAGAGCTTTCTCAGCTCGACAAGAATGAACACCGAGCTCCCCGGCCCCCCGTATTCTTCACAAAGCCCAAGCATCCATAACTAGAAAGATCTTCTATCAGATCCTGTTCTTTCCTTGGTCACTGTCGAAGCTTTCTGTTACAGACCAAGGAGTTCTCTTCAATACCACCTTGATGCTGCTGCGCCTGGCCCGCCCCCCACTACATCTTTCGTCTTGGTGTTTCAGGTTTCGCGGCGCCTTCCATCTCACTTTCGACAAAGATCGAACAGCCTTATTCGGGATACGATCGAAGTGTGTAGTATTGCAGGGCCTTCTTCATGGACCCTTAGGACTTTGATGCATCCCCGGCAAATTCTCCAAGGGAATCGAAGAATCGAACGACAATGACGATGAACGAGAGGGACGTGAATACGACACCCCCGATACTGAGATAGATACGGTGTTAATTGCATAAGCGTTGGCGCCTAGGTTTATCATACTCCCCGTTCAATTTATGACTAATAGACCGAGGCGCAGTGGCAGAGTGGTCTAATGCGTGAGACTCGAAATCTCATCTCTTCGGAGGCGTCCGTTCGAATCGGGCCTGCGTCGCTTAAATTTCTCTTTTTACTTTTTAGTCCTTTTCCCCCAAATGCCTCGTTGCTGAGATCTATGCTTTTAAAAGCGCATTGATATTTATGACTAATACCGAGGACGCGGTGGCAGAGTGGTTAATGCGTGAGGCTTGGAATCTCATCTCTCAGGAGGCGTGTTCGAATCAGGCCCGCGTCGTTTTTTTGCCTTTTTTTGCCCCTTTTCCCGTTCCTTTTCTTTTTTTTTTAACGATTGTGTTTCTTTCTGTGACGTTTTCAATGTTATTGACGATGAGATAGGGATTGGCTACTCTCTTTCCTATCTGGCATTCCTATCTGGCAAGCAGGAGCCGTGACACCAACAAGCTTCTTGACAAAGAACATCGCCACCACTCGTAGCGAGATATCAAGTATCGGATCATTCGAGGTATTATATATATACGCAAATATATATACATAGCAGTGACACTCTTCATGCGGAGGGTACACAGGTTTTGCTCTTGCTTCGCAGACCTCGATGGGTCTGGTATTAACAACTACACAACACCTATTCGATCTTGCTCTCCCATCTCCGGACATGCACCACCTCCCACGCACACACCGATGCCGATCCAAGGATTTTCCTCGTTCCAATTAACTCCGATGCGCTCCAATACCATGCTAGGCTCAAAAAGTAGAAAGTAATAGGGTAAAAAGGGTAAGAAGAAGTGAAAAATTAGGGTGAGAAGAAGAAGAAAAGGAAGGGGTGAGGTACGTGGTGACCCCACCCATGGAACCGCCTTCTGTCCGAGATC